TTCACGTGACCTCACAAAAAAAAACACAAATTCATTTAACCATAATAAGTTTATTGAAGACAAAAAAACTTGGCGTGGTTAATCAACTGTAACTTAGTATAATAATAATTTATACAGACTAAACTAAGAAAGACATAAAATTATATTTAAAAAATAACATAATAAAATATAAACATAACTTAAATAATAATTAAGTAATCGATTTATTAATGTAACTTGTTGACTCTGTAAATTTAAATTTTACAAATTAATTTTAAAGTAAATAAATACAGGGTGTAAACGATAGCCGCTCTAAATGTTTAAAGATAATAATAATATATTTTTATTCAATTAATTTTCCATTTGATGGCGACCGTTAATTATAATTTCACTAACTAATTTAGCAATTTTTTACACCTTTTATACTTAATTTTATATATACAACGCTTTGAATAAGAAAATATCGTTTTCATCTAAGCAAGAAGCAGACTATGTATAATAATGTATATAAGTGACTTTTAAAAACTAAAATTGCCAAAATTGCGCTGACAAATCAAGTTATCAGTATTATTTTTTTATTTATATAACTACTTAATTTATGAGCGCAATGATTTATTTTTATATTAAATAATAATACATGGAATAAATTATATTAAAAAATGCGGTACACAATAAATTATGCTTCATCATAATGAGAAACTACATTTTTACATTTCACTCAATAACCGTGCCGTTAAAACAATATTCGTGTATGAATTATTCGTAGTACAATAATTGACAGTTGAGAATATTAATATTAAACAATTATGCAAAAATTAACAAAAACTATATATTTCGTTATAGAATTACATAATATAAGATGTTAATTGTCAAAAGACAATCTATTCCATTTGGGTATAATCGAAATTTCTATGAAAAAGAATGTTTAACAGCAACCACCATAGCCCAAGGGTCGGTGAAAATTTGAGGGAAGATCCGCGATGGACAGACGAATCATCGGTTAAGTAAGATTGGACTTTAAATGAAAAAAAAAATCAGACGTTACGTACCCGAATAAGCGACGTATCTTCCGTCAGATATACGCCGACTTTAATATAATTGAATTTCCGTAATTTAATTTGTCATATGCTATTATCATACGTGCCTCTTAAAGACGCCTTCAGCATATGCAAAACTAAATTATTGTTTTGTAAATATTGAAAAATATGTATATGAGTATAAAGTATTAAATAAATATTGTGGACTGAAGCGCGTCTCCGACTCCGCATCTCATCAAATCCTACATCTTCAGAAGTAAGAAAAGCAAAAAGACAAATTTGACATATCATGTGAAATGACAGAAATGACACGATAAAAACCTTTTGACAATGAAGAAAACTTGGAAACACACCCATCAACAAAAGTAAATGCAACAGACAGTCTGTCAACACAAACTCTGTACAAGACATCAAAGTGACGTAAAATACGGTTATAAGTAATTATTTTAGACTTAGTTTAAAGTAATTTTATTTTGGACTAAACAAAACATAATTTTCGGAGAAAATATCGTTTTATATACACAGAATTCTATACATACTGCTAGACGAGTTGTTCAGTACAAAAAAGTGCTCGCTACTCCTGTGCAAAAATTGCACAACTGCGTGAGGATTAGATACTCTTTTCACTTTTTCCTTAATTTGAACTGTTACACCGACGACGGTATAATGCGTAGGTAAAACAGTACGCACGCCGACGCTCCAATGATGCGAGATCAAATCGTCAGGCAATGCTGCTGTACTGTGACCTGTGACACAATTTTAATTCTGAACAGCTTGTCTAGTGGAATACAATACAAATAGATTTCTTTGTTTATATTTGTATTTATTGCATCAATTTAAAACTTAATAGTGATGGATCACTGAAGATACTTTATCGATATCTTATTTATATCTAAAAGATCAGATCATTTTGTAAAAATTAACTTTTTAGACCAAATTTATGAAAAATTGGAATATTAAAAGCTATGTTTTTATTATTTACGATCATTTTTTTATTATATAATAAAAAGCAATAACGAAGTATTAAAAAAACGAAAGCACTAAAAAAGCACCTCCACAAGATGGCGACTCTAACAAAAGTTGATTTTTGCAGGAAACGAATGGACCAAAGACAGTCATTTCCGTTCCTTTTACCTAACATATTAAAAAACTGAAATTTGAGAAGTTCAAAACTTAGATATCAATACAAATACGAAAAATTACAAATAGAATATGAGTTATTTATTGAATTTTGAAAACAAATTTACTTTCAAACTTAAAAGAAAACCCGAAAGGTTGTCATAGAGAAATCAAGAACGTACTATAGCGATATCTAGTTTGATTTCGGGAACTACTGTTTTTTTTTAAATACTTCCTCGTTATGAAGTGATATCGATAATTATAACAAATCAAGCGTCACATCACTACATTTTCTGCTGAAAATCAAAGATATCTGTGAAAATTCAATAGCTATAAGTGAGATTTGCTAGATTTCACAAAATTGAAAGAGTAAATAATTTTATATTACAAAGAACCAATAGCGGAAAAGTAATAGAGCACCTTCTATAAATTTCAACACTTATTATTAACGGTCTAGTGATAAAATCTGTGTTCATTGAAACAAAAGACATACGATATTACATATATAAATATATAAGTAGGTATTATACTGAAAATATTTAAAGGTTCGAATCTAAAAAAAAAAACAATCACTTTCATTTGTCATATCATTTTGTCTTTTATGTCAAAGAATATAAAATTAGTAGATTTAGAACAGCCTAGCTAACTAATGAGCGCACTACACAGATGTTAACCTTGACAATATCTTACATACTGTTAATTTGACGTCATTTTGCAATTGAAAATATTATAACATTCTCAATGAAAAATACTTAAAAATTATAATATTGAAAACGTCCTTCTAAAATGCCTATTCAAAGAAAAAAAATAAACAAAACGGATTTCAAAATGTAACAAGTTTTTAAAAATTACAAAACCGTTAAATTCTAGAGACTTCAAAATATCATAGTTTTAAAGAATTATTTTCGACTTTTGTTTAGATTCATTTTAGTTCGAAAAAAAAAATTTTGTCAACTACATCGTCATGATAATTTTGCATTCCAGTTTTTTTTTATGAATATTAAATCGAAAGTACTGGTCCTATTTCGATAAAATTTTAATGGGACATCCTCCATAATATATCCTTTGAAACAAAAAAGAATTGGTCCACTACTGACGAACATATAGAGGAACATACATGCAAAAAAAAATCAATTTCTATGGTCTCATTTCATTGGTTGATAAATGGCGACGAATGCCTGTCCAACGAAAATGAGGCAATAGAACGATATAACCCATCACAGTGTTTGTGACTACAGATCCTATCCTGTCCTATTAATATTATAAATGTGAGTTTCTTTGTTTAGATGGTTGTCCGTCAATCATGCCGAAAGTACTGAACGGATTTTGATGAAATTTGGTATACAGATAGGGTGTTAGCTGACTTAGATAATAGGTTACTTTTTAATCCACTAAATAGTTCCCTAGGAACCACGCAGGCGAAGCCGCTGGCGGAAAGCTAGTATATATCATATTAATCCTATTAATATTATAAATGTGAAAGTTTCTTTGTTTGGATGTTTAGATGTTTGTCCGCCAATCACGCCGAAAATACTGAACGGATTTTGATGAAATTTAGTATACAGATAGGGTATTAGCTGACTTGGATAATAGGATACTTTTTATCCCACGAAACATTTCCCTAGGGTCCACTCGAGCGAAGCCGCTAGCGAAAGCTAGTATAGGTATATATGTGGTATATATCAGCATTTTATTTAATAGAAAAAAGAAACATTATCATATATAATAGGAAAAGAAACATTATCATATATAATAGGAAAAAAACCTTATTAAGTTTCGTATTCAGACCTTTTTTAATTTTCTTATGTTTGTGGTCTTTTCGCCAATATTGTTATTTAGGAAAACAACATTTTGACAACAAGCTTCAAGACCAGATTACATGTACAGTCAACAGTACATCAGGTTATACAAAATTGTCTTATTTCTCCATTTGATTTCAAACCTTAATAATTTGAAGGTAGAGTTCAAAATCTATTGCCGAAATTTGACATATTGTGGTAACCTGACGTGCAGCAGTGTGTAATGAAAACATTTTAATGATTATTTTTGTATTAACAACATTTTTTTCCTTACTTCGCATGCGGGGGAACACTCGCAGCGCGTTATTTACTGTTGACTTTCATTAGTCGTTATCCCGTATTCGGGGAACACCACATGGAAATTAAGCCTTAAATTTGATTGATCTTGTAATATCATTACTGTTTTTTCCGAGAATGCAAAAACAGCAACTAAGACGCTGAAAAATTCATAAATTATCATTGTAGTCCATAACCTTGCGTTACACAAACGTTCATTAAAACTGTCTTTAAACTAATCACCAAAGCGACATCATCGATACAAATTTTCAAATTTAGAACATTCATTATAGGTTAAAGTGATGAACTTTTATGCCACTGACCGAAGTGACATACTCGTACGTAAGGACCTTGATACACAACTCAATGCGTAATAGCAGATTGCATACGTTTGATCGGGCTCATACAATCTCTTTTTCAGATAAGCCAGTTACACTAAACTGCCCTTTTATATTGCGTATCTGACGGAAGATATGTCGGAATGGTTGGGGACCCTTGATTAAGGTTTGCTTAGAGTTAATTTCCCCTGCATTGTAAAAAAAATGTATACATTAGTTGTTAAAAACGATATATTTTCGTTTCGTAATTCGAACACCAAGAAATATTCATTTATTATGCCAAAATTGAGTGTCCTATCATTCGACGGCGACTATTTTATTCCCTGTCTAATCTAACGGTAGTCACCAGCATACCAGTTTACTACAAAATGCCATACTCCAATCAATTTCAAGCCTTGATCATTTAATCATGAAGTTCAAAAGAGATTGCAATTTTTTTGCATTGGTAGTAACAGAATATACCGCTGCGTGTGTACCTCGTCCCAAGAAACAGAATCGTTGTGATAATTTTATATATACAAGTATTACACTAAATAGGCACTCGCATCTAAATCTAAACAAGCTAAGTCTTCCGCGAAGCTCCAGCTATCGCTTTGAAGCCGATACACATTTGTATATAAGCTTCAGAAGAGCAAGTGTATCAAAATTATTTTACCCAGCGAATAAGTATAAGTATATGGATATACTTATAGACGTAATTATATTAAAAAAAAAATGTTTGATAAGAGATGTAAGATTGCTAAAAAATCACTGATAATCAAAATTGAAAACGATTGTCACAATAAAAATCGTTTATTTAACAACAGTAAAATACCATTAATTTATTGCCCGAAAACATCAAGTAGGCAGTTACTTAGCAAAGTCTTACGAGTTACAAGTTTAATAAGCGGATACGAATATCCACAATTTTAGAATGATTAATCATCTCTTCTTCGTTCGATACTCACATGTCTAACGAAACTAAACTTTAAAGCAATGACATTAGAATATAAATTCTACATTTAGAATTGTAATTAAATACGATGCAAGGTTTACAATAATTTCAAAATAAACGAATAACGATAGAAGTATCAATATATTTCCATATGAATTGAAATCAAACACATTCACCCGATAAAGCAAAACATCACTTACGTAAAAGGCATAGAATCTAAATAAATAATGTTTTTACTATAGAACCTTTGGCATAAGTGAAATTTTTCAGAATCACCTGTAAACACTTAGTATCTTATCGTCTGTACCTTACATCGTTAAGTGTTCTCACTTTCACATAAAGCGTTATCGAATTTGAACCTTATAACGTTGTTTTTAAGGTGGTGTGTCGCTCGCTCAGTCGACGCCGGCGAATCCTTGCGATCCTTCTATAGCTTTGATTAATTTTTCTCGAAGCTGTTGATAGCTCTCGTATGGCGGTAGATCGATACGATTGAAACTGAAATTAATATATTAATTAGAGACTAGTATAGATATATATATATATATATAGATATATATATATATAATAAATTTTAAAATAAGCGTTTCAATTAAAATTTTTATTTTAATTCATAATTTCGTCCTTGCTTGACATAAGAATATTTTTATTGTTATTTGTACCCTGTGTGTCTCGTTAAACGAAACAATGATTAGATTCATAATTTTGTACTGGCCTGCTATAAGAATATTTCTATTGTTATTTGTTGTCTATGTCACACGTCAAACAGAACACCAATCAGAGAGTTGAGATAATTTGTGTGTAAATTGGTAATAAAACTATACAAGAAAAGCGCGGGAAACATCCTAAGTGTAAAATAATTTTAATGATTTACCAAATAATTAACAGGTTTCAAGTCATCTTTGTGCTTTATTTATTTGTGGGTTTGAATATATAACACAGCATTTTTTTTACACTGTTAACACCTTTATTTTACCCAACAAATTCACATACACCGAGTTGACGTTTACGAGGTTTTTTAAACAATTCTATCTATATAATAAGGTTCATTTGCATCAAATAATGTGTTTGTTGGAATAAATATCTATATTGATCAATTTAAACAAGTTTTTTGAACGGTCTATGTTTCAGTGGTCTAATAGTCCAATGATAAAAAATGAGATCATTAGACTATGTCTATAAAATAGGAGGAAAAGAAATTATGAAAAATATTATGTATATTAAATTAAAAATAATAACTGTAGTTATAGCAAGTCACATGCTTACCAAGTATGTGCTCTAGGGTAGTTATCTGGTGCCCCCCATTTCTCTATAGTGAACAGCTGTGGTCCATTCGAGCCGTACAATTCTTTGAAACCGTTCATCGGCACCCGGGAGGTACCCGTTACGAACTGAAGTAAGCGGGAGCGCATCTCGTTCGAGAATGATAACACCACCTTACAAAAAAAGATAAACAATTAATCAAAATTGTTTTATTTCCCAGTTCATACAAATTTTTAAATATTGAGACGATCCCAGAGAGTAATTATTATATGTTTTTGTGTTGGTATGCTTCGCTCTTAGCCTAAAGCCAGAAACAATTTTGGGACATAATTATTAAACAGAATATAGCTACGTTTGTGAGTGTGTGTGGTTTTTGGGCGTAAATATGAGTGTGTGTGTGTGTGCGTATCCGTAGGTGCCACGCCTACGGACACTTACTATCTTTAGCTACATAAATTCTTTTATAAGTAACATTACTATATATAACAGCTGCAGTTACAAATAAATGTGAATTTGTGTGCGCACAATAAGGGAGAAGACGAGAGATTTTTAAATAATTTCTAATAATAAGTTAAAATCTAAAAAAACAAATTTATTTTTCAAAAATTTCCGCGAAAATTTCATCTTCCGTCATGGCGTCGCTATAACGTTTATAACATTGCTTTAGCTAGTTATGGAAAAACAAATATTTTATGCTTGCAACAAGCAAATAGCCGTAACCGCAAAAAAAGTGACGTCACGCCTCTCACGCGTAATGTCGTTCTATGTATGCGTAATGTCGTTCTATGCATGTGTAATGTCGTTCTATGCATACGTAAGGTTGAATTCTCTTAGTTCTGATAACTAATATTAGAACTTAGAGTACGTACATGGAACATTTGTTTTAAAGGGGCGTGGCGTCACTTTTTTTGCGGTCACATAACAACAAACATAAAATATTTGTTTTTTCATAATTAGGTTAAGCAATATTATAAATATAATAAGCATTAGAGTTGTGACCTAGTATAAGGGTCCAATATTTATTTATTTGTTTTTATTATCGATAATAGTATATTAAACACTACCAGACAAAACTGTCTACACCTGTATTGCTTCATCAGGTCTTGCAGATACTGACTGGGTGTGAAAGTAGCTAGAGTAAAGAGATTCACTTATGTGTATAAATCTATATAAAAAAATCAATATAATAGACGATATAACGTATCATACTCACCCTCCAAAACCACTGTACGACAATATGATTCGCGTGATAATCCCCCTTGTACAACGTATGAGCTCTCCAGTCCCTCACGTCTATATTCTGTATACCGCAAAGCAGTAATTCAAGCTCGTGCTCGTCGAATATCTTCAGTAAAGGCAAAGGAACCAATCCACCTAAACCTTCAAGGAACGCGTACATTTGCTCCTGTACCCTACTCACGAAACGCCACTCTATCACCAATCTGAGAAACGATTTAAAAATGTACAATTATTTAAAACATCCTCATATAACTTTACGAGAAGAATTCATCATCACTCTATTTAAGGTCATAGCACACCGAAACAGCACGGCTCCAATCCAGCATTTAACTTTTCATTTATATTTGACGATTAAATACATTTTCATATTTCATCAGTGTTGGTTTCATGATGCTGTGCTGGTAAATATTCTTAAAGAAAAATGCTAAAAAAATCCACTCAGTCCCAGGCACCCCGAGATGGGACTCGAACCCACGACCCACGACTGCTCTAACCGCTTAGGACTTAACAGGGCTGAAGAACTCTTCAAGAACTTGTAACTTTCCGCTACTGCAGAGCGTATTTTCATCAATGTTCAGGCAATCCACCCAAATAGCCGAAAAAAAAATATTTTTACCAATTTTCGTAAGTTTGAAATATTTATTCTTAATGAAAAATGTTTAAAAAATTCACTTTGTCCCTGGGCGACTGCTTTAACGTCGAGGAGGTGCGACGTTAAAGCAGTCGCCCAGATTGCGAAAGGTAATGGGTTCAAGTCCCATCTAAGAGTACCAGGGCCAAAGTGGATTTCTAAGCATTATTCATTAAAAATATTTTTCAGTATAGCATTTTGAATGTAAAATTGATCAGGTATATTAATTAAAAATATTTGTTGATACAAATTTTACTTTAATTCATAATTTCGTCCTAGCTTGACATAAGAATAATTCTATGTGTTATTTGGTACCCTGTGTGTCACGTTGAAAAGAAACACTGATTAGATTCATAATTTGGTACTGGCCTGCTTATATATTGTTATATAATATTCTTATATATTGTTATTTGTAGTCTATGTCACACGTCAAACAGAACACCAATCAGAGAGTAGACCAAATTATGTCAACTCTCTGATTACAAGAGTCATCTTTGCGTTTTATTTATTTGTGTGTTTGAATATATAAGACAGCATATTTTTTTTTTTACATATGGTGTAAGGTCGCGGGTTCGAGACACATCTCGGGGTACCTGGAACTGGTGGAATTTTTATGCATTTGTCATTAAGAATTTTTACTCCTCTGCACCACAGAAAATCTTCACGGATGTTATTTTAAAAAATATAAGAACTATTTTGAATTTTCGTGCCAGGAAAAATAGAATAGGGTCTCTGCAGTTCAATTCTGTAAAAATCCGAATTCGAATTCACTCGTTTGACCGAATTCACGTCGTTTAATATAGAAATTCTATTGATCCTATTTTTACTATTTTATAAAAGTACGAGAGAGAAAGGATTGATTCATAGGTGTCTCAGATAGTCTATTCCTATATCATTTTGAAACTCGCTTCACTTATACCACGAAACGTTATTACCAACTCAAGGTTAAGCGGATGCCACTTTTGAAAAGAATTCGGACACCTGAGTGAATTCGAATCAGGTTCGGATTTTTACAGAATCGCAGGGCAGGTGTCATGTTAATTCGTACGACTTATGCATACTTAATATATTCATCCTTGTTCTCATTGTCGACGGATATATTAGCGCCGCCCGGCTTCAAATCCCTTTGTATGGTTTTACCGAACTGCTCCTCGTCCACCGAGAACGTTAAATCCAACTCCGAAGGGTCATTTTCCTACGACAAATATTTCGTTTTAAATTATATAATACAAAAGATTATCACAAATAAAACTTGAAATGAAAAAAACGAAAAATATTGATTACTTCATAGATTAATTAGCTTCGATTTTTAATATATAGCGCTAGCGTTCGGATTTGACGCTTTTATTTTTTAACAATGAAAATTTTCATAAACTAAATCATAACATTAAAAAAATGTAAGTTGTTTCGAAAACTAAAATAAATTTACAGGTAATCGTATAGCTAATAAATAAGAGTGTATGTGTGACTCAGTACGTATATTACAATATTATCATTGTTATATTTAGTGTATTTCTCAGCGAAAAAAGGTTATGTTCGAAGCGCGACAAATATCGGCCAATAAGAGGAATTTAAGGTACTCTAAACACGTTGTATTTTTCGCTTTATAGTTATTTACAAAGGCAATTTAATCATATTGGAATTAGTAAATCAACTTATTCTGTTATAAACACAGGCTCGAATTCGACATTGAACGCGGTGCTCTTATTTTTTCAAAAGGTCATAAAGGTTTTATTTCATTGAATCTGCTATCACGGAGCTTCGATCGCTTTCCAGATATGGCGAACGACCGCATACCCATCTGGCTATAACTCTGGCCATAGCCATAACAACATTCTAGTTATTCTATCGATGAATATGTTGATATTCTTATACAATGTTCTTGTTTAATTATTATTTATATATTCAATCAAAGCCTTTGATTCTTTTGTTAGAGTAAATTTACAAAGCTAGAAAAGAACATGAACCTAATGTTCGATTTATTAAAAAACATTTAATTTTTGAAGAATATCAAAAAATTCGTTGACAAAAACAACAAAACGGTTTTATAGCTAGAGAACAATGCAAGTAGAATCAAGGCAATCAAAAAGAATCAAGTTAAGTTAAGCGGTCGCTCTTCTGTTAACGACATAATAGCATAACTGCTCTGCGCCGGCAGAATTTACCCGGCGCTATATATTGTTCGCTAATATGTGTAGTATGCATGAAACAATACAAAATAAGTACTCACCTTGATCCACATAAGAGAATTATAATATTCAAGATCTACTGACTCCATATCTAACAATTCTATCTGTTTGCCGAGCATCATCTTGTAAAATGGACGGATGAAAAATGCTGAAAAAAATCATACTATTAAAAATAACATAATAAAGAGGCAGTTATTTAAGTAGCTCGGTGACGTAGAGGATAAGCGCCACGGCCCGCGATCGTTTTTGTTAAGCAACTTTCGCAAGAGTCGGTCACGGGATGGGTGACCAAAAAATTATTATCTCGAGCTACTTAGTTCTTTGGAAGGCTCGTTAAGCCGTTGGTCCCGGCTGCATTTGCAGTCGTTAATACCCTACAATCCGCATTGGGCCCGCGTGGAGGGTCATGGCCCATCCTCCTGATCCCTCCATAAGAAAGGCCTAAACCCCTGCAGTGGGGACGTAAAAAATTCTGATGATGACAAAGAAGAGGCATTTTATTATTTTACTATAAATTTAAGATTTATTTTAGTTATTTATTTTTTAAATCATCGATCATCCGAATAACTGGCTGGTTAATATTTCTTAGTTATCTAATTTTTTTATAATCTTACCATCTAGCAACTTCCCATGGTATACAGCCATGCCAGCAACCCTGCCTATAAATTTGAAATAATTAAGATGCTCTTCGTTGCAAACACCACTGTTGGGGTTTATTTGCAACGTGTAGTTATCCATGGCAGAATACTCGAACAGACCGTAATAAGGATTGAACATCTCTTTGGACAGAAGGAAAAACCATTCACGAGCGAGACCACCGTAGTCTGAAACGAGAAACTCATATTATGAAACCAAACCATTGAAACAATAAATAAAAATTATATATATTTTTTGCTAACTGCAAATTATATTGCAACCTTTAAATTATAACGAATGGATAGTTCTGCATTCTCTTTGACAACATAGTTCGTTCATACACATTTTGTATTCGGATAGTTGGATACCAAATGCCTATATATATAACCTACGAACAGCATATAGTTTTGCTACAGTCCAAGACCCTATTGCTTAAACAGTATCGGTTCCGTGAGTTGGTTGAAAAGCGGTAGACGGTATGTAATACAAAAAAAACTAAGAATTCAAATATTAATCAAAGATTACGAAAATCATTTATATATTATTCGTGCTTTACATTCTATAATCAATTACTTTTTTACGCTCATATTTCAAATTTTACTGTATAAATTGTAACTTTTTTCTAAGAACGAGTCGACAAATCATTCATTAATTAATAGAATAAATTTCCTTCTTGTAATGACACAGCTTTCGTCCGAGTGACGTGTTTTGTCACTTTTTACATGGGTGCAGTAGTTATAAAAAATGTCTTGTTCTTTACGGAGATTTTTTTTACATAGAAACGTATTTCATAATCAACCTTGGTTCAGAGCAGCGAATTTAAAAATCCATAGTTTAATTTTTCTAGTAGCTATCACAAGTAATAAGCTCTATCATTGGTAAATACATTACCAAATGAAAAATCCATATTATCGATCATAACAAGTTACTTAGACCTTGCTTTAAAACAAAATAATCTATACGAATACGATAGTCACATCTTGTCACAGTTATTCTTTTTTATTTTCGATTTGTTGAAATTATTTGTAAATGTATTTGGCTGTAGCTCTTGACACACACACAAAGTCACTGTATATGTACAAGGATTACCCACACGTACCGCTGCGCGCGCGGAGTTGATTATACTATATCAATTTCATTTACTTACCTAAACCAACCTCCGATTCAAACTCGACCCATAGTTTAGTTTTGAGCAAATCGAGTCTAACCACCGAGCTGATAATCCTGTACGAATCCTCCAAGATCGAGTTGCGTCTCACTTTGATCTCGAATTTATTAGGCACATTACTCTACGATTGAACAAAGAAAAAAAACACATTAAAAATATTACATGAGAATATGCAGTTGTATAACCTAATGTACTGTTGACTGTATCATATTTATTATGTTAAACTCATATCGAGATTTCGGTTACAGTTTCAGCCTTGCGATTCTGTAAAAATGCAAAGCCAAATTCGAATACACTCTGGTGTCTCAAAAAGCGGTATCCGCTCAAACTTGAATAACCTGTCGTGGCATAAGTGAAGTGAGTTTCGAAGTGACATAGGAATAGACTATCTGAGACACGTATATTCAATAAATTTTGTTTTGTATTTTTATACAAGAAATTGAATGAATAAAATTTCTACACTAAATGTCGGGAATTTGAACATATGAATGAATTTGGATTTAGATCTCGATTTTCACAGAATCGCAGGGCAGTTCGCTAATAACTACGTGAGTTACAGTCCTAATTTATTAAAATTCTTCTAATCGGATTTAAGCGGGTATAAAGTTTTTTTTTTTTTAGAATATTAATCACTATTGGCCGCCAGCGACTTCGTGCGCGTTTTCCATTATTTCTTCGCTCCTAATAGTTGCAGCGTGATGTTATATAGCCCAAAGCCTTCATCAATAAATGGTCTATTCAACACAAAAAGAATTTTTCAATGCGAACCAGTAGTACCTGAGATTAGCACATTCAAACAAACAAAACAAACTCTTCAGCTTTATAATATTAGTATAGATATGGTTGCACCATGGTGACTATAGTGAGAAGTCTGTGTCGTCTTACACTAATATTTACAGATACCATTAAAAATATTTAAGGTTTTCGATAAATATTATTGGACGGTAGTTATGCTTTTGATAATATTTGGAAGACCACAACATATTATAAGTCTAGTGACTATGTATCCTAAAACTTATAGTAAAATAGACGAGAAAAGCATTACGTACACTATAATTTAAAAGAATACCATGTATTTGAAACTCTTGTTTACTTAATAATGTAATAATGAATAATGTAATTGATACGTACAGGTTTACGCAACTGGCTCTTGAGATACTCGTACTTGCGCTTGTAGTCGCGCGAGTAGGGCACAGCTGGGCCTGCTATCTGCGGGTTGGATAGTCGCGGGTCCTCCCACTGAGTCGTGCGAGTATCTATAAACATAATGACAACATTATGCTTATATGCGTGTGTTTAAACGCTGCTAATGTGGAGCTTTGTAATTTATTTATCATAAGACTTACAGTTAACAATAAAAGAATTAAAGTTATATACAACAGAGAACCAATAAAGTATCTTTAGTTAGCAATAGAGTACAATTAGTTGATATATATTTTACACACGCCTATGCAATGAGCACATTCTAGTGTCTGCAGCTAATACAATTAATAATCTCAATTAGTAATTATCGTCAAAGAACACACTACTTAAGATACCTCGGCGACGAAAACTCTAGGCATATACGCCGAGGCCTAGTTGAGGCCACGCTGGTGTCAAAGGGATCTGATATTGCTTGCCTAAATATATCTACAGCAACTGGCTCAATGCAATACAGACAAAATATTTTGCTGCATTGAAATGTTCAAAAAATATTAAAGCCAAAAATTTTAAGTCAATCCGCGGATTCAATTTTACAAATAGTATATTGAATCATGATCAATATTGCAAAATCTGTTGTTAAATTTTAACACAATAAGAAACATCGATGCACTAAGAAATGATGTATAGTCAAGAACAAATAACGAATAAAGATTATAAACCCCGCCCAGTTCACACAAAATTATCACTGCTCGCTTCCGAAACTTTTTAGTAGTTCGTTCTAACTTCAGTGCATTTCATTGTTTTATGAGTAAAAAGCATTTTTATAACGTATACGTAATAAGTACAAAACAGTGCAGGAACATATACTGGTGCAGAAAAATGCCGTAGGAAGAAATAACTTCGATAATTTGTATACTGACTATGGTCGATGAAGAATATCCGTCCGTCTGTGTGCACGCGTTCCTCCCATCCTTCAGGCAACGGACCCAATTCGTCAGCTTCAGCGCCCGCCGTCATCGCCGCGGTGGGAAGACTCGACGCGCAACCTTCGATAATGAACCTTATCACAATCACCGTAAGTTCTCATTCACTATACAAACCGAGACTGATTTTAAAAATAGGGAAATATTTATTGCATTTTTTTAAGTTTATGTCCAATAATTACGGATATAAAATGGGCTGACATTAATATTATCCTAATCAAAAACAAAATAGATTCATATGATTTATCATATGATTTATTCAGCAAAACAATTTCTGTATTTCTAATTGATCCCCTTTAAAATCACAAATTTATTTTACGTTTTGATTAAGAAACATGAAGGAATGAATATACTTTATTGTACATTATAACAGTTATACAGAACTTATATACGAGAAACAACAAACACAACTCAACATATGTATGAACCAATTTCAACTCATCGCTCCAATAGTGTCGGAGCAAACAAGTCGTGATAAACGGACGGTAAAACAGAGATCTTATAAGGGTGCGTGACTTTTCCTTAAGGTTCGAAATCGCTTCGCATTTCATCACCTCCGACCGCAAGTTACAAGTGCGTTCTCAACATCTTCGATTACATACGTTTCATTCTAACGTATGAAACAACACGCAACAGCAACGAAAACGACCATACACGATACACAAATATGATTCCACCTTTAGTCTCACCTGTTCTCGGGTCTATCCATGTGGTTGTCTTCTGGTTGTGATCTATGAAGAATATCCTGCCATTCGGAGCTCGCTGCATCGTCCAACCAGGAGGTAGGCCTTTATAAAAAAATATACGCCTTTAAGCATGTTATATACTATATAAATTCCTCATTTTGACTGTTCTGTTTTTTTATACACAGCAAATTTAAAATTTATCATTCTAAGACAACACATTCTAAGGTCACATTTAAAAGATGTAAGCTTATATATCTCAGTTAGCTGGTAGCTTCATAATGTAACATTAATAGAATACAACTCGGAGTAAACCAAGAGTTACAGTTTCAAGTTGTCCTTTATGGAAGCAACAAATAAAGATTTAGAGCCATTAAATTACAAAGTATAATATTATGTTAGAATTATGAATGTATGTATTGCTTCCAGAAAAAAAAATCTATGAAGTTTACTAGTATCGATTAAAACCCTTATTTTCATTTAATAGTTTTTTTTTTGTTTCAAAGAGTAGGTTAAGTTAAGTTGTCTATTGGATTTGCTTGAAACGAATTCATTAACATACTTTCATTTGTTATCTGCTTATTAATGTTACATCTAGAGCAAAGACCTTGTTTATGGACATCGGACCATAACCATCATGCGAGCCCAGTGCGTATTGGTTGGGGGTGGAAAATGCCCGGAACCTAACGCTTAGAAAACACTACTTAACGTGCCTTCCAAAATACGAAAAAGCTCGAGATAACAAAATTTAAGTCACTCATCCTACGACCGGCCTTTGCCAGCTACTTAACATCCGCTAACAGTGACCATCAAGCTACACTTACCATCACTGTTAGGCATGTTCTGACTCTGCGTACTACTCGCGCTGCTGCTTCGTGTGCTCTCAGTAGAACCATCTGTCTCGTCCTACAACACCCACATACATAAACTATACAGCCAAAATCAACAGTACCCTCATAATTATAAAGGTGAATTTTCCAAGTGCTCATTGTGCCTTTTATCTATTTACCCATAACACATGTGCATATATGAAATATATACATATGAGACTTAATGGAACTATTTAGAAACAGTGAGAAAAAATACATTCTGTTATTTAACTTCATTCAGATTGTTTTACAATGTTTGGAATAACGAGTATCTTTTAAACGTTTAAAAGTTCATTATAAGTTATATACACACAATGTAATGCCATTTGTAGAACTATCGTGTATATTGCATAACTTATTAAAAATAAAAGTTATTACAAATATTATACTGTCTATTCTTTAAAAAAATATCAATGTTTATTATAACACAATCTTATAAAAGATATTTATAAAAAAACGTATTTTTACATATGATTTCATAATCACTAACTACACAAATATTAACTAAAACATTCAACATAACCTAACCTAGCAAACAATATACGTTACACAAATGCATTATAGATGCACACTACGCATGCGATTGAAATAACAAACGCACAAGCGAGACGAAAATTGCGAAGACTTGCTAATATTATATAAATACCTATTATTTACCTTAATCTTTTCCATATATAGGTTTACAGATGTGTGTTTACGTATGTTCGTATACGTCACGTGCGTACGTATAATTCACGAGCGACTTAGTAATTCTACTATATATGTGGAAGTAATCTTATGTAAGTGACATACAATTATCACCTACCTAAGTCTATAAAACTCAAACGGTACGTAATAATATTAAAATTAATGACAAAGCTCGGTAATATAAGATAAAACATTTTGGACAAAATGCTATGTATTTATCACAGGCATTAAACACGTAAATAAATAAAAATAATAGTATCAATTTTGAACTTAATAAACAACAGACTAAAGCCCAGAATCGATTGGAGGAATTTGGCCAATTGTATTAATTTTTGACGTAATGGCGACTGTACAGTCAACGATATGTTTAAACTCGGTAACGAGAATGTTAGTAATTGATTCAGATAATTAAAAAAAGGTATCTATAAATCTTTCATGTAGAAATTAATGAGATGGCATTGGAATGTGGCGGCAGAAGTTATAAAACCCGACAAGTCCATAAAAAAGAAGAAAACAAAAATAGGAAGAGCTCTGATTAGAGTAATTAATGTAAAAAAAAAACTAAGAATGTAAAAAAATGCATTATGACGTTGTCTCTGCCGACCTAGTAGACCTGTAAAAGTTCTGATGTTAATATAAAATCAGAATATTGATCTATGTAAAATACTTGAATCTATTGTTTACTTTGTCCAAATATTATTATCAAATAAAATCGAGAAAATTACAGTACATACTATAACAATAACGTATTTAGTAATTAAAATATCCGTTTTTTTATCTAACACCTTTGTTTTCTGTGTTACATGTAAAGCTAACTTTTATTAACATAAAGCAGCATAAACAAACGAGATGCGTGACAATTAAATTTATGACGTGTTAGTGACGTAAGCACGCGATGACATCACAGTAACTGTTGTACCTCACACGTCCTCATAGACATATCCCAAAGCGATAAGTGAGCTTACTCATATGGCCGCCGTGGAATGTAAAATTTACTCTGCGTTGCGAACACCAGGCATACTTTCGAACAAGCACAAGTCAGAAGCACTGCGGAAGCTTTCGTTGTAGCAGACGGTTATTAAAACTCCACACATAATGTTCGAATAAACTCTCAAAGGCGGCTTCAACTTGAGAAATTGATGCAAACCTTTTGCTGCTTAAGGTGGAACGGCACGGAGTCATTCGTCATGATAGACGGCGCTAAATGTTTTAATTAGCTGATCTTATTTCATTATTGAGTTAGACTAACAAAGGTCATAGATTAAGTAAATCAATTACAGTAAATTTTCATGAATAAAAAATAGAATACAGCACCATCTCTTAAAGATTACAAATGAAACTACCACGTTTCACCTTAATTAAGAACAACTACTAAAAGTCATATCAATACCGTTAGTTTCGCAACACAATCCAACCTCATAACGGAGGAACGGATATTCTAATTTTGAATTGAAATTAGTTCGGAACCCAAATTCTGTCAAATTCATTGTAATTAAAACAAAGTGAGCATGTTCCGTGCATAAGCAAGCTTAAAATATTCAATACCCTCGTTTCCGACGGTGCCTTCGGACCGTGAACGTGTATTGGATTCGTTCGCAAAGCTGATACATATTACATTCCTGGCGGCCGCTTACCTCTGTATCATCGTCCATGGAGGCGGCAGTGGCACGACGGGAGCGGCGTGGTGTAGCCGCACGGCTGCCGCCCACCGGCGTACTGAAATGGTTCTCGTCGAATGTTAACGACTCCTCCGATGCTTCTGAATCCTCTATCTCTATCTCTACCACACCAGCGCCCGTTCCATCTGCTTGACGTTCCCTCGTCTCTGTCCGATTCTCTCTGACATCACTATCTCCTTGTACATCAACATCGGTCACAACTACTGTCTGACTTTCATTCGATTCTCCTTCAGTTTCGTTTGTTTCTCCGTGACTATCTTCTGTCGCCCCCCGATCGTCAACCGATTCACTAGAATTTGTCCGTTCAATATCATCGTTAGTTTCAGTATTGTCGTTCCCGATCGGTACGCTTCTATCGTGCCCTTCAGCTACTACATCTTTATTACAAGCTTCTACTGCGTCAACTACATCAGCGGGTGGCGTTTCATCTACATCTGTTTTATTATTAACGTCATCCGTATCTTTAGGCATTATGTCATCATCTTCTATCTCTGTTTGACTAGTACTTGCTTGGTTATCACAGTCGTCTTGAGCGACGTCATCAGCTCGGACGTCTCTCGATCGCGCGGTCTCGTTCGCGCATACCACATCGTCCTCCTCTGTAGTTTCGTTACATCTTAAATTATTATCACAGTCGTTTTCACTTAAACTAGTTGCGGACTCCACAATTTCGGTTCCAGAGTCATGTTCCGGGGAGCGTATCGGTGTAGAATAGGGCGTTGGGTCTGTGGAGTTAGTCTCGCCGCTTCTATGGCTTACATCCTCCTGTTAGAGATTACATTTGATATAACAGACGCATAACCTATGTGTGCAATTTAGACGAGTATTATTTATATTTGGTATTGCACACGTGTCGCTGTATTCGCAAAGAGTATCAAACCTCTTTACTGTTATTCAATAAAACTTTTTCAGACAAAACGAGGCTTTGAAACTTTTTACGAAAACAGCGGGCAAGTTTTGCGTCTTCAGCTGACGTTATCAAACGTTGTCTATGGCTGTGAGGACAACACAATGGATGTCTATGGTCCCGAGAAACACCGATTTCGTTAGTATGTATCGCGGAGATGATAGTGACGTGTTGTGTACTCACTGTTCTTGAAGTTTTAACAACAGCCATGAAAAATATTAGAAATATTAATACACTCGTGCTGATTGGGGGTATAGGAGTCTAGTTAGATTATTACCCAATATATTTAATTCATCATGCACTAGATATCAACATGCACAATTATACAAAATGTCATCATCATGCAATGGAACATAAATAGAGTACATCAACTACAGTGCTATAGTGATAGTGACGAAATAACTAGGAGTTTTTATTTCGAACGAAGATAATAAACAATAACGACCGTAAAAGCGTGAGATGTACTTAATATTAACGTTCATATTTATCTTAATCATCCTATCTATCATTTGTGTGTCTGTTTGTCCGTCCGTATGTCTGGAGCTGGACGATTTACGTGTTTAGTACAAATATGTATTAAAGTATATTCGGTGTAAAAAGTATCGGTAACCCAAAACGACCGTATAGCGTAAACCTGAATGAATTTGAAAGATCGTCGTCGTATATCCTGTGTGACATATAAAATTGAAGAGCTTATTGAGAAAACCTCATAATTTTAAGAAGATAGACGAAAATTGACTATAGTCTTCTCCCATCACATCTCTACCAGCAGGGCCAAATTCTATACCTATTCTAACGTATCAGATCTCTGATGTGTTTTAAATATGTGTGGAACCGTCTCCGCACGTGTCCAGCTCACCCTTGGCCGCTTTTATATTGCTGTTTTCTTACAGTGAGTACACAACAAAATGCGAAACAATAATAATGTTATATGAAATGTTCATGTTAAATCGTGTATCGCAAAGCTCATGGCGACCCCTCCATCACACCTGTCCTACAAGACTGAAAACTCTAAACATTGAACTCTTCTAATTATATGTGGATATCACATTCATTCAATAGCGAAACTCCATTATGGCTTATGATGTCTAAATCATTCAATTACTAATGATGTATACTATCAACTCTGACGCCGTACATTTACACTGACACTACGCTTCTTTAAAAAGTTATCGGTAGCTATTAGGTAATGTATTTTAAAGTATCCCAGGGCCGTCAGACATTATTTTTTTCTGATGTACAAAAGGGTGTAGGATAGAAAAATATTAGTATAAACCACAGAAATAAATCTAGTTAGAAGGAACATGTTCGTCGATTTATATGGAGACCGAGCGTGCCACATTTTGTGTAGGTATCATGACGTCACGATCTTAATTTAGTGATGGAAGACATAATTTCACTTGCATCGAATACATGTTGTATTTGAAACGGCATACCGATTCTTATCGATTGAAATAACGATATCGATCGACGGAGACCAACGTGTACAGTCTGTCTATAAAGTCATGAAAAGAATGTTTGAGGAACTAACATTAGACACAAGTATGACAACACTGAATCAAAGTACATCGACTGTCAACAACTTGATTTTTTAGCTCGATTTTCTGCATTTTTGATTTGTTTTGATTAAACTGAAGCTACTTCTTCTAAACTCCGTCGAAAAGTGTTAAAAATGAAGAGAATTTATCAGAGTGAAGCTCAGGATATTATTTATAAAGTTTTTCAGTGATGTTTATTGGAACAAGAAGCTGGACACATTTTATCATATTTGTAGGATGTTAAAGCTCGAACGGCAGTTATGGCTGGTATGTAATCGTGTTACTGATTGAGTTTTGGTTACCAGAAGTTTCAAATTTACTAAATATATGAATTTAAGTCTAAAAGAAGTATTGATTACATTATGCATTTATAGGTTAGATTGAAAATGTTAGAAGGCTATATTGTAGTGCGGCCCGAACTTTCAATACTTTTGGATAATCAAATTTATCATTGATTTTAATCTGAATAAAAAATATACCTGTTAGGAATGTACGATTTTTACCTACGTACGCCAATAAAAAGTTTGTGCTTTATATTACTAAAATTATAGCATTAATTTGATCATTGTGGCGATTCCATTCTTTTTGCCAAATACGTATAGGTATTACATTTTTAAAACTTACTTTCAGGAAAATCAGAGAATATAGTGATACGTATTGTAGATGAAGGTTATAAAAATGGTGGCATATTTGAAACCCCTGGGAAACATAGATAGTCGTCCTAAGAAATAAATTGTTAACTGCAACATTTGTGCACTTCGACAAAAGATTCAGTTCTTTTACTCTGTGAAAAAAAGAGGTACCTACATGAAGAAAACATCAGTGGATTGCCAAAACTGATCTGGATTTTAATTGTAGCCTAGAAGTTCTGCGTTAAATTCTGAAATATATTGGGTTTTCTTACAAGGAGTGTCAAAGTAACAGGCTTTAATCGAACACAAGCACACATTGCAGTAAAACGAGAAAACAACTTGGCAATTATAAAAAAAAAAGATTTATCAAAAATTACGATTACTATATTGTAATCTTCAATGTAGAATAAACTCATTGTCTACGAATTATACGCCTTTCTTTACCTTTTCTGGGGTAATAAAAGTAAAAAAAAAATCCTACTATCAAAATCATTTGTCTCACTACACAGGGTTGCTACGTGCACGATCGCAGCGCCCTCAATTTTTTTCATGACTTTATAGACAGACTACCATTTTGCTTAAATATTATGTATATGTCACGAACTCACGAATGTAATTTAGTGAATCGGCGCAAAAAAGATTTTATGCGATAGAATAGAAATCGGCATTTTTCTGTGGGCAAACACTTTGTAGTAGCCGCTACCCCCTCCCGACACGCTACACATTTTTACGTCCTGTGTTGTTATGTTATGTTTCACGGCGGGCTTTTCTGCAACTCGATACTCAGTGCCTATTTTGCATGACACGGGGTTGCTTTAGTCCTGCCACCCCAGCTCCTCCAGGAAGCCCGTAAGATCTCGAACTCTGCCGCATGCTTCCACTAGTATCCTTGGGCTTCATAGATATGTAGTCCTTTTGTCTTAATAGGCTCCTGCATTCCAGTATCACATGAGTGCACAAGCGCTTATGTGATACTGGAATGGAGACTGAGGAGACAATCTCCTCAGTCTCCATGCACGCCCTGCTCAGAGGACTGTCAGAATAACCCATGTTATATAGGTGTTTGTTAAAGTTTCCATGTCCAGTAAGTATACCTACTATTTGCCTTAGAGTCTTGTTGCTTCAATCCATTTATTTTTAATATTAGGATCATACGGAAAACTAAAACAAAAATTACAGTATAATTCAATATAAAATTAATTATCCTTTCTTCTGCTTTCAAAAACGATATATTTTTAATCGGGTAAAAAAATCGCATTGTACAGCACTATTCTCCATTTTTGACAGAAAAAAATGATAATTTGTCCTCCAACAAATTGACCTTGAATTATACATCGATGGTTTTACAAGCACAGCAAATTTGGACTGTCAAATTAAAGCCGCAATGGAAAGCTATTACTGGACACATGACCGTTTTGATAAAAATAATACGGAGCAACAAAACTAATGATTTTTAATTCAAAATAGATATATCAAGGCAAATAGTTACTTACCGATGGAAGGAAATACCTCGACTATAAGATCCAACCATATTGGTGGTGTTTGAGCAGGTAATTATCGAACAACGCATCATTTTAAATTTCGTCCAACACCGATTGCGATCGAAAGTGGACTGAGCCTCGCGGCGAGCAATGAAGCTGTCTAGACGTCGTTTCGGCACGCGAAGTACGTACACTTTTTCCTTCTAACTAGATATATTTCTGTGGTATAAACTTATTGCTACCTTGGCCCCAATAGCCAATTGATATCAGATGATAAAGGTAATAAACATTACTCGACTTTTTTAAATTCTGATGGCTGATTTTTAAGGAAATGTTAGAGAAAAAAATGTTAAAAATCAATCGTTAGTACCCCAACATACATTTTAAAGTCACACAACTTAAATCTTACTTATAGTTTGATGCTTATATCTTTAAAGGCAAAAATCTTACAAAACAAGACACGAACTTTATGATTTTCGTGCTTAAACTACTTAATGATCGTATATCGCCCATAATTGTCATTTGGCTAAAGAACGCTGGTGCGATATCCCTATATATAAGTATAATAATTTCAGAACTAATAAAATCTATTTTATATATAAGTATAATAATTTCAGAACTAATAAAATCTATTTGGTTTATATTTGTCAAAAGCATTTGCCTTGCGATAATCCATCAGAGTATTTTGAATTCTATTGATATAAAAATAGAACTTTCAGTATATTATAAAATTAATGTTACGCCATCTAAAAGCATGCAACAGAACCTTTCATATTTATTAAATTAGAACTACAGCGAATCACTTTAACATTTATCCATCTATGTGGGTACCGGTCCATGCAACAAAATATTAATAAAAAAAGTAAAACAGGAATGTTAGAAAAACCAATGATTGTTCATTAAGAGTTAATATTTTACAATGAACAAAAAATAATTACGGCTTTCACAGAACTGAAATTTTAAATGTAAGCGTATTATATAATGTATCTTATACAGTTCCTTCTTTAAAAAAAACCTTTTAACAATAAAAATACGAAATATTACCGACAGAAGCACTGCTTACATTATTATAGAAATGATAGCGTCACTCTAAGGTAAGCAATTCGTAATTAGAAAACCTCAAAATTAATCAACATTTATTATCATGCAAATTAAAAATAAATGTAGAGTGCCACCTTTAAAAATGTTGTATATTATATCGTCCGTTCGCCCACCAAAATAAAAGAATATATTTAGTGTAATGAATAATAATTGCGCAATCTATAATCCGAATACTAATGACTCATAACAAAATATCGACAAAGACTTATCGATAAACATCCAACACTAAATACATTCCTTTCAGTGCTTTAAATAATATTGAATCGTATTCTCTTATACTTAATATGTATATTAGTACAGTACCTGTCTCTGTGAAGCGGACGGACTGGAATTATTATCGCCATCAGCTGAAATGTGGAATCGACGCTGGAACTCAGTGGCGGCCGTCTCCATACGCTCCGCCTGAGACTCGGTGCTCATGTTACGTCTGATGAACAAAATATGATTTACTAGCTTTCCCGCCGCATCGCCTGCACGGAATTCGGTTATTCGTCCTAGCGAAGGTCAGGTCGAAATGTTTAAACTCCAGTACAAATTTTTATTTACTTCATATCCAGTGCCTATATACAAAGTTTCATGTTTTCATCTTCGACGACGACAACACTTCATACAAATTTTTCGAGTAAAAACTGTCCTATGTATTTCCCAAGATCCACTAACTTTGTACCTTTTAAATTAGCTCAGTTCAGGCGTGAAAAGTTAACAGACAAATATACAGAGCAGCTACTTTCGCATTGATAATATATTAATGAGGGTTATTTTTAGTAAATTTAGTTACGTTCATCCAAGGTTTCGCTCTCGTTTCATTGATAAAATTGTTTCCTTAAACTCTAAAACAAAATTCAGATTCTAATACCAAACAAAGAAACTGTATAGAATTAAGTTAATTTATCGTTCATCGAAACAAATAATTAATCGGAAAATCAAAATTTATCAATAAATAAAAATAAACTAAACGATCAAACAAAAGTAACTTTTCAATCAGACATTGATTTGATTAATGATGTCATCCATATCACATTTCCTCATATCAAATATGCGACGTAAACAAACAAATATTTGGCATACTCTATAATAATATTCATCTTATACATATAATTCTAAGGATCAACACTTATTACTCAGGTAATACTCCTACTATAAAATTTTCAGATCAGAGTCATTCACTTCCAAGTGTAAAAGCGATTTTTTTTTTTCGTTAAACCAACTTTAAAGCGCATTTCATTGAGTGTTTATTATAATTCTTATATATCATAATATCCAAATCGAAACATAGCTTTTCGTAACAAATCGTACGGAAGGGATTCTAGGACAACATAACATTTTAAAAGAACGGTATTTTTTACACTCGATATTATATTTCCTAAATATGAGTACTGCTTTCATTAAAAAAGTTAATGTTTAAATTTAGTTGTATAAGGTTATCTCTCCAATCACTGATCCGACAATACAAATGATCTTACCAGTATTAAGATCTACTCAAGTATTGTAATATATGTGATTGCAAAGTAAATAAAATTTCACATGTATTTCATTATTTTTATCAAATCGAATTGAGCTATTAACAATAATAAATTACATTCCACTAGTTTGTCTATTCATTTATCTATTGTAAGTACATATAACAACACTTTACGTACAAATATTTGATTAAAAACACGTGAGTTTTACAACAAAAAGATGTACATAGATAAGAAACAAAAAAAACAACGTCCATGTAATGTATAGTTATAGTCAACCTAAGCATGGTAACTACTTACCCATCTTGACAATTCTTCTTTAAAATTGACCTGCTTAATAATTTGAACCTCATCAGAACACTTCAAGCTGAATACTGGGCTATCGTACATCTATATCGATAAGAATGTATACTGCGATAAATCGGTCAATAAACAATGAATGTCCTCACAATGGGCATAGACAGATTGACCATCGACAAAACGGTAGAACAATTATGCTCAAAATAATAAGAAAGTTTTAATTGTGATTAAAATCAAATAGTGATAGCCTGTCCATATGCCTTCAAAAAACGCTACTGACGCCGTCTGACGAGAAAATGAACATGGGACGACACCATTTCGTTTTCATGGATAATTTATAATTATAATTTGAAGCAATACAGTATTATAAAGAGTAAATATTTGATTCTTTGCATTGAAGTGGCGCCGAAGCTACTGGACTGATTTTAAAAATATTTCCTCTACGGAAAGCTACATCTATTCTATAAAATTTACGCGGAGGAAATTATAGGAAAACTACTAGTAAAATAATAAACATCCAAACTGGCCAAACACTTAAAGAAAGTGCGTTCCAATTTAATAGAATAGACTACATTTACGATGACATTGCGTGTTTTCTTTTTCCATAATCAATAATCAATTTTATCAGATAACTTTATAAGCCAGTTTATTGATAATCCGTACAGTCACTATACGACGCCGATATACATATATGATAAATATTAATCAAAAATATCATGGGGTGCTTAAAAACAGCGATCGCAAGTTCAATTAGACATGTTTCAATGCATTTATACAATTTACTTTGTCTTTTTTCAAGCTTACTATTTTTAGTCAACATTTATCGCTGAATTACACAAATATATAATAACAGGAAAGATTTATTTTCTGAATATAAATATGTACTGAATAACATCAAAACTATCCGACTAAACCTATTTATAAAATTCTTTCACCAAATTAAAACTACAAAGCGAGTAACATATACTATATTTTCTTGGATTTTACATAATTATTTGTTTTTTTTTATTTATAATATTGCAGTAACGTGTTGATTTTTAATTTTTACTACTATTAGGACTATATGATTTTTTATGTGATTACAATTGATAAATATAAAGAAATAAATAAATATAAAGCCTAAGAAACAAATGTGACTATTTAATATAAAGTAATATTCAACAGATATATCTATATGTTTAACTGCATATTTTATTTCAGTATATAAGAAGTCAGTTGCACAAACATCCGTTAAGGTTTAATCACGCCTAAAAGCTCTAATGAATGCTAAATTTTTATTGTTAATGTCGCTTTAAACTAATGAGAATTTTAATGGATGTTTATGCAATTGACTGTAAGTGTAATAACAGGGGTTAAAGTATGAAATTGCCGATTTGTTTATTTTTTAATAAATTAATTTAATCAAAATAGTTATCATTATTATCTATACATTGCTGTCATCTAATATGAAGGTCATTTATGCCTTTGCGATCGAATTCTTAGGATCTAGACTGCACAAACTGTTTGAAAACATTTTAAAAGGGTATTTATTGCCCAAAATCCATAAAAAATGCATAAGATCCATATGTGGTATCGCTCCCGACGTCTCATGTCAGCAATGGTTTAAATTTCTTGGTATTCTACCTCTTCCTTGCTTATATATATTTGAAGCAGCGAAATTTGCCAAACGATACCCTGATTATCACAAAATAGCTCTTGAAGTGTATCCCAGGAACACTAGAATAAAAATAGGCTAGTTCTTGAAAAGCGCGCGATTTAAAAATAACTGCTACTGTATGTGTCAAACAATATTTAATAAGATTCCGGAATCTATAAAGAATACACCTTTTACTAGATTTAAGGGAGTTATATAACTGGCTTGCTGAGCGTTCCTTTTATTCGTTGCATGAGTTCTTAGACTATAAAAACTGAACGGTAGCCTGGGTGGATTAATCAGTGCTTATAGTATCTTCTTTTACTACATTTGCATGCTATTGTTAATGGCTGAATAGGCGATAATTGTATTACCTTTTACATCTCTTTTGTATACCCTATTCAAACGCAAATAAATTATTATTATTATTATATTATTATGTACTGCCTCCTGTGAAGAAAACTTCTAGTCACGTAGATAATTATCCAAATCCCAAAAAAGCCCGGTAGTCCGCTGTAGCAAGGTCTGGCGAATATGGAGAATGACGAATGGTTTCTAACTGCAGTTCCTGAAGGGTCCAATCATGAGGCACCCATTTTTCGTTTTTTTTATTTTATTGATTTAAAGCAAATGAGTCAATATTGTGGGTAAGGTAACGTTAAACCATGCCGCTAATTCCTGGGTAGTTTGACTGGGATCGGCTTCCACCATCTCTCTTAATTCATCGTTATTCACCTGTGTGGGCGGTCTTCCTTGTGGTTCATTCTTCAAGTCGAAGTTTCCATCACGAAAGCGTTTAAAAATCGCACGCAGCGTTCATTAGCAGACCCCTATCCAAACGCAACATTGATATTGCGGGCTGTTTCTGCCGCGTTACTTCGGCGTCGGAAATCGTTTTCAAAAATCACTCGAATTTTCGCAGTATCCATCTTTCTTGTCTAAGTTGAATAACAAAAACAATTGAAAGTCGTTATTCAAATGTTTCACATTTTTAAAAGATGAACATCGTGGAAACCATGTTAAAAAAGTTTCTTTCGAAAACCTCAAACCATGAAGATTGTATGTCAATTCAAGAAACCTATTACAATAAAACAGCAAATTCATATTTTAACCCCTAATATTAAGAAAAGGCTGTAAGACTTCTTCAGATGGATAAGTTAAGTATACTGAAATAAATTTATTATGGCAACACTGAATTCACAAAAAAAATCAGCTATTTCATACATATTACAATATTCCTGGTATATAATAATATTACACCTTATATAGCCGAGAAAGGCCAAGACTAATCTTTCCCGTGAATCAATCGCGTAATGTAACCATAAAAACCGGCGAGTATATATGAAAAGAATAATAAAAGTGGATGAGGCGAATTATGTACGTAAGGACCGTACTTTGTGGTGTTCGGTCCTCTCAGCCTACCCCGCAAAGGATACAGCGTGAAGATAAAGATAGATAGATAGATTAGTATTAAAATAATAATTGAAGGTTGCGTGGTAATATATTAACAATTTAAATATAATATTAAAGACGAGAACTCACGTGAAGTTAGGTCGTTCCCATTGCGTGGAGCGGTCAATATGGTTTACGTAGTAGGTACGGCCGTTTGCGTCCTGACGCTCCTCCCAGCCAGGCGGTAGCGGGTCACCGCCGATAGTCTATATTCAGACAAATAATATACTAGACACTAATATTATATATAAAGAAGAAACAATGATTTGTTTGCATTGAATAGGCTCTGAAACAACTGGATTTTAAAAACATCATACGCGGGTCACATAGGCTATATTTGACGCGGGCGAAAACGCGGGAAAACATCTACTATAATATAATATTACAATACACATCGCATTATATAAAAATATTTTCTACAGTGAACCAATAGGAAGGTCTATAGTGACCGGGAATCGAACACATATCCTCAGAGATGACGAGACTGTCAAGCAAGCACGAGAGCCACTCAGCTACGAAGGTTGTCGCAATCAAACCAGATTCACATCAATCCATTACAATAATAATATATCAATTAAATACGTGTGATATTTAATTTTATGATATGTAAACTCTTATTCGGCTTAGACTGCAATCATGCATTTGTGTATTTCGAAGAAAGAAGATAGAATATACCCAATGGGGTTTGCTAACCTAACCTATAAAACATTCGAATTCAAATTGAATTTAGAAATGGAAATGGATAACTTTCTTAAAATCAGTTAAAAAAGTTAGCAACGATTGAATTTTTATTGTATTGTTTAATTGAATCCAATGCGTTTGTTATATTGCGTTCAGATATCTTCTATTTCGTAAATCTGATTTATCATGATTTTGTACTGGAAAGAAGCATCAATAGCAAAAAAAATGTCCTTCTGTACATATTTGTATGTATATAAAAGTATGTTTTTTTAAAAAATAGTAGTTGAATACAATCAATTTTAAAGAATTATGTATTATATTTCAACCCGTATATTAATATGAGATAAGTAATATGAATAAGAAGAGTTATAGACTTAATATTGAACCTTAGGATACCCATCCATATATGCATACCCATAATAATGGATACCATCTGTATACTTAAATCCGATAACTAACAATAACTTTTAAGATTCACTATCCAGCATAAAACTATGATTGTCAACATATGTATATTTTTACGGTTTAGAACAATGTTTCACAGTCAATCTAATCAAATGCCTTCGAAAAATCTAAACAAGTAAATATTCATTGTGATGACATAATAATGACATGGACATATACTATTATAAAGAACTTTTGAAATTCTTAATAAAAATCATTTTTATTTATTATTGCCCTATTTATCCTAAAAATTTATTAGTTATTTCCGCAATCAATATTAATGAGTCTAGATAATACTCTACGCATAAAAAAGGTTATTTTTAATTTATGTAAATGTGGAAGAAATTGGAATCACTTGCACAAAGACGCTTCCAAGAGCCTCTTAGATTTGAACCAAAATATTAACAGCATTTTAATTAATATATATATTTATATAAAAGTAAATACAGAAAGTATAATTAGCGTAATATTTAAATGGAAATTAATAAACTATTAACCACTCCAGTCATCAGTATACATCATCTGTAATCAGAAATGAGCAAAATTTAATCATGATTAACGATTATATTTAGCAACATTCACCCAGGATTAAAGATTACACTTTCCCGTTATCTCGTTACGTTACATACGTTATCTCTGTTTGTAATATTATGTAATATTATAATTAATACTTAACTATCAGCCCCACTGCAGAGGCTTTAAGCTTTCCCCGTAAACAAAAATAAACAGAAATTCTGGCCGTAACCTACCACGCGAGCCCAGTGCGGATTGATGGGTGCTAAGAACTGCACATGTAGTCGGGACCAACGGTTTAAAGTGCCTTCCGAAGCAGAAAGAGCTCAAGAAAGAAACTTTTATTTGCTACAATGATGCGGGCGATATTCGGCTGGGTAGTGGGAACTTTTAAAACATAGCGTTTTACTAAAATTTTAACTATTTTACATACAAACTTTTTTGAACATTTTGAGATATAATTTTAACTGATATACAATTTTCAGCATTCGTTAATGCTAGTTTTACCAAAAGCATTTAGTAAAAACTAGTTCTAACTGAGTTCTATCTAAAAACTGGTTTTAACTGTAACAAATATATAGGCCTATTTCAAGTGTCCAGCCAAAAGATTAAGAACCGCTATTGTAAACAATGAAATTGTCTATGCTCCACCTTTTATACAAGCAATACAAGCGGAAGCTTTTGAGAAAATAATAATGCATGGAACATACAACGTGCGCGACTTCGGATGGGTCGATCAGCTCCCACTCCGCGGAAGGCTCCCCGACCGACTCCTAACACACAAGCACACTATACTACAACTACCAAAACTACACACTACATCTAAACTTTATACACTACTGTTTAAAATACCAATAACAATGAAATTATGAGTGGCTTACACAATACAACAAGTGCTTTTAGAATGAAAGACGCATGGATAGTATGCATGCAGTAGAAGTTATTTGTTACGATGCGTGAGGTGAATCCTTATATGGACCATTTACCACATTTTTCCACAATTTTTAACTTAACTATCAATAAATTAAGGCATAATTTTTTTTTAACTGAATGCAGAAACATCTAAATAAAGAAATAAACATCTACGTACAGACAATTATAATGTTTTCTTATATATATTTACAATCACACAAAAGGATCATCTCATCAACATCTTAAAGAAACGGATAATTTCTTAATAAAGATTGGAATATTTCACTACAAACGCGAAAAACGTGCAAATGAAGAAATATTACAAGCGGTGCTTTTTATTTATGAACCTCTAAGAACGAAATCTTTGCCACGTGCGATACAACCGTTTTTGGATCATAATAGTGAAACGTAAAGATGAAAATGAAGTGGCAGTTTAGCTCGATTACAGGTAGTTCATGTAAATTTTACTTCACTGTAACATGCTATTATATCCTCATGGATGATTCTAGAACGTTTAGAGTTGAGCTATATCTGACAGAACAGAAGCGCGTTTTTCTATCGCCCTTTCTCTTTCGATGGTTCATGTCATAACGCCACAGTTATGTCGGTATAGTCGGTAAGTTGTCACGAGCCCCCGATCAGAGGAGTATCCACTCAAATCAACTCCCAACATTAGGAGGGATTTATCCTAATGCCGCCGTATGACCGCTAAGTGACCTTGAGACTTCTTATGAGACCCATAGCGAACGATTACGTCTCGCTCAAATGTCTCGCAATAGACACTGGTCGAAGACTTGTCTTGAGACACTGAGGTAATTTGAATGCGAAGATGCCAATCTCAACTTGTAAAACTAGGATGTGAAGTTGGAACCCAATGATTAGTCGGGTTTAGAACAAGATACAGTAATTCTTGCTTCGATTTCATAAAAAAAATGTTCGACACCGCCGCGTTTTGAACACCGCCTCAGGACTTAAAAACTATTCAGGACATCCTAAACTAACCAGGAGGCTTATTGTCTGGTTTTAAAATCTATCTGAATCCCTTTCAACATCACATTTTAAAGATAATCAAAAACATTACGTTGAGCAAAAACTATAGAAAGATGTTCAATGAACCGTATCGTTAATTAGAAGTGTCCAAGGCAAGCATTAGACGAAAATATCTCTGAAATGCTATCCGCTATCTTTCGATTCGATTTAGGTTAGATTCTATTTTGATTCTTATTCATTCATTATAAAAATGACGAAATGTTATATATTTCTAAAAATCGCTATACCTTTCAGAGGGATTGCGATACGTTTTAAAATTACATAATAAGCCCCCAGGACCTGTCCTGGGAAAACAGGACGGTTGCCAACAGATTACTGTGTGTATACTGACCGGTGGCACTTGTCCGTGTTGCGTGACTGGCTCCACCAGCTCCCAGTCCTCGTCTGCTCGCCTGGCGGCATCCTCGGCGGGTTGCTGACCCTCCTCCCCCACACCGCGACCCAGCAGAGCGTGGTAGACCTCTATGTAACCACGGACACGGGACCGAGCACTGCAATAGCCACTTGTTTATTTCTTCCGTAGTCAACCCAATCTTCTTCAAAATATTTGAAGATTATCAAAGTTTTATTTGCAGACTGTACTTCTTTATAGTATTTTGAAATTGAGTAAATAAAAGTTGTTAAATATCATAAATTGGAGTTACTTATTATGACGGCAAAAGGCGCAAATCACTAGTCGTACGAAATAACATGACACCTAAAAGCCTATTCTAATACTCCGGAAACTTGTCTATTCATCTATTTTCGAAATGCTGATACGACTCCAAGGAAACACATTTTCGATAATTTATGATACAACGTAAGGTAGGACCTAACACTAATATAATCATATACCTGACATATGATTTTAGTAATATTATAATTCGAAAATTATAAACGATTTGAAATTTTTCGAATTTTCGTTTGAAAGCAAATAGAATAGGCCCTTAGCTATCATGTTAATACTTACGAGTTATAGGTATATTTCTGCCCTTGTCTAATGATTTAAATTGAAAGGTGCGCAATTTTATGAATTATAAAACACATATTTGATTTGTTCTTGTAAATTAGGTTAATTTGAACTTGACATAATATAGTGGAAAAATTAAATATAAGGATATTGACAATTCATCAACTTATGTTTACTTTACACAAACTCGGCTAAATAAATTTATTAATAAGGATTATAGGTCATACCTTTTAAAATAATCTTATAGGAACAAATAAATTTTCAAATTCTAACCTTAAATACAACAAACAACAGAAATGATTAGAACTTGTTTACTAAGCATTTTGTACATACAATCTTTACAACAACTATTTATAATATAAAATTCATACAATACGAAGACACAGTAAGCGCATTCGGTTTGCAATGCAAGGGTTAAAGCCAACTTTCGCAAGGGCCGCCCATAAGATGGCTGACCAAAAATTTATTATTCCGAGCTATTTCGTGTTTCGGATAGCACATTAAGCTGTTAGTTCCGGGTGCATCTTAAGTCGTTAACACCAACAAGCCATACTGAACCCTGGATCAAAGTCCGTTAATTATATTTTATTCCCGTGCCTATGCCCCAGCTGTATTCCAGGGCCTATGCCTTTATTCCAGTGCCAGTGCCTATGTTCCAGTTGTAAGAATATTATAGGCTGATTTTAATGGTAATGATTGCGAATATTTCTTATAACATTCATACATAAACGACTAAACCAAAAAAAAACTTGAAAATGTTACCTTATAAAACGTGCGTCTACAGTATACCATGATACCTACCTACATGGTATAGTGTAGACGTATGTTAAATATTTTATTTTTAATCGATAAAGAATAATATAAATGATGCAAACAGTATCTTACAAATAACAAAAATTCTTGACTAGCAGATAGATACGATAAATCGCATCGACCAATACCAAAAACGTTAAAAAGAACATTAGATAGGAACACCAATTTTCTAAGACACACCGAAAAAGCACCACACTCGTTATTTGCTTTAGGTTCATTAGGTGAAAAAAAAAGGAAATTGAAACACTATAAAGTTTTCGACAGGGTGAAATCTTTGTTACTAACGTATACTTGTTTTAATTTATATCGAAATTCAACTCTATTAACTGAGTCACAACATTCAATTCTCAATTATCGAATCGTTAAAAGTTCAAAAATCATTAGAGATTACTGATTTTGGCATATATACAGTACAAGCACAAACCGATACATTTGTAGATAACCCGAAAACTAATCTAATGCAAAAAAAGTAACCAAAATAGCCAAAGTTAGCGGGTTAGTGCTTTTTGCGAATTAGTATATCTGTACAAAAATACGAATACCTATTATTATATTATCTGTAACTTTAAATATATTTTATATAAATATGAAGGGTATTTTATAGAATTTGGACTTTACAACCCGATTATGCTCATTTTTATTTAGTTACAGAATATAAATGGCTTAGTTATTTATTTATTCTTTTACTTATTTTATATTGCTATCTTGAGTTAATATTTACTATACAAATAGTTATTTAAAATACATACTCTATTTTCAAACGAAATGGATATTTAATGGTCATTGACATCACTACGAAATCAAATTCAAAGTGATTTCTGTAGAAATTTACTTAATTACTGATTACATTTAATTAGTTTAACACCCAGTTGCTTAAACGTCCATTAAGATTGAATTACGACTAATGTTAATACTTAAGGAGATTTGGAAATGGGTGATGATTCTTAAAAATATATGCTACAGTAAAAATGTTAACCTTAAAATATCACAGAAAAGACTTAATCAAAATTATGGAATAAACAAATGCCAAGTTTAAAGCCTACAGGAAATGCTTAAGAATAAAATATAAAAACTACTCAAAGTTTCACATAATTTCACTATCAAAAATACTCTTTTAAACAACAAACGACCATCTATATATCAAATCTATTCTAATCAAAGAATCATTTCAATTTGTAAGCGGTATAAGTATTTTGAAATTAATATCAATTACAGTTATCAATTACTAGAGCAAAACACCTAATTGTTGCCCATTTTATATATTTTTAATAATTTACCAATAAACTTCTGAAGTATTTTATTACGTTGAACAAAAAGGTATTGTTTCACTATCTGGAGCAACACTAGGTTTCTACCTAATTTCTACCTGGTACGCCAACAAAAAAATCACACCTACCACTGCAAAGCCACACTCTATGTGAAAAAAAAATAAAAATGTCCACGGCATGCTTAGCCCATTACTTACACGGACCTGCGCGGGCGCAACGGATACTCAACGCCAGTGAGACGAGTGTTCGCCGCCGTCTCCGAGGGCACCGTCGATAACGGCACCTCCACCATACCGAGGAAATCGTCCCGGGTCAGGCGGTTCTCGTCGAACACTTGTATTAGCAGCTTGTGTTCTTGAGGACGGACCTGTTATAAAAAAAAATGTATGGGAACACCCTTAAATATATTTTTTTATTCTATTTTATTTCTGTGAAATTTTTCAATTGTCCAACCATCAGTGCTCATGAGATACAGCCCGGTGACAGACAGACCGACAGATGGAAATCAGAATCATTAGTAATATGGTGTCACTTTTTATACCTTAACCCTAAAAAATACAATAAAACAAATGAATTATTATATTTTATAAATTTTGTATTGCTCACATTAATCTTATGAAAAATATTTAAAAAAAGACTCCCTAATGCGGGGTGCCAGATGGGGTTCGAACCAATATTCTTGCGCAATCAGGCCAACTGCTCTCAAGAAATTTCTATTTAAACTAAAACGTAATTAGAATAAGGTCTACAATCAATTGTTGAGAAAACTTTATGACTTACCCTGAATACAAACTCCTGATTCCATACTGGGTTCAATGTCTGGAATTATAAACGGAAATATGTACATAACCCATTTTATAGTAGCTATAAAATTACATTAGTATAACTGCAAGTTAACAATATTGATTGCTTTACAGAACAGCATAAAGTAAAAAAAGGAGCGGCCCAATATGTGTCCGACTCGCCAACCGAAGATTCCGTACAAATATTTACAAGCATAGACTTGAAATAATACCCCTGTCCGTTATGGCGGCATAAATATAAACCTTGATAATATCGAACAATATAATTATTTCCAATGAACTTATATATTTTGATTGTATTGTAATGTGAACTACATGGACAAAGACATCTTAGAGTTTTCCATTTTGGTTCTTTTTGAGATACGGAATTCTGTTGTTATTTAAACATTGATTGAGACAGTATGTTTCTTTGATCAATAATGGACATCAATTGAGAATAGGTAATAAAACTAAACACCGTCGAAGTGGAACAAAGTCTATTACATTTACATACAGCAGATTTAAATATCGACGACATCTGTAGTTTAGAAGGTCAATAAAGCATAGCTTACCCTCTTTTTGGTTTTAGTGAGGAATGTTTCGAGCGTGACGTCTCCGTCGACTTTTTGTAATTCCACTCTGACATAAGGATCACTGAAACAAATATGAGTTTTGTTATTAATGATTAGAAATCGAATAACACTGGGTGTGTTGCATCACCATCAGCCCTGTTATATCCCCACTGCAGGGGCTCAGGCCTTCCTTATGGATGGAGGATGGGGCTGCAGGAGGAGTCCTACATAACCCATGAAGCCCGCGCTGGGTGTAGCGGGTACGCGTAATGTATTTCTCAGCGTTAAAAAAAAAAATAAAGACCCTCCACGCTGGCCCAGTGCGGATTGGAGGGTATTGACGATTGCAAACGCAGCCAGGACCAACAGCTTAATAATAATAGATAATATTAATATTTTTTTGTTCACCCATATGTATATTTTATCTAAAATTTGATTAGGCACAACATTCACCCGACCGGGGGGAGAATCTTCTCTCGCCTAGCCTCTCCCTTCCGCGAGATTAGGATAGGACCAGAGGGGTCCCTTTAAAGTGGGAGTAGATGTAAAATCTGGTGTCTCTATTCATTACGGAAATTGTAACTGTTACATAAGTATCTCCCTACGAAAATATCTTAGAGAAAAGAGAAGAAGACAGTCTCCAAGCTCCTAAATACATTGCATCAAATATATTTTAATTCGATCAACCTCGCCATATCTATAAGTTTGTAGCTTGTAATTATTGTACATTTCGTTGTTTGTATGCTGTAGGCAACTAGGTAAAGTCCCATGAGGAAACACTTCATGAAGATAATTGAATTCTAAATCACTCGAGAGGGAAGTGAGTCCTTATAGATAACATAACATCTATATAATAAACAAGTGATATATATCAAACAAATCATATCTAAGAAAAAAATGTATGTAATACTGACAGACTATAGGCAATCGGTAATAACCTGTGCGAGTTTCTAACCTTATCACCTACAGTATAAAATAATATATTGGATAAAATTCCACTTTTTCAGTCGACGTTCAATGCTTTCAATTAGTATTGAACGTTTGAAACGTGTCAATGTAGTCAATGTAGTTACGCGGCAAGTCTGTAACCAGAGCTAAATATTCTAGAATCGAATCCGTGCTTATAAAACTTATAACCACCTAAACTTTGTTCCAAACATACATAAATATTCAAATTAACGTATTTATTGTGTTACTTACTATAATGACTAATAATAAGCGTGGTATACGTTTTGACATCTCGTAAGTCACAAGAATACCAAGTTAATACAAAAGACAGACATTATCCGTGTAACTGAACCGCCTTTGTTTCAGTACGCCTACGAATGCAGGAAAATGTGGGTAATATTATCACTTAATTAGTTTTACCAGTGGGCTTAAATATGTCTCCTATTTTTCTTCTTTTCGATGTGGTGCGGATTCAACAGCAAGCGTGTAAAGGTATGAAATACATATCTCAATTTTTATAAAAAAACAATTACCCACCCAACTAAAATATAATAAAATTCACTATTATTTAAAAGGGAGTACTGTTTTTTTTTAATTGTTAAAGAAGCGGTAGTTCATAATTTCTTTATATTGTAAATCTTAGTCCTATCAAAAATTAGCAGATAGAGTTCTGATTTAATTTTTTTATTCGACAAAATAATATTTTTGAAGATGCCTCTTCTTGGACAATCGTAGATCCTCACAAAATATACCCTGCCCACATTAAATTCATAATTGTTGAATGATATAAGAATGACATAATTGTTAATTGATACAGTAGCCAACGACCTTGGACTAATAATACCGTAACCGAAGACAAATCATTTTCATTTTAAAAATCCGGACTCATTGATAAAAGAACAAAGCTATAACCATATATTCTTAAATAAACAATCTAAACTCAAACTCGAAAAGAGATCACGACATTTTTGTTTTTAAAAAATATACATACGCATTTTTTTTTTCGTAATGAGAAAGTAATTAAAAAACGAAATCACTAAAAAAGCACCTCCACTACATGGCAACTCTGGCAAAAGTTGATTTTTGCAGAAAATGATTGGACCAAAACAGTCATTTAGGTCCCTTTTAACTAACATATTAAAAAACTGAAATTTGAAGAGTTGGAAACTTAGATAACAATACAAATACGAAAAAGTACAAATAGAATATAAGTTGTTTATTGAATTTTGAAAACTAATTTACTTTTAATCTTTAAAGAAAACCGGAAGGGTTGTCATGGAGAAATCAAGAACGCACTGTAGCGACATCTAGTTTGATTTCGGGAACTGATGTTTTTTTAAAATACTTCCTCATCAATAAATTACGGCGATACATTGAGTGGAAATGTCACATGACATCACGCTTTTGTTCATTTTTTACAAAACTGAGACGTAGCGAACTCCTCAACTTTAATTCCTGTTATGTAAGCTATTTCTTGTTAAATTGAAGTAAAAAAAAATACTTATCTAATATTTTTCTTTTATCTGACTGACTAAATGGAATTTCTTTTTTTTTAATCCCTATTAATGTCGCTTTAGACTGTTTACAAGCATGACAGGTGAATTTCGAAATACTATGAAGTCAGCTCGTAAACCTTGTACAGAGAAGAACCTGCAAGAAACGGCAAGTGCTGCATTTTTATTTCATACAGAAAGGCCAATTAAAAAATTAAACTTTCATTAGACTATAGTATAAAGTCACTTTCCATTACCACATCATCAAAAAGGAACAAAAAGACTATTATACTACAATATTAACATAACACAATATAGGTATATCGACAGCATAGTCAAAAATACACATAGTAAAGATGAATACAATGTCAATTCATATGTCCTAGACATAGTGACACATTTAGTCTAACAGGTCACAATTTCAATAAATAAAAATATTGATAAGATTAAATGGCATCAACTAAGCTGTGCAGGAGTTCAACAGTAATAAACTTCGCTGTCCACTAATTTTAGAATCTGAACTGCCCACCTCCTTAGTAATCCGATCTTATCAAGGCAAGTGAAATGCAGAATTGGTAAAACTCATATAGATTTCTTTAACTATTGAACTTCGCCCCGTTAATCGTGGACTGTTCGTAACTCTAGGTGATGAAAAACTGGAAACTGGAATTCTAAGAAACGAGTTATGTAAAAGCGTCAGAAATAATAAAAAACCGGCGTAATAGAAATAGTAAAATTCCAATTCCCACCTGTTTGTAAGCTTGCATTATGTGAGAAAATATTGACTCTATAATTTGAGTTTATCAGGATTTCTTATATGAATAAAATACCCAAGCTTGAAAGAACAGAAGGATAGATAGACTAGATATTCAAGCTTTTATCACAAACTACCAATCAAGTATAAAACTTCTAAGTCACTATCACCTTAACAACCAAATGACTAGACTTTGACGTCATCCTACGGAGACGAACTACCTAAATGACGTAAAATTTATAATTACTTATAATAAAAGTTGAACAGCTACACTATAGAAATACCTATGGCAACACAGTTAATGACTAAGCAAGAGCGAGTCTAGCTTTTACATTCAATATAGCAATTACATTATCATTAAGTCTATCTTTTTCGTCATTTGGCTTGCTGGTATAACCGTTTTCTTTATTTAAATAAATGTTATCAGCAATAGATAACCAATTTAGTATTGATGGTATATACTAGAAGTATATAAAGAAACGGACTTTCTAGTTATACTTTGTATGTTGCCTTCAAAGGGGCATAATATCTTGAGAGTGAACACGATTTTGCTCATGGAGTTCCAACTCAAATTATTCCTTGTTAATCTTGGCGGTAGGATCACGACTGTTGTTCTTCAGCTCATCGAGGGTTCCGGGACAATTACTATAAGTATATATGTCGCAACAAAGTTGTATAATCAGCCGACCAATTGAGTGGATAGCCCTTTAATTGACTAGCACCGCAATATGGTTGAACAAAGGGCAGCCAACTAATGAACTGCAAAGTCATCGGAAATACCGCAATTTATTAGTTGGATTAGAAGTAAAACAAAATAAATATTGTAGTGGGTAATTTTACACAAAACTTGAAAACTCTTTGAAACAATGAGTAATCGATACAGATAAAGGAATGATTAAAGAGATAACAACAAACTGAATTCGCGAATGAGTGGTAATGGTCTATATGAAATCAATACAGGAAGTATACCCCCATAACCCAAGTGGGTTAAACTTAAACTTTCATAATAAATTCATAATATTAGTATTAAGAACATTCTAATAAAGACAAGATTTTTTTTAATATTTTTGATTTTGAATAGACCAAAACAAAATGAACGCCTTGGCGGCTTTGGAATTAGCTCAGTTTTGTTAAACGGTCCAAATATCGTAATTATTCAACTAGAAAACTAGGCGTGCAATTGAATGGCGCCACTCAATTATATCGCTATCCGCCCAATTGCACGGTGTTTTAACCAGTTGGCTGCGATATATACAAAAGATGTAAAACATTACTGTACAGTAATTAATGAACTAATCGTTTAAACACTAAACGTGAGTCTCTTTCAAATATGCCTTTTCTCACTCTATTTGTGGAGTGTAGTGTTCAACTTAAAGATGGTTCATGTCATTAATATCATACAGGCCCACAATTTACGGTTATTTCCAACCAGCCCCGCGATTCTATAAAAATCCAAACCCGAAATCGAATTCAGTCAGGTGTCCGAATTTACTTCAAAAAGCGGCATACGCTCAACCTTAAATAACAACCTTATTGATGGCATAACTTTATATTATCCATTTTTGCCGGCCCCTATCATAGCACGTTCGCTACACACGAATTGTGCATTAACAAGACCTTTTCACCTTATGGAGTTGATTTTTATTTTTCGAAGCCATATCTGACTGTGATATCAATCTAATGTTTTAGAAAAACTAAGATTTATGAGAGAAATCATTTGTATTACAAGATCACACGGGCGAAACCGCTGGCGGAAGCTAGTATTCTATATTACTTACCTAGCACCAAATATATCCTTTTTTGCCAATGCGTAAGCTCCTATTATCTTCAAACGAAGTAGGTAGCTGTTTTCATCAGTCTGAAATAGAAACAGATAATGCTAATACTCTTCAGACAACATAACAATTATCGTATGAATAAAAACCAGAATGTGTAATCAAAACTTTTTATAAAAAGTAGAACCAACTTCAAACTTTAGTGATAAATAACACTTATCTCAAAAGTGACTTATTCAAGAAAATTATTTAAGTGTGAATTGAAGTTGAAGTGAATTGAAGTGAAATGAATTAATAACCTACAGAAAACCTCTGCCTGACTTCAATAGCATTTTCTTGAATAAGTCACTTCTGAGATAATTATAATTAATCACTTTTTTAAGATTTGAAGTTGGTTTTACTTTTTATAAAAAGATTTTATTTAATTTTTTTAATGTCATTGATTTTTTATTTTATTATAGGTAACACTAAAAATATTAAATATATAATATTTAACATAGTGAAAGTCAGAATTTTGTTTATTTACTCGACATAATTTTTCCAAAAACCTAAATTCATATATTAAATTGGAAAGAGTCGATTGCTTTTTTGTAAACATAAGATAGGCCGCCGAAAATATTGGATCCATTTGTCTTTATTAAGCTTAAGCTGTCGAATAAATTTGAAAATCCGTCAAAAATTGACGAAAATATCGGTGAACATACATAAAAAAAACATACATCGCCGTCGAACATTGAACAGCCTCTTTTTCGATTGTGAAGTCGGTTAAAAATAGTACTTTCCCATCGATAGTCTAGCGATGGCTGATATCATATGAATACTATCGATAGTCTAGCGATTGGGTGCAAACGGTTAGCTTTTGACAATCAAGAGAAACTTTACCGCAACTCAAACCAAAAACTAGCGAGGTCGCTGCTCCGTATGAGCCGGATGGATATTCGCACAATCGTGGGTATAACCGGACATTGCTCACTCAACAAACACACTATAGATATCACCGACAGCCCTCTCTGCAGGACGTGGGCAACAAAAGAAACCATCGCTCACGCAATCCTAGAATAAAAAGCCTGGCAGCACACCGGGGACACATACTAGGCAATCCATCAATACTCTGCGAAGCCTTTGATGACCTTAGTTTCTGGGCGGAATAAGGTTGGCTGGCGTAAGTGGAATTTTTACGCGCAATAGACCGGAATGGGAACCCCCTAATGTAACCTAACCTGACCAATCAACATTTGTCGATAGTGCGAACCTAACAAATACAATTGACAGTCCAATGTGGCTCATCGATATACCTGCGCTGAATGTTAAACTACGTTTAAGACACAATGTGTAAGAATGGTTGTTACATATCTATAATATTATAAAGAGGAAAGATTTTATTGTTTGTTTGCATAGAATATGCTCCGAACTAGACTAATTTTTCACCTTCGGAAGCTAAACCACATGCGGTGGACATAGGCTATACTTTATCCCGAAAATCAGCAAATAAAGTGAACAAAATGGGATTGTGACTTTGTTTATGGAATCAAAACGTTGCCATAATTACTATTCAATTTGTCTATTTTTTAACCTACTAAACAGTTCCCTAGGGACCACGCGGGCGAAGCCGCTGGAACAAAATAATTGGGTACTGATACTATCGGCGGTTACTAAACTATCAATAAATATATCAATATTAGACAACATCAACATTTGAGAAATGTTAAAATTATGCTCAAATTCCAAGATGAGTGAGTAGCTAAAGTCCCCGTATTATGGAGTATCTGTGACAACGAAGGTACCACAACACCCAGACCCAAGACAATATCTAAGGCTCTTGACTCTACACTCTTCTACATTGATCCGACCGGAAATCGAACCCGGGACCTCGGAGATGGTGCGATTCAAATTGTCGCTATGAAGATTATGATAGGATATGTTAGTGCAATACTATCAATAGTTTCTTTGATTTAATCCTCATTTGTACTTACATATATGCAACTCTAAAAAATACTAGTGTAGTACTGTGTATTACAAATATAATTAAATTGGTAACACAAATCACCCAATATGGGTTTTTTCTGGTAGTTTTTAATATACTATTACTGATAACAACACTTTTATGCTTCTCATATTTATAATAATGCTCAAATTAATTATAAAAAAAAACAAATATTTTATACTCATTGTCATGTGACCACAAACAGAGTGTTTGAATATATGTCATGCATGTATATCTATAAAATGAAAATACAAAAAAAAGTTGTCTACACCCCTAATAATGTGCCATCTCTAAATTCCCATAAAGAACCAGTGCAGTTTGCTTTCCAAAACACAAAGGAGCTAAAGATAATAAAACTATAGTCACTTCATTTGGTGACCTCCTCGATCATAGACTTAACACACTAACCACTAATGCATTGACCTCCCCTTTGAATATTTTAAAGTGATTCAACAATAGTACCACTTTAAAATTTTCTACATGACGATGTTACTGGATGAACATTAAAAAGATTTCTTTTCTATTCAAACCACAAATTGTATAAACAAACTGAAAAAACATGCTTAAATATTTTTTATAAAGTATTTTTGTGTAGTTTTTTTATTATTACTTGTTTATTTCATGTCCAATACAATGATAAGCATTGTTTATGGATAGTAGATTTTATACAGGATTATGTGTAATACACCAACAACCTCACAGGGCTAGATAGCAAATATCATAAACAAAGAAACCAAATCGGCACACCCTGACCAACTAATTTGAAATATTGATTGAGATTTCTTGGATGATATTCAGTAGTCACAAATAATAAAAGAAATATAACTATGCACCTGTTTACTATAATATAAAGTTTTTTATTTATATATATGACTTTTTTATCATACTTCTTTTAACTGAAAATTAAATTTGACAAGAAAACCTTAATTTACCCGGTTTGTGCAACAGAATTATTACCCATAAATTTTTTCTACCAGTTTTGATAAATAATTCATTACATTTACTTTCATATACAAATAAAATTTAATGTAATTTACTGCTCAAATGTTATGAATGCAACACTAATGTATAGGTATAAACAGCAGCATGTCAGGTTACCACAATATGTAAAATTTTCACAGAAGTGAAGAATGTTGATGTTTTGTATTACCTGACGTGCTGTTGACTGTACTTCATGCAATGCATTCCAACATAGACATACAAGTGTTATAACAACACAAAAGAAACTAGAATAATCATTTCTCTTTATAGCAAAATAGGTTATTACTAGTGTATATAGAACACATGACAACACAACAATCATAAGTAAAATTAAAAGAAATCACTTGACACCCTAAGGAATACCTTAATATTGCTATCGGGTATGCCATATAAAGCCAATACTGGACCCAGCTCAGTATTAAATTCATAAATTGAATATTGTTGTTTGTTCCGAGAAGTATGTATGTTGCAGTACTTATTGTTATTTTAAGATACACTCTAAATGGTATTAGATAAAAATATTATAGTTAAATTCACTGTGGTTTTTTCTTTCAAATCAATAACAACTGCAAACTTAAGAACAATACATCCTTCAGTTTTAAAAATCAGTAAAGCAATCTTTGTTTACCAATTTAAGTAGTCAAAATATATCTATTTATAACCAAGTAAGCATGCTATAACAGGTTTCACAAGTATAATGTAAGAATACTAAAAGTCAAGAAAATACAAACATATAATAACTTTTCACAAATATCAAGACTTAATGACGAACTAAATAGTTTTTTCACTTAAATCTCTTTGAAATGTTAATCAAATGACAAGGGCATGTTTATGACAAATTAAATTTTGCCCCTTTAAAAGTTGTTATACTCACACGTGTGTCTGATTGCCAAGCCATCACCCATGAGAAATTATAACGTTTTTATACTAGAATGAGAAACAATTCACATTCCTTTTTGCAGCTAATGGATGAAACAACAGTTGTAAAGAATCGTGACACGTTTCTTAGGCGTTATAAGTTCGGCGCTCCTATACCATGCGTTCTGAACTTTAATAACATTAGAAATGCTTATTTATAAGCTATGTATAAAAGCTAAACACTAAAAGCAAATATGTCCAAATTTTGTAACACAATTGCGGAAATACACAAATAAAAAACGAAAATGTTACGACGAAGGATTAATCACATCACAATGACAATGACATTTATGCCAAAGTGACAGTGATAGACATAAACAGGGCTGCCAGTACATGATCGAACCTATTTTATATTGTATCCGAATTTACAAAATATTAAGATGTTATAAATACACTAGTTTATATTCACGATTATCTTATACAACTGGTTATTAAGATAAACAATATTTTTTCAGGAAAATTTAGTGTTTATGAAACATTATGACTAAAAAAAAGCATACGAGAAAAATGTTTCATTAAGTGATGTTTGATTATTATAAAGGGTATGTTCCGATATACACTGCGACCACTGAACAGTATTACGTCAATGTAGTATACTGGAAGCCCGTTCCTTTATAGCTAGTTATACTGGTGACTTTTTAAAACGGAACGCAGTCCAGTATACTGTTAATCCTATTTTTTGGCGCCATTTTCAAATTTGTTAATGCAAGGAATATAAATATAAAGATTCCCTCTTTTCAAAAGAAAATTGGAAAATTGTATAAAAAAAAAAATTATCAATTAAATCCATCTTATAAATAAACATAAGTATTTTTTTTTATTTATTTAGTAACTTGTCATTTTCTGATTCTGTTTCGACTGATCACGTGATCAAAAGCACTGCGAGCACCTTACCTCGAAATCTCCAGTGCTCACAGTACAAATATGGCGGCAATTTATGACGTCATAAATTTCCCTAGGGAACTGTAGCAGTGTACTGGCAGTCCATAACGGAACGGATTTTTCAGCAGTAAGACCACAGCGCAGTGCTCGCAGTGTATATCGGAACATACCCAAAATAATTCACACGTTTTCATTTACTTCTGTTTTTTTTTTTAATTTATTCAACAAAATAACTAGTGAATCCATATGAAGGCCCAAGTATTAAATATTTTGAATAATACGATCTGGCAACCCTGTCTTCAATATTCCATTTCGTTCAACGCAGTGATCTGTCGAGTAACTCTGTTGTGTAATAAACTTATACTTTCTCACACACAGAAATTTTATAAAATTAACGATTTGTAATGTAATTAGTTAAATTATTGTTTTTTCCAGATGTGATTTTTTCTTTCATGTAATAAGAATTTAAAATGTTTTGTTTAAATGCGATATGAAGTTTTATTTTTTAAATATTCCTTTTATCATCTCAAAACACTACCTACATATACTTTGCTATCATCAAAGTCTATTCAAGCGAACTCTGATTCGAAACGTAGTTGTAATTTACAAGGGCATCTAAAAACATAACATTTTTTTCAACCTGATATTGCAGCGAGTATCTTGGTTCTGATCTTGAAAATCCGTTGAGGAGACGTCGCGAAGTCCAAGATGATGATCTATTTCTGAGAGGCCGATCTACCTCAACGGGCCTGGGATTATGCATGACGTCAAATGTACGAGGATCAAGCATATTTTTATAAAACAATACTGAGCACAACACACAACTTTAACTGCATTTCACAGAATTAACAGTTTTAAGTAATAAATGTAATCATTTCACTATCACTGTTATGCTTCAAACTCAATATTTAGTGCACTTGTACGCTCGCTAAATGTGGACATATGACTACTCTAATCTTATCAGTACAAGAAATGTGCACGATAAAAGAAGACAGTTTTTACAATTAGCGTTCTTATGATAAGTAGGTTCAACGGTGTCATGCCAACGGCGTTCGCCTAAATACACAATTTTTAATGAATCTTGCAGATAACGGTATCATAGTCTTACGGTTCCATATCCGAAGATAATTCAATAGGTACTTATATCGAGTTTAAAAGTAATGCATGGCATGGTTCGTTTTTGTAGAGTACTTAAATAAAAAATGGAAATGGGTTACACTTAAGATTTTGTAAACAATAAAGAAAATCCAAAAAAATATAATTTTACTCAAAGCCCTAAATTAAAATAAAACTTGCCATATCATTATTCTCTTGATTAGCTTTCGCCAGCGGCTACGTTCGCGTAGTCCCTAGGGAAATGTTTCCAAAACATTTCCTTTCAAAATCCTTTATATCTCAGACGAAATATATTATTATTATGTATTACCAATAAGCCTAATCTCACCTTACTCTTTAATTCCTACTCAAAAGTATGGAAAAGGTTATTGATATATGCTTGAGAGACCTTTACTCTGTTTTGGTTGTTCGGTTTAAGCCCTTTCAATAAGTCCTACAGTTGGGTCTTTATAATAGGTCACATTTGACATCTCTGTCTTAAATTCTAAGTTATCTTGTAATGTAGTAAACAAAACAATATTATTAATAATTTGAAAGTTAAATTTGTTTATTATTAAAATATATGTATTGTCATATTATAAAACTAAAGCAAATCTACGTTATACTTTAACCAGTAAAACTTTCTAAATCTAATAAATCTATTTAATTCAGAACAAACTAAACGCCGCTACAATATTATGTCTGTGGACTCGCTGCCTTTTTAAACAATAGGGACGTCTACATAAAATCGAGAAGACTGTATGGTCTACTCGAAATTCGATTTGATAATTACTTATAAAAACATGAAAAATTAACCACATAAGGATTCTAATCACAAAAAAAATTGTTTATATTATAAACAATTTTATTCTAATAAATTTTTTGAACTATCATAACGTTTTCAAAATCTTTTAAATACGAAAATGTTGACAAAGAAAAAATTCACCTGTTTAACGTAAAACATAAAATAATTAACGTGTTACAACGTTTAGCGTGCTACACGTTAAAAAAATTATCATAAGTCCATAGGGCGTTAATAATTTTTAATCGTATGGCGCGTGTTGAGTGAGTGTCATAAAGTCATGAAGGTAGAGTAAAAGATGGATAAAGTGACGTCATACTAGCGAGCAGCAACCTCGCGTCGTGTGCCTAACTTATAAATTGATTATCTTGGCCATTATACGATGTATCGAAAATAATGTAAACGATTTTTATTTTTATTTTTAATGGTGTATACTATAACGTAAAAATAGTATAGAAAATTTGATGACTTTCGTCATTACAAGGTACTGCTGACATTCATCCATGATATGATAGTTTACTGTAAATTCGAATTTATATAGAATCGATGTTCATCCAAAATGGATGATCATCGGACATCCCTATTATTTTCGTGTGTTATTTTTTAGTACCTATTCTCCTCTTTGATTTTTGTAAGAGAGTCCGAGAAGGTTATTTATAATACTTAATAATATTGTTATCTGTGATTTATTTACTGCCGATGTTCGTGCATTTTGGTCATTTTCATTTAGCGTAATCAGCTAATTTATCTTGTAATAAATATAGTTTAAAATGTCACAGCAGCTTATAAACGAAAATAGCAAATATATATTAGAGTAAGTATTTATTAAGCCATATCTCAATTATGTAGAACAAAAAAAATTATAATAACTGAAAATTTTGTAACTCTCTTGGATAGTTTATTTTCAGAACAAACAGTTGACTCGCAAAGTTTGGATTCAATATGTGTACAAGTACAAAAGAGGTTCCCGAAATCGGAACATTTCAACCGTAAGTATTTATTTAAATGGAACCATAAAAACAACTGTATTCTCTTTGATATTAATTTAAGTTTACCATTATTTTCAGTGTGCCTCTTACTCTCTTCCTTAATCACTGGAGGTGATTTGTCTCTACCAGGACAGCGAGTTGTGGCTCTCGCCTTGTTGTTTGACATTTACAAGCAAGAAAACCCTTTCAGCTCATTATTCCTGTATCTCTTGGAAGGCAAGCCTGGGCTGCTGCCGTTAGCACCACAAGAAAGACAATTTATTGGGCAAATGCATAATTTCTTACCTGTTAACATTAAGGATGTAAGTTTAATGTTATTTATACTTTTTTATAGACTTGTAATGCTCTACCTCTCCTGTTGTTTTTATAGCCAAACAATTGTTTTGAATATGAAGTACAGGTGAAATTCAACTGAGAATTATTGTCATAGGTATTGTTATTGCTTTGTTTTAATCTTATATCAATATGTTAATTAAAATATGTATATCACTCAGAAACTGATTTAAACAAAAAATGATTTGTCACTATGACATGTAAAAAATTAATACAAAACTCATATCATACACAAATAAAACTTCCAAAGCACTTATCAACACATACTACACACAGATGTAAAAGTATACTATAATCATAAAAACATGATTTTAGTAAAATATCATGATATTTTACAAATTTTTTCAATGCAGTTGCTCATAAAGCGATATTTTTTTAATCCATTGTAAACACCGAAAGTGAGTCTTTATACACGTGTTAAATGAAAATGTACTGAAATCCTTTACTGCACACATGCTTAAAAGTATCTTTTTATTTTTTTTGGCCGAGCATCAAAGAGATTTAAAAATAAATGATGAAAATATGTCAAACTTTAGAGGCAAAAGTATTTCAAGGAGCCTAGAATGCATATTTTCAAATAAAAATGTATGACACAAAAACATGTTCAAATATCACATTTAATTTTAACAATAATTTCACCTTTAATACATACTTAGTTTTATTAACCTATATATTTGTTTTATTTCCTTGCAAAAAGCATTGAAAAATGTTGTAAGAAACTTGAGCGTAAAAGGTTTATCGAATTCGTGCCAATTTGGCCCTAATTCGTAAAACCTTACTTTCCACACTCGTATCTTAAATAACTATTATTTTACAAAACTAACAAATTTTTGATAGAACTTAGATGAACTACATTGTTTTGTTTTGGTCAGAGTTATTTTATTAAATCTCAAGAGTAATTTTTTAAGGAAATCCTGTGATTATATTGAATGCCTATAAATATAAGAGACATTTTAAATAATTTTAAAAAAATAATAATATATTACATATTTGTTGTATAAAATAATATATTTTTTATCAGATAATGAAGAAGTCAGCTAAGCAGGTGATGATGACTGAGGTTTCACCAAAGGATTTGGAATTTGATTACTCACCACTACAAGCGTTGGTCGCTGATAGATTATCTGAAATGAGCTCTATGGCGCGCGCCAGCGCACCAGCCTTAATTCCCCTCGGTGATGGGTATGTTTTTCTAGATTTATGTTATTATTTAGGAATGGTAAATCCTTGAGAGATCATGTTAGGTGTGAATTAATGGTGAAGTTAATCCTTTGATTGCTGACAGAAACCAGTAGTCAGCAATCAAAGTTTTACTCCAGCAGCTCCATTGCATTATTGAAATTCTGATTGATTTGTCAACATCTAGCATTGAACTGTCAGTAGAACAATCCTGATTAGTTTGCTGAACCTACCAATGACAGATTTCAGTTACACAATAGAGCTGCAGTGCAGGTAATACTGCTGTACTCATACACATACATAGTCAACTTTTGTAGTTGAGTAGTAGTAATTTTAGTTGAGTGTCATTTTTTACATAGTATCTATTTTCTTTGCTAGGAGTCCTCCCAACCGTATGGCGATGAAAGAGTTGTTAGAAGCACTGATGTCGAATGAGTATACTCCATTACACCGCACACTGAAAGCCGCAGGGCCTATACCTCCACCAACTTTTTTGCTGGATCCTACAGAAATACCATTTTCTGATGAGGTAAACTCAAAAATCAGTTTTTACTATTAAATTAAATATAGCAAGTCAATCTGAACAAAATTGACATAGTATAGTAGTGCATGAGGCTTTTGTAAAGTTTTATTATCTTGCTTCTCTGTGTTTTTAAGGGCATGTTAAGCAGTTAGTCTTGGCTGTTTTCATAGTGAGTTATTAGACTATGAGCTTTAAAAAATAAAATTACATCCATTTTTAAGTAAATTTTTATAATGTGTGAACAGGGTGTATGGAAAAACTTAGTGAACCGAGGCACATACATTCCTATGTACGACTCAGAGTATGAAGGACTCATTGGTTTAAAACCAGAGAAGGTCGATAAGCGCGCCCACAACCAAACTCAACATAAACCTAAGGTAAAATCTTTTCTTAATCTCATATCTAGTGATTGTGGAATTTTTGTTATGGAGTTACTTGGTCAAGGACTCTTAACCGTCCACCGACGTTGATTTGAGAAACTGGTGATCTGTCATATTGGTCATACATGAGGAGTTTGTGCAGTGGTCAGCACATTTGACGCTCGGAACTTATGCAACTTTCATAAAAGTTACCTCTAGCTTCTCCATAAAACATGTTAAGCCTAGCGTATTTCTATTCATGGGTTTCTACCAATGTCGTGGGTTATGGCCTGTTTGATTTTTTTTTATTTATGGAGGACTTATCCCAGCTGTGTGGAAATAACAGGCAGTTTAAGATATAAACCTAGCCTTTATTCAATCGCCATGCCGCACAAAGAATTCGAATCGGTGCGCCATGGTCGAGTTTCCGAAGCAGACAGACACAAGTCATTTATAGAGAGTCAACACTGCTGACATCCAAGGCATTCTGTCTATTCTGTGTTCTGTGCATTATACACCAACTTAACGTTATTGGCAACTTTTACAGATATATAATAACATTAACGAAACTTGCTATCTCCAGGCTACTGACCTGAAGCCGATTCATTTGTTTGTGTGATTCTACCCACAAATGGCATTACAAAACCAATCATACTCGCTATATATTTTTTAATTTAGATTGTTGGTTGTTATTGTTACAATACGTGTTTGTGGGAATTAAAAGATTATTATGAAATTGTTTTTAATTCCTTTCTGCCTTTCTATATGTTCTCCTTTTCTTTGACACGTTAGGAGGAAAAGAAAGAGAAGCAAGAAGAGAAGAAGGCAGACGAGAAGGAGGTAGGTCGTGTAGCAACAGAGGCTATGGAACTGACCCAATTAGCGCTCCGGGGAGCGCTGAGTGTTCAACATCAGCAGCGTCTGCTGGCTCTGCTGGACCAGGACCCCGAGGTTGTTTATCATATAGGAATCACACCAGCACAGGTACGTATCCACAATACCAGGCAATGCATGGCGAAAGCTATTAAATTAAATATTAGAAATTACAGTACAGGTAAAAAGTACAATTAATTTAATCTAAAAATGATAACATTAAATTATTTATCTACCAAACTCGTATAGTTATAAATCATTATCTATACTAATATCATAAAGAGGAATGATTTCATTGTTTGTTTGTATTGAATAGGCTCTGCAATTATTTTCGGTAAACATGACTACTGGTAACATTTACTTAAACGTGAGTATTGATTGCACTCGTAACAAAGACGTTGACGTTTTCTTTATTGAAATGTGACGTCACACATCACATGCTTGGTCATGGGCACCCGCGTTTCTTTAATTGTATACCACATCGTATTTTAATTTTGCAAAAATAAACAAAACTTACAGTTTATTTATAACTGCAGCAGTCAATTATTGACATGTGTGTTTGTGATATTTATACAAATAAATAATTAAAATAACCGCTTTAACTATTGAATAAAAAGCTGTTATTTTAATGCGTTGCATTGTGCGTTTACACGGTACATATACCAAAAAAATATTGTTTTTATAATTTTTGTCTGTCTGTATGTTCTGGCTAATCTCTAAAACTTCACCGATTTTGACGGGACTTTCACCGGTAGCTTATGCAATAAAGAGTAACCTAGGCCACTTTAGCTGGCACTGCTAGTATGCAAATATAATTACTATTGATTTTGTGCTTGATACAGTTACCGGAGTTGGTCGAGAATAATCCGATGGTCGCGATATCAGTGCTGCTGAAACTGATCGACTCTCAACAGATCACCGAATACTTCACGGTCCTCGTCAACATGGAGATGTCGCTTCATTCCATGGAGGTTGTCAATAGGCAAGTATCTACATAGATATGTAAAAAATTCACGTGTCACGAGAATGTATGCCATCGATATCCTCAGAAACTACTGCACCAATTTTATTAAAATTTCGCATGTCATTTGGTCTAACTTAAAAGATGCGATAGCTTTTATCCCAATTGTTTAGTTCTGCTAATTCGTTATAGATGGCGGTGTTAGTAAATTCATTGATAAATTTCTTTAACGTCGTTTGACATCTAGGTTGTGAAACACCAGGCAGATGGAGTTATTCTTTCTTTTCCTAGATCACAAATTTATAACCAGTACAATACTAAATATAATAAATAGTTCAGCTAATAAAAATTATGAAATATATAGTTTAGGTTGTCACATCAAGTTTTTTCATTTTGCTATGTCAGACATTTTATGTATAAACATTTTATTTATCAAGTGACTGCCATATTTGCATTTCCTTTAATTACGTTAGAATTTTTAATTACGTTAGATTTACGTTAGTCTTTGGCTCACTGAAGACAGACAAACAGGGACGCTAAAATGAAGTCTAGTTTGTCATTTCTGAATGTGCTTTTTATACTTCTTTTAATAGAGGTGTATTGTTTCAGATTGACAACATCTGTTGATTTGCCAGTGGACTTCGTTTACTTATACATAAGTAACTGTATATCGACGTGTGAAACTATCCGCGACAGGTACATGCAGAACCGTCTAGTACGTCTAGTGTGCGTGTTCCTTCAATCGCTAATCAGAAACAAAATCATCAATGTACAGGTATCATTCAACTTCATACCCCTTTAAATGTATCGAAATGGATATCAAATGGATAAAAAAAATATCTCATATAAAATTTATCGATGTTAGAAATTAATTTAGATTTGTTTCAATTTTTTAAATATGAATTTGGTATTTGACGACTTGTTAATTATAGGCCTTATTTCAAAATCTATCGCGATGCCTTTCAAAGGAAAAGTGATTGGATTATTTTACTTTTCAAGTCGTAATCGCTTTCGGAACAAATGATGATTTGAATTAACAAGAAATGTAAAAACGTTTCTTTAAAACTTAGTAACTTAAACTTGAAGTTATTTTTGTGAATAAAGCTTGAAGATTTAAAGAATTTTTAAAACCGATCCAGTAGTTTTGGAGCTTATTCAATGCAAACAAACAAACAAAAAATCAAATCTTTTCTCTTTATAATATTAGTACAGATAAAAAAGTAAACAAAGTTAGAAAAATAAGAACAGATGGCCATCTGTTACTGCAAACTAAATTAATATAAGTAAATTTTTACAATATTTTTCCAGGACATTCTTATAGAAGTGGAAGCTTTCTGCATTGAGTTCAGTCGTATACGAGAAGCAGCTGCGTTATTCCGTCTGCTCAAGCAGCTGGAAGACGCCAGAGAAAACTTGTGTGCGGTACGAGAAACGGATATAGAGAAATTCAATAAATAAAAATGTTGAAGGATCTATACGCCCTTGTAAGAATAGGTGTAAACTATTGAATAATTATTTAGACAAAAATATTGTGGAGTTTTTAAAGTGATGTGATTTTCTAAACTAAAAATCTAAACAAGTACAGTTAATAGTACTTGTTTAGATTTGTGGCTTACGCTGACACGTCAGATTTTACATAACTAATGAAGAACCACTTGATTTTAAACCTTGAAACGTTGAGGTTACAGTTCAAAATCAACTGCGGTTATTTGTGATAATATGACGTACTGCTTTAATTTATAAGCTGCATTAAACAGTATTCACTTCAACTTCAGTCATAAAATTGACACTAGCTCACTACTGCAAGTGGGAAAATGCCCAAATTTCTCTAATCGATTATATATCTTAATTTGTTAGATATTTGAGTTCAAATTGATTGCGGATATTTGACTTTTTTTTTTAACCTGATGTGTTGCTGTATGTACTGCAATAGGATGGTTTGACATGGTTTTCTTATTTATTCTGTGAATATTTACTGTTTTTTTTTTTCACTAGTATATGCATAATTTGATGTAGGAGAAAAATAAAGAAATAGTTAATATTTTGGAATTACTTGAATGGAATTGAAACCTACGGTTAACTACTGAACCAATCAATAGTGTTTATAAAGATCATACTTTAAATTACATATAAATGCTAGAAACAATGTTTGATGTTATAATTGAATTTAAAGTTGATTGCGCACTCCATTGTTATACTCGTACCATGACCCTATTACCTGTCAAGAATATATTTGTTGTATTTAATACTATGAGACGCCATCCTATAGTGACTAGACCATTCCGATTTTTGTTCCATGCATGGAATACTTCGGGGCTTTGGTGATGGAAGTCTGTGAGAAACTATTCAATAGAAAGAGTATGTTTGTTGTAAACAGATATTATATGGGTTATATACGGGCATAGCAAGGCGATTGATTCAATGTAGTGTTTTTTTTTGTACGGTCAGAGTAGAAAGGATCATGCTACGGCATGCTGTAATGGATAACTCCTTAAAAGCATATACTGTGTTGAATGTATTATAATAAGGATAAGGTTATTTCATTTTATTTAAAAAAAAAACTAAATTTTAAAATGTTATCAGACAGTAAGGGGTCATCTTTAAATTACGTCACACGATTTTCATGTTTTTTTTGCCCCTCCCCCCGTCCTAATCACAGCTGGTCTCATTTGTAAGACTCCCTCTCCTAGTGTGATGTCACATATTTTGCAAGGTTTTTGTAAAGTAATAGTTTAAAGTTTGTGTTTTAACACTTAGATTATAATAGATTTTGAAATGTGACGTCACGAAATTTAGGACCCTCTCACCCCCTTGTCACACAATGTCACACTTCGTCGACCCCCTCCCTCCCCCCTTAACGTGTGACGTAATTTATGGATGGCCCCTTAGTAGAAAATTAAGACTGATTCATATTACTATTGAGTTCGTAATATCTGCTTTTTTTGCAAGAATAATAATGTCCTTTTTTTATATATTTCGTCAGTTCCTTTTATTGTAAAGAAGTTAGCAGTTATTGTATTAGGGTATGGTTAATATGTAATTGTGTTAAATTTGATATTGTTTTGATTAAAATTAACAGGTTTTGATTAAATTAAACTTATTCTGTTCTGCTTACATTTGTGGAGATTAACACTTTCAGTGAAGAAATGTCTTGAAATGAGCAAAAAATTAGTAATTCATCCTGGTTGCTGCAGTCCTTTGTTATAGGTATACTTCCACTATCCATGAAGCTTGCACGCTCCAAAACTGATAAGATCCAACGATTTACATAAACCATACATAGTTTTAGTTTTTATATACACGAGAAAATCCTTTCAGTTCAGAATATCCAATTCACAAATGTACAGTTCCCAAAATGTTATAAATAAATTAAATGCTTATTTATGTACATAAGGCAACGTTTCTCAAAGTGTGCTCTGCAAAGCAAATGTTGGGTGTCTACTAAAATATTAAGGAAAATGTTTCGCTTAGTTTCTTTCACTGAAAAGATGGGAGCCTTGGTACAAAAACTTTGCTTACATATTTGTATGTTCAATGTATATTTTTATGGTTAGTTCAGTTCGACGGCTGCTACGTCAATGATAGTTTATTAGGCTAGGATGAAATATAGTTTAAATACTGAAGCAAGATCTAATAATGTTAAATTGTCATAATAGTATTAATGAACTTGAAATATGTGAAGAATCATGTAGGTGTCCATTGGGATCGTGAATGTAATAAGAGGCACTTGTCTTTATATATTAGTTCGTATAGGTAATTATATTTTGTGAATATTGTAAAATGGGGCCAATAGATCTTCTTTATAAGGCTTGAAACTATCTATGAAAAGTTTAATTTGATGTTGATGACATCAAATTAAACTTTACAAAGTTTTCTCTTTCTAAAGCAACAATTCTGCACCCTCATTTGATGCATATTAATAAAAACCAGAACAAAGTGAGATGAATTTGCGCATCAAGGTTTTCGCACAAATATCGAATTTTGACAAATTCTCTCATTTGATTTGAAACTTTAAAGATTATCAGAATAGGGTTCAAAATTAAGTTAAATATAAGTGAATAATGTGATATTTTGATAACACTGTTTTTTTCTAGTTACCCATTTTCTTTCCCATTAACGTCGTTAGCCAGGGAGTTCATTTAGAAAACATGAAAATTTCATTAAATAACAATGCTGAAGGCTTGAAATTGCCCAAGACTAATGATAATAATATTGGATCCTTTTGGATTTATCCTTTAAATTGCTTCATTTACAAGATGAGTAGCGAAAGAGCTCTTATAAATCATAATACTTGATATCATAACAATATTAATTGATAAAATAGGAATAAATGTATTAGATTTAAAAGTAATAAATGTTTCATTGACCACATTTTACAATATTATATTATGGATTTCCTTTTTAGGAGAAAAATACTTATTCTTGTTTGTTTAAAATAGTCCTAATTATTCTTATATTTTTATATTTAACAAATATACTGATTGAAACTAATAATGTGTTTTATTATTGTCTAAAAGAACAACAAATGTTTGTAGGAAATAATTCCAATTTGTATTTAATACACACTACAATAGAACTCAATATTACTTCTAAATAAAACTGACACTAGAATTATTATTCCGAGTTTTTACATAGCACCTTCCAAAATCATCTTTATGTCATCATCAGCAGCAACATCTAGGGGGGTACAGTCATCGTCATCCTTCTTTAAAGTTGCTCCAGCTTTAATTAATATTTGAGTAGACCTTATGTGACCACAGGAGGCAGCATAATGTAAAGCTGTTTGACCACAATCATCAACTGCATCAATTAGGCATCCTCTTTCAATTAAAGCTTCAAGAGCTTTTGTAGAGTCTCTATCAGCAGCCCAGTGTAAAGCTGTTAGTCCATTATCATCCCTTTCATGTTTTAACTCGGGGTTTGAAGCCAACAGCTTTGCAATACGAACTTCACAGTCCTCCCTTGCGGCTTCGAGTATTGACAATTCATCATGTATCAGTTCAGGTTCTGGAGAATATTGCAATGATGAGACTGCTACCCACGCTTCTGTGACACCAGTCTCTCTACAGCCCGATAACTCTAACCAATTTGGATCATATTTCTGCACGAAATCAATATAATTTTGTTTTGCTATTTCTTTGGGCATGTCTCCTAGTGCCTTCCAGGCTTCCCATTTTCTACGACCACGGCTATCTAACCAACCTGGTTTTGGAGTATTACACTTGCCATCTATCCCTTGTTTAAATAATCCATACAATTCAAGAAGCTGATTGTTGTCCAACTTGTTGGTGATCTTACGTAAATGGTTAGCTGCTGTGTTGAATTCTACATCTAAAGGAGTTTGCTCATTATCGGAAAAATCGGAATCTGAAAGTGCTTCTGCCATATTAAATGCTAATGATGAGATGTTTAGTTATTTTGAACTTGGACTGTCAGATTAAGACCTTCTAATGTGTGGACTTGTTTATTGGTGGCATCCGCTGCTGATGAAGGGCTAGCAAATTCAATGAAGCCGTAACCTTTGCTGAGACCTGTTGAACGGTCAAAGATGACTCTAGCACTTTGTACTGGACCAAATTGTGCAAAATATTCTTTGAGTTGACGATGACCCACAGTCCATGGCAAATTGCCTACAAACAGACGGGCTGATCTAGCTGTGCTGGCCATAACCTATTCGGGTACTATTTCAAGCAAGTGCAACGTTCGTTCGCCTATCAACACCCTGTAGTCGACGCCCGAGCTTTCACTCAGCGAGTCCAAGTCCAGAACAGCTCCCTTTAGTCCCCACTTCTTCAGTAGGGCTTCAACAGACCAGTCGGCACTGCGTTCCTGATAAGCACACAAAAATCGAGCGTCAGTTCCGTCCAGAAGGTAAGCAACTGTGGACAAAACTTCTTCAAATTGTGTTGGTTCGTAAAAACAGTCGGAAGCCAACAATAAGTCAACTGGGCGTAGATTGTGTACGTCTGTTAAGAAAAGACCCCAGGCGAGACCTAATATTTGGACATCACGACCTGGGACTAGGCCGTTAGCTTCACAACACGCCGACAAGTGTCTTAACGACCGCGGTAACGCTACGGAGTCCGTAAGAGTCACACGTGCACCGCACTTTGCCGCTAGAATTCCAGGCAAACCAGTACCACAACCGAGTTCCAATACCCGTAGACCGCGTATATGCCGCCTTTGTGTCCACAAATACCAAGCGAGGAGAGGCGCAGAAGGCCACGTGTAAAACGAGTAGCCAGCGGAAAGTAACTCCGGTATAATAATCTCAAGGTATTCACCTCGCGTGTCTCCGTTGGAGGAAGATTTTCCACGAAACACAAACTTCTTCAATTGACCACTTACAGGGCGACCATCGCTCATTGCATAAGCATTAGACATAGAATTAAATTATTATCTTCGGCAGCTAAAATTGTTAAAATTTAGGATAAAAAAAACAAATGTCAAAAATTAACGGTGTAGTTTTCGTTATATTAAATAACGAATATATCGTTAATAAAATATAGCTTTATACCGTTTATAGTTGTAAAACTTCGATATTAACCGTTATTTAACCGATTTTTTGGTAACTACCATTTGGAAATTTTATAAATGCGCCGAATACACGACACGGTATAGTAATAAAAGACCGTTTTTTGTAAGATTTATGTTATATTATAAGTCACAGAAATCCTATAAAAATTGTGTTCAATAAACCTAATAAAATAAAGCAATTAAACTTCAAATCAACATTTAAAACCTTTTGTACGCGGCAAATCGGAGAAATGGTAAACCGAATAATTCGGTCGAATATCCGGTTCTGTAAAAGTTAAACCAAACAATATTTGGTATTCGGTTATTGGGTGAAACATAGGGTCCTTCACTTTTATGTAGACATAGCGTTGTATGTAATATGTATAAATTATTGTTGGGAATCTATAAGACTTAAAGTAATTTAACTTTAAGAGTGACCTTGAGTCTTTTCGAGTTCCAGCATTTTACCTCCTCCCCAAGCAGGTATGCAATAAGTTATTTATTACTGATTGAATTAAGGCAGTATAGATTTTAATTAAAAGTACAATAGACATGATATATCGCAATGATTTGAAAATACATTTCAGTTTCCTAATTCGTTCATAAACCTAGTCACCACAGACATCGCCATATGTGAATGACATTCACTGAATGCCATGATGCCATTTATTAAAAGTCCGAGATACTTAGTATAAGTTACTTACACGATATGTAAGTAACTAATACTATCTCTATATATTGGCAGTTACCGTACACAGAGAAAAGAATCTGTCTACGACAGTTACAGTTTACTTGTTAATACTACCCAAAATACATGTCTTGCGCAAACCTCACTACTATGACATTACCTTCATTTGATATGAGAACGTTAGCAAGCAAACGTTAAGTATTATCGTTATACCTATATTAGTAACGTTATCTAGTTTCTTTTTTCATAACTACTCTATGAAATTCATGTTCGTTGTAAACTGTCAACCATCTGTCAGTTTATTTCATATTACATTCACAGATTAAGAATATGTAGCTAGATTATATTCCCCTTCCCTCTCTTTGTCTGTACTGGTCTGTACATTGCCGGCCGTCCATGAAATTATTTATTAAAAACTGATTTGTCGCGGTAGACCTAAATTGTTAATTTCTTGTTATTGTTTTAGATTCATCTGAATATACATCATGTCTGTGGCAGTAAAAGGTAAGTTATATATATATTTTATGTTGATATAGTGACGTTAAAAACAACTTTGCACCGAAGAGAAGGGTCAAATTCCATTTATGAAAAAGTTTTTAATTTGAATTATTGGAAGTAGTTTGTTTTGTTCATTGGGACAGTCGAAGTTGAATTTTTAGTATTTTATTTAACTTTCGTGTATCTACCTTTACTTATGTTTAATATATTTTTCATTTAAGCTAGATAAATATATTAAATTAAAATAAAACAGTCAAAAAACTGCATAATACATGGTTTACTGGTTTTAAGGTTCTGGATTTTATTACATTATCTTTTTGGGGAATAAATCACCACTTACCATTACCAAACCATTATAAAAATATAAAACTCCATATGGTACCTATACATATATTTAACATATTTACGATAATTTTATTACAACAGGCCTTATCAAAGTAAAAAAGGTCATCTTACTAAAACTTTTCAAAGATCTGAACATAGAATTTTTTAAACTGCCTATTTAAGTTACTATTGACAAAATGTATAAAACCTTTGCTGCCAAACAATTTCTTTGGTATATCTCTCTACTATGAGACATTGACAGAATTTCTGTGTATAGCACTTAGATCAACGATACAAATAAAAATAAAAAAAAGCTAGATAATGCCTCGCATACTAAAACAATACTCAAATACAGTACAATACACTGTGATACCAAGGAACTTAAAACTGGAGAGTATATCCTGTGATAATACTCTAGGCGACAAATGAGCGTTGAAACTGGGTAAGTATGGAGATGGATTGTCAATTTTGTTTTTCTTAGTAAATTATATTATGTACATTGATAATTTAGGTAGTTGAGATTTTAATTTAAATTATAATACAATTAAAAAATCTATTGTCTTTGCACACATAATTTAATTTAACATTATATTTTTTATTATTAAGAGCATACTTAGTTACCTTAATCTGTCTTAAGTTTTAATTTAATTTCTTTATTGTAAAACTAAATCTAATTAAAAATAAACATAGTGATATTAATTATCTTTTTATGTAATGATACCCTTAGGTTTTCCATTCTTTTGCACACATTATAATTTAATGTTACAATGTTGAGAAGTCTATTTATAGGGAAATAATCTTTCAGTACTATCGTAGTGGTGGTTTTTCTCCCTAGATAGTTATAGGGATTTTTTATGGAAATAATTTCAAACAAAATGTAATTTAAATTAAACTCAGTAATGTTAATTACGTTTAGTTATATTTATTATGAAGTTGTCTCTTAGGCTTATTTTTAATCTCAGCCATTTCTTATTTTGCATATGTAGTGCAGCCTTACATCAACAAAACATTCAATCACTAAATAAAGTGATTAAGTTTCATGGTTTTATTCATTTCTTTCAGGGAATGCATCTTTTGTTTTGAATAGTTTTGTTCTAAATAGTTACTCAAAATACATATAAAACATCTACACTGATACAAACACACAACTTTGTAATTGAGAACACCAATCACTACACCAAGATACTTTTAAATTAGAGTTGAAATTTTTGGTAAAAATAATTTCATAGTAAATTACTCCATGTATGTGCTATCTTAGAATTTCTTTCACAATTATCACTAAAATATTATTTTATGTTTTCAACAATGTTTTAACAATTATAATAAACAATACAGAAACTGTAAAATCAAGTTTAAAAGTGAAAAGTGAAAGAAATCAAGTTTAAAAGATGCATTGAGTAGAGTATGAGAAGCTGCACTGCATAACATTTAAAAAAAATATATAGATTCATAATTTTATTCATATTGTTATATTATGTGTATGTAATATACACTTATTCACCCATACACACACGTATTCGTCAGTTTTCGTTTGGTTAGGTGGAGGTAGAAGAGTCAACTTTATGCCTTTTTAAAAAGCTCCCTAAGAAAATATCAGTTTTGGAAAACTTTGTATTGTACAGTCGCGGAAGACGAGCTAGAATCGAGTTAATTCCGTAATTCGTTTGATGTAACGATATATGAAAAACCGGAGTGTACCGTGTACGGTAGTCCGGTAAGCACAGCGACAAGCCAGCTAGAAAATCAGGACTATCTGGACGGCCTTGCATTATATTCCATTGAAGGGGACACAAATATAGTCCGAACGGAATCCACCCAGCATCACTGCCTGTGATCGATACGACAAGTAAGATATTACCCATCTAAGTAAATCCCCGTGAATACTCAGTTGTTGCAGCTTGCCAACGAGTATGCTGTGATCAACGCTATCAAAAACTTTCTCAGTCTGTGTAAATGACGTCGACCTGCCCACTTCCCTCCATGCGAATAAGTACAAAATCAGTAAAAAGTCCAAGGTTAGACTTAGTAGACCATCCCTTGAGAAAAGCAAGCTGATAGATATGTTGATACACCACTTTCTCCAACAATTTTGCAAGGATATTTAAAATGGAAATAGGGCGATAATTTTTAATTTATCTTTTAGACTCTTCCTTGAAAATAGGGACTATCTGGGCCTTCTTCCCAATACGAGGGAATCGGCACTTCTTTAATGATCTTTGAAACAGTATGGTTACTGTTATATTTGATTAATTTCTCATTCACAATGCTATACTGGAAAATATTTTTAATGAAAAATGCTTAAAAATGTTATCTATAATATGGTTACTGGTTTAGCCAGACTTTGAGCACAATAGAACAATAGAAGAACTTCATCACAGCCAGGACCTTTAAAATGGTCTAGCGTACCAAGCAATTTAAGTACTGTATGTTCAGAGATGGTGACACCGGAAATCCACTACAAACTGTTAACTCAATAGTGTTACTATTACTTTATGTAGAAGATTATTGAGTAAAAACATTTTGAAGAATCCATTGAAAGCCTCACATATTTCGGGGCCGCCATCAAAGGATTCCTTACAGCCTTTACGTATATACCTTGAATTGTTTTATGTTGTCCTCTGCTTTTTCCTTGAATTTTAAGCACAAAACAGCTGTCTTGTATACGCTTTTGTTGAGCACGTAAGAAAGAAAATTCATCATAGTCCCGCATAGTGCCATACTTTTTCCATCGCTTATGTACTTAATTTTTTTAAGTATGATTTCCTTCAAAGCTGGTCTATACCATATAGGGAACTGACTTTTGTTCTTTTTAGTTCTTTAAAGAGGCACAAAAAGAGCAAAGCACTCCTACTATTTCAAATAAAAAAAATTCTAAGGCATCGTCGATCGAGGATTATTTAATTAGAAGACCATCTCAGTCAATATCGTGCAAATGATTAAAAATTTTTTTCATAGTCCCAGTTGAAGAAATTATAGTCACTTATCCGGCTTTCGTTCGTTACTGGCTAAAAAAAAATTTCTATTTAGTTCGTCAGTCAGATATAGTCAGAATAGAAAAATATTAGATACGTATTTTTTTTTCTTCAATTGGAAGAAGAAATGGAGGAATGCTCAAGTAGCACATAAATAATATATGAACTAAAATAAGTACCGATTTATGTCCTAAAGTCATACTAACATTTTTAATCAGCACTGGTCAAGTTTCGAATCTGTTTAAAGGCATTTATTTTATCTAATAATGCTTAATGCCATATTATGGTTAATAAAAAAAGTATACCAATGTCAAAACTCCTATTTAAGTATTGGGTAATATTAATATAAAGCTGTTATCGTATTTCGGTGATATGAAAAACATTATATATTATATAAGCATTAACGTAATATTATTTAGTGCACTTAGTTGTATTTAGTCATTTTCTAGAAACAAAGGTTTTCTAATGGCCTATGGTTGTATCGATTTAATGCTTATCCTATATACACATTGAATAAAGAACTAGTAAAACTTTAGCACCGATTTGTTCTTAAAGTATTCTTTAATCAAGCTCAAGCTCCTTTATCTTCTTAATCTATGCTTTTATAAAACATTAGGCTATATTTTGATCAATATTAAGTTATTTATAGAGATACAAGTAATAAATAGATCGTAATTATTTTTTATGTGAAATTAAAATGTAAAATTATTTTATGTATTGTATTGTAATGGTGGCATTTTATACGCATCGCTGGCGCCATGGACAAAAAACGTTGGGAAAAACAAAGAAAACAGGTGGATATAAAAGAAAACTGAAAAAAGAGTATTCTAATTTAATTGAAGCTTTTAAAAATCAAAATAAAAATGAAATAATCGTTTGATGATTATAAGCACTATAAGATACTTCTGAAGTGTTAAAATACGGCTGTACCTAAAATGGGAGTGTGTTATACGGTGAATTACGAGCTCTTAGTTTTGTGTCTAACCATAATACGATTAACAGCTCTACTACACTATATTTGAATACCTAATGCTTTAATTTTACGAGTCGCCATTTGCTTTCTTTTTCCAATTCTTATAAAATATTTAAAGTCAATTGTGTCAGATGAAAAGGGGTAAATAATCATTTATTTTGCGCACAGATGCCTATAAAAGCAATTATGTTGTTAAAACAATGCTAAAAAGCCTAAAATTCAACAAAAATTTTTGCTACTAGGTTAAATTTTCTATTATTTTTATTATATTAAAGGAAGTTTGCGAAGGCGCGTGTATTTTACACCATAAACTTGTATATTTTACTCCACAAACTGATGTTTGCAGCTTATTTCACACATAACGAGCTGTTTAAATCAATATTAAAAAATACTTAAAAGACCAGCCAAAAGAACATGTCATGACACTTACACAAAACAATAACTTAAACCGATTATATATTTTTAAAATCTATTAAATATACTTTTTTTACAAAGGAAATAAAACAGTAAGCATTTTTATAACATTAAATTAACGTATTATAATTTTGATTTACGCATATCAATTGTAATATAGTCACAAAAAGTTCAATTAGCACTTTAAGGTGCTAATTGAACTTTTTGTGGCTATTAGAATGCTTTTACCCGACTTTATTAATGCTATTATACAAAAGTTGTAGTGCTATTGCACAGCTTTTATAAAGCTTAAAGTCGTACAAAGGGGGGGCCCAAATTTTATGTATAAGAGTCGTTTAAAAGAAATACCGTTGATATACGATTTTATTATAATGCTTAACGCTTGAACTCGTGCTATTATAAGTTTGATATAATGGTGTTTTGTGCTACTTGGGTGGGGGCTCGTTACGTCACAGTTTTGTAGAGAATGTACCTTATCGTGACGTCATGCGACATTTCAACTCATCATTCATTTTATTTTTTTGTTAATAATTTTAATTAAAAAAAATATTTTTATTATTTAAAACAAAAAAATAAAGTCTTCTCATTTATATATTTAAAAAATTGTTGCCAGTAACTACGGATAATTATCAAAAAATATAATTATCTTGAAAATTACAAACCCTGCTTTGAACTTGAAGTGAGGCTTTATGTCTTCGGCCATTTTTGAGACTGACCGGCCATCTAGTTGTATTGTTGAACTATAACAGGAAAGACTAAATTACTACTCGTATGAATTGCCATGACACCTAATGCCTATTTATCGTCAAACGTGAGTGCGGAAAATTTAAAATGGTTTTAATAATTTTGTTAAAATCATTATAAATTATCGGAAATTGCTTTCTTTGGAGTCGTGTTATTAAAGAGAACATGTTTATTAGGACGAGAAGTCAATTAAAATATCTAAAATAAAAACACAGGTCCTTTTTTCGGAAATAAAACTAATTTAAAAAAGTTTATTACATTACCTATGTCATAGCCAACTGATTACAATAGTTGATCAATTGGAGAGTCGATCAGGTGATTCTACATTCTGCAGTATGGCTGAATAAAGTTTTTTTTTTTATTATTTTATAAGGGAACTAGTGATACGGCCTATATGTCGGTACTAATTTGGTTTTCTTTCACCAGGTGTTTTCATCGTGGGTGCCAAACGCACACCATTCGGAACATTTGGCGGCGTGTTCCGGAACACGTCTGCTACTGAGTTGCAGACCATTGCTGCCACCGCCGCCCTCAAGGATGCCGGTGTAGCACCCGACAAAGTCGATACAGTCGTAGTGGGACAAGTTATGTCGGTAAGAAAACGGTTTATACTTAAATTTTTCCATTTAATCTTTATTGCTTTATTATTAAAACAGCAAAATGCAGATTAATGCTGAGGGCATTCTCTATCTGTATTCTAGATATGATGTAGGAAACAAAATGTACGGGAATTCACTGTGTTTAAACTAGAAATATGTTGTAACAAAAATTAAAGTTAATCCGTTGATTGTTTTGCGGATTATTGTAAAATAAAACCTTTTATCATTAAATTAGGTTGGTTAAAAAGTCTTCGCATATAAATCCCCGCAAATTGCTAATGAACCTGACCATTTTGATGACTATATTACGAAGAATTGATGAGATTAAATCAAGAAGTTGAGATAAAGCGGCCAGAATTAATCAATAGAAGGGGTGTAGTTTTTCATCATAATAACGATAGACCGCACATATTTTTTTTCTATTCAGCAAAAATTAAGAGAATACCTATGACTGGGAAGTGATAATGCATTCGTCGTATAGTCCTGACCTTGCACCTTCAGATTTCCACCTGTTTCGGTCTCTTCAGAATTCTTTAGGCAGTGTCAGGTTAACGCGTGATGCGTTGCACGCCACCGCCTCGTCTGGGGGTGCATCTCGAATGTCTCTGAGACGTACCCCCAACCCGCAGAGGGATGTACCCTTCTCAGGGCGGGCAGAAATGGGGCAAACCGCGCGGTGTATGGCCTTCGGGCCGACCCGTGCACCGCCCTTCATGCGAGAGACATCGCTGGGTTTTAGTGGGTATACCTCTGCTCTTTGACTAGCCCCACTATGGGGCGGATCCGCAGGATGGAGCCCCACATAACCCCGGTTAGCCGCGCTGGCGACCCGGGGTATTATGGTGTAATGCATTATGTATTATGATATTATATATGCTGTAATGCATTTCCCAGCGTCAAAAAAAAGGTTAACATCACGCGAGGACTAGCAAAATCGCTTGTCGAGGTTTTTTGATTAGAAGCCCCAAAGTTTCTATAGCAATGGGATCATGTACAAGATGGCCTACCTACCTACAAGATGGCAAAAAATTATCGAACAAAATGTTACCAACATACTTTAGTTAAATGTAAATAAACTTCAATAAAAAATGATTTGAATTTACGTATAAAATGCGAAGAAACTATTCCCCAACTTATTAGTTATTATCATACATATTTTAGAAGTATTTTTGATTACTTTATTCATAGAGTATTATAATTCTCTAATTAGTGATGCTTACTATCTTTTTTTAATATTTTTGTATCCAATTTTGAATGAACTTACTTAGGCTTACAAAAAAAGGTAGGTACATATCTTAAAGCCTGAAGTTTTAGATACATCTGTTAGATCTGACTATTAATGAAAAAGAACAGAATAACTGATTTCATTGTTATATATCATCAATTTTTCAATAGTGAGACTGTAACAATTTTATTTATATTTATTACCGCTCTATTTTTGATTTGTACATATTTAATGCTTAAAGTTTATTCATGTTGTATTGTATGAATGTTAGGGTACTCAAACAGACGGCATCTACACACCCCGACATGCAGCATTAAAAGCGGGCATCCCACAAGACCGGCCCGTTCTGGGCGTCAACAGGCTCTGCGGCTCCGGATTCCAATCCGTAGTCAACAGCGCACAGGTACAGATACACCTTTTTCCATAGGTATTAATGAGTTACTTATACAGCCGCGTGGCGAATCGGAGCAAAAAGTATTTTATTCGAGATACTCCTCAAGAGATGCTCAAATGAAATAGGGGGACGGATAACTTACTAAAAAGTGTTTTAAATTCATCATTATGGTCGCTTATTCCCATAAAAAATATTATTTTATGTAAATATATACCCCATTATGACATTATGTACCCCAAACTATGTTTAAAATTTAACTTTAAAAAACCGCGCAAACGGTGACTCAGAGAGCGTGACCTGACGACGTAAACCATAGGGATTTTCAGTAAAAAAATGAGTCATCGACTGCAGTACTTATATTTAATTTCGCAAATAAATAAAACAGTAAACTGACCGTAGTAACCTGTTGCAAATCAAATAAATAATTAAGATTATTTTGCACTTTGAATGTTTCCCGTGCTTTTCTTATATAGTTTTACTACCAATTTACACACAAATGACGTCACGCGCTCTGATTGGTGTTTCATTTTATGCGAGACAGACACACAGTAGGATATATAAACTACAAATATTTAAAAAAGTGTGTTTTTTGTTTATTGACTTAAAACTATAAATAATTGTTATTTAGCAAAAATATTCGGCGAATAATCTTTAAACTTTAAGAACTTTTTAACCACATACAATAGTTTGTTTTTTAAATTTAATTGCTGTCCAATCCAATGTCCAATTGAATTGTTATTAAAAAATTTTCGACCTGCGAGTGCTACATGTGCTGTTTGACAGGTAAACATTTGATAAAAAGATAATGCTTCGGTATGTTACCTTTTTATGAACATATGAACTTCGGTATGTTACCTTTTTATAGTAAAAATTAGGGGTGTAGACAACTTTTTAAATAATTTTATTTTATAGATGAAATATGTCAAAAACAAAAAAAAATTAATGATCAATCGTTTAATAAGTTTAAAATCTAAAAATAAATTTAGCTTTCCAACTTTTCCGCGAAAGCGCCAACGTATGTCATGGCGTCGCTATGACGTCACGGCCCTCTGAAACTAACTGAAACGTTCTGTTATGCATAAGGTTCAATTCTCTAAGTTCTGATTTGAGTAATAGGGAAATAAATAAAATTGGAGTGTCTATAATATCAAATTAACTGTATTTTACTAAATGCATATATATGTACATGTACCATGTGTACTATGTGGTACATGTACCAAAATAACATTTCTAATTGTTTTATCTGTGTCTCTTTGTTTCGGCTCATCTCTGGAACGGCTAGACCGATTTTGACAGGACTCTCCTCTCTCTCAACAGCTAATTAATGTATTGCAGAAACCACCATGCATATCTCACCTCAAATGCTCAGGTTATATTTAAATGACCCTTTTTATACTTATCATGGGTGATTTTACGTTTTATAATAGGACATTATTACTGGCGCTGCGAAAATCTCTGTAGCTGGCGGTGTAGAAAACATGTCTCAAGCACCGTTCGCAGTCAGAGGCGTCAGATTCGGCACAACACTAGGATTGAACTATGCATTTGAAGACACACTATGGTCAGGCTTGACTGATTCATATTGCGGCCTGCCCATGGGCATGACCGCTGAGAAGCTGGGTGCACAATTCAGTATTACCAGGGATGAAGTGGACAACTTCGCTCTACGATCTCAGCAGAGGTGGAAATCTTGTGAGTATAAATTGTAAAATGAAAATTGAGAATTCTCCTTAGAAGTACGACACATATTTATGTGTAACTTAGGCTTTCTTGGATTGTAATCAATAATTTCATGACCGAAAGAAAATTATAATTTTAATAACATATTGTAAAGATAGTCTTTGAAATGGCTACTTTAAAATCTATACTAATATTAAAAGGTGAAGATTTTGTTTGTTTGAACGCGCTAATCCCAAGAACTACTGGTTCGAATTGAAAAAATATTTTTATGTTAAATAGACCATTTATCGAGGAAGGCTTTAGGCTATATAACATCACGCTGCAACTATTAGGAGCGAAGAAATAATGGAAAACGCGGACGAAGTCGCTGGCGGCCACTTGTAATTAATAAGGGTGTAGATAACATTTTTTAATATTTTAATTTTACACATATACATTAAGTATATGTAATGTATAAAAGATGGCGTTCCTGCGACGTCACGGCCTTTTTCTAAAATCTGGGCTTAAAGTTATTATTACATAACACTTTAATCATACAAATAAAAAAAACAAATATGTATTTATTTTCGTTTATTGTCTACACCCGTATTCATCAAACACTTCCTAAGTAAATACCTATTTTTATAAAATCTGTGCTTAAAGTTATTTCTGTATAACAGTTTTATCATACAAATAGACTTGAACTGTTCAATAAGGTTGTTCTGATAACCAGCAAACGACGCTGGCGTGTTCAAGTCCGAAATTGAACCTGTGACGTTGACAATAAAGAAGAAGCAAGTTCAGGTGGCAGTAGATGAACACCCTCGCCCGCAGACTACGCTCGAGGGCCTCAAGAAACTGCCACCTGTATTCAAAAAAGAAGGGCTTGTTACCGCTGGCAGTGCGTCGGTAAGTAAATTGATAAAAAACTAGTTAAGATATAAAAAAATCTAGTCTGATGTCCAAGACAGGATTACAACCCTTGGATTGGGCTCCTTACCGGGTCCTATCTACCCCCCGCTACCCCGAGAGGCCGTCTCGCTTAAACCTGTTCTTTTCAGGTTTTTCAGGATTAAAGAAAGATTTTGATTTTGAATGTCTTCCTCACACATCGATGTTGGCATATATATAATAGTATTTGACTTCAACTATATAGTGCAATGGCAAAATGAAGTAGTTGAGATACTATAAAGATGCGATTATTACAATTATCCAACTGGTTAAATATCAATTTACGTATAAATAAATATAAATAATAATAGATGAGTTGGTGGTAGTGTGTAACTCGCGAGCTACTCTAGCCTACAGTTTTCTGTGAGCCTTTTTACATGCTATATACTAACTTGCTGTAAATATGTTTTTTGATTTATCACGTGTCACTACATCGTGCTTACTTCATTTTATCATTATTGGTCTGATAAGATCGCAATAAAAGTACCTACTTTAACAATCATAAAATATACTCTCTAAATCCTCGTTTCGATAACAATACAGCGTAAGTTAAAGTTGAGAATAAAAATAAAAAAAAAATTGTATTTAAAAAATATCCCGATAATAACTAAGGACTTAAAAGTAATGACCGCCTAAAGTAAATTGACAAAGACAGAAGAGAAAATGTAGAATTGGGATTGTTTACTTATTTTGGTCGTCTAGTGGTTTATACTTGGTGATAAAGTTAATCCCCTTTTGATAATACTGGTAGATTATGTTTTGTTGGTTTACTTCAAAGCTAAAATACTTTTGATGAAAGTGACTCTTAAGATGGGATTCGGACACATTATCTTACACAAGTCTAATCATTGAGCCAACTAATGAATTTCTTTAAGTCTTATTATATTAGATCAATTTTGCATACTTTCAGATTGCCTGAACATTGCTGTAAATATGCTCTGTAGTAAAAGTAACAAGTGCTTGAGATATTCGTCAGTCTTGTTAGGTCCTGGGTAACTCAGTGTTTAGAGCTGTCGCCCGGATTGCGAGAGGTCATGGGTTCGATTCCCATCTCAGAGTGCCAAACTTTGTCCCAAAGTGAATTATTCAAACATATTTTGTTATTTTCTCGTTACTTTCGCTACTAGTGAGCGTCTTGTCATCAATATCCAGGCAAAATATTTTCTATAAGATGATGATTTTTAAATATAGGGCATTAGTGACGGCGCTGGAGCAATAGTACTAGCCAACGAGGAAGCTGCTAAGGGCTTAAAGCCTCTAGCCAGATTAGTGGGATGGTCATTCGTGGGCGTAGATCCGAGCATCATGGGCATCGGTCCAGTACCCGCTATACAAAACCTGCTAAAAGTAACCAATTTGACCATCAACGATATCGACTTGATCGAGGTGAGTATCACTACTTTCTTGCTAATTATGTTAGGTTGGGGAAAAACTTTTTTCGCGTATAGAATTGTAATAAAATCTTTATAGCTATACCAGTTGTATCTGGCTGGTTTCAGTATCATTAATAAGTTTAAAATTTTAAGAAGAAAACTCCGAATTCAAATTAGGAAAATGTGTGATTTTCATTTGTTTTCTTTTTGTCAAATAGTGAATCTAATTAAGAATGTCTATCCAGATTTAAAAAGTTTGTTATAAAAAAAAAAGGTAAAAATGCAACGCAAGCCGCGAAAAGAATTTGTGGCGTTAATGGACCTAATGCAGTTTCTGTGAGAGTAGCACAAATTTGGTTTAAGCGTTTTCTGTCTGGAAATTTTGATGTCAAAGATGCACGTCGCTCCGGTCGCCCTGTTACTGATAAAATAGATGCCATTTTTGAAAAAGTTGCGCAAGATCGGCATATTAGTAGTTACAACGTTGATTTCCACCTGTTTCGGTCTCTTCACAATTCTTTAGGCAGTGTCAGGTTAACGTCACGCATGACCTGCCAAAACCACTTGTCGCGATTTTTTTGATCAGAAGCCCTAAAATTGCTATAGCAATGGGATCCCCACCCACAAGATGGCAAAAATTTATTGAACAAAATGGTATCTACATACTTTAATTAAATGTAAGTAAACTTTACTGAAAATGTTTTGAATTTTCATATAAAATGCAAAGAAACTTTTCCCCCAACCGATTATGTAGATATGTTTAAAGAAAAGCTCCATAATATTTATTCACCAACTGATAAAATTTATTTGATAAATATACTCTATTCATTATAGCATTAGACAAAAGTTAAATAAGGTTTTTTTAATGGTATACTTTATGACAAAATATCAACAATCATGTTACTCTTAAGACTAAGGGGTAATTTGCTAAATATCCACTTAAATACCAGCTGCTATACTTAACCGTTGTCTTTTAAGCTATCTATTAAACAAATTTATGAGTATTTGACTAACTTAAATTAAAATTAGAATTTATCAAAACAACAGATATATTATTTTAGTTCCATGATGGCTCCCAATAAAAGATGAATTTAGAAAAAGTTAACCCCATTTCAACCCCGAGAAAGTAGAAAATTGCCCATCTCTTTCAGACTACCTAACGTTCAAAGTTTCAACAAAACGATTACATGTTCTGCTCTGCTGCTTATGTGATCCTCTTTTTTTCTAATGTTATAATGAATGAAGTATAGTTGTAACTGATAAAAGTTCTGTTTTCACCAAATGTTTTATCGTATAATAAGCTTTAAGAAAAATATTTCTATGTTTTTTATGACTACAATTCAATTTCGAAAAACAGTTTAACTTAATGTTTTTATGAAAAAAATATTCCTATCTTTTAACAAGAAATATTTAAGACATATATGTTCACGAACTTCAGCTATTAGCAATTATGGTGATCAATATAAAAAAGGAATTCATGAAACATACAGGTATGTTTTCGCTTATGAATAATACATAGACCACGGGTGGCCTACCAGTCGATCGCGACTATTAGTCAAGTCGATCGTGGCAATTCAAAAAATATAAATAAAATCAAAATGCTACATAATGGTGTACGAACTATGCTTATTAATTTAAAATTTTAAGAAGTAAAGGAATTTGGTAGCTCGTACTGGGTGTCGTCAATGAAAAGTCGATCTTGGGTTACATGTTATGCACAAGAAAAACTTGAAAAAAATATTAACTTATGATTAATCTCAGTACAATTCTGTTATTTATGACTCTGTTTTCCCGCAACTTCGCCCACGAAAATTGTAATCTATAATCTAATGCAAACAAACAAATAAATCTTTCTTGTATATAATATTAGTATAGATTATAGCCATCTAAGATAGTATATTTATATCTATCCTGCAGTTGCTGGTGTTTTATAAATAGCCCTGTATAAAATTTTATCGGCAGATCAACGAAGCGTTCGTAGCACAAACCCTCTCGTGCGCGAAAGCTTTAAAACTGGATATGGAGAAGCTGAACGTGAACGGTGGAGCAACCGCACTCGGACACCCTCTAGGAGCCTCCGGGTCCAGGATCACTGCCCATTTAGTGCACGAGCTCAAGTTAGTACCTCCGTAACAGAGTAGTTGCTAGGCCGGTCTTAATAACGCCATGTCCTAATTTTAACATATATCGGAATCCCTTTCAAGGGTGTAGCGATTTTTACCGAGCGAAAATGAACTTTTTTATAAAAAAAATCGTGTCTGGAGGTTGTGAACCATTAAATTTTTCATAGTTTTAAATACAAATGGTTTGTATCTTAGTATGTAATATTTGTTTATTTATATCAACAGACGCCGTGGCTTGAAGAGAGGTATTGGATCTGCTTGCATTGGAGGTGGACAGGGTATCGCTGTGTTAGTCGAAGCCGTGTAACCTAAATATATAGATAATTATAACTATATAAATGTCTAAAAATACTGTTGTTAAAAAAATGGAAGTTGTGATGTTTATATCCATCAAAAAAGTATCAAACTTCGTTTATTTATGATAAATCTAGCGTTTTATAATCTGCCTTAGGGTTAGATTAGGTTAGGTTATAAACAAAAGATATTGACAATACTTAGTAGGTACTATGAGAAGAAATATTAAAAGTACATGTGCGCTTGAAATGAAAACCAACTTTCAAATAAGTTACAAAGGTTGGTACCATCAATTGGGCACGCTCAATAAGTCGAAAAGAGATTAGCGAATGAAAGAAATCTAAATAAAATTGATCAGAAATATGTAAGCAACTCAAGTAAATTTAAAACTAACAAGTTCGTAAAAGCAACTAACCTATTACATATTGAAAAATAATTGCAATCAGTTTTGAATTTAATTAAGGTTGAGAAATATTAAAATATGATTGAGAATTAACTGTAGTAATTTGACGGTTTTGTATCATTTGTGTTGTTCACTGTACAATAGACGTATTCTGATTGTAAATCAAAACATATTTGACCTTGTACTCTGTATAGTGATTCAACATTTTTTTTTATTATATTACTTCATAATGTTATTGCATTATAACTTATAAGATATTATCATTACGCAGCATAATCAACCTTATCACACGTTAAGAGAATAGAAATTGATCGGACGAGTTCGTTATTATAAGCCCAATTGAATTGTATAATACGAGTTGTTTAATAATTCGTCTTTTAACTTTATTACATATTTAGACTGATATTAAATTTAAACATATTCATCAAATCAAGAAATCATAGTTGTCTGTTGAACAAATATTAAGAATAAAATGTAATTTATCTAATATATACATATCCACGTAGTGTTATATATAATATATACTCGTATGTCAACTTTAAATTGTAAGCATGCTATATTTTTGGTGATATATTTGTATATATAATAAAGCCGTTTTTATCATTTAAATAGTTGTTATTATTTTAATGATTATTTATATTCAACACAAGACAGTGATTCTCAAAGTGGTATAGTCTGCTATACCACTTTGAAACCCCCAGGGATTTGGGGCGTCATTGGCACATTTTAAGATATTATCTTAAAATGACTACAAAGTTACTTATAATTAAAATAAAATAGCGCTTGAACATTTACTTAGTGGTATGCGAATGGTGTCTTCTGTTGTTCAAAATATTTAAAGATAATCCTGTCACACTAAGATAACAGAAGTGAAAGTTATAGAATTATAATTTACAGACGTATACTTATAAATCTTAAATGACAATAGATAGACTACCGTTAAAGACAAATTACTTACACATGTTACCAAAATATCAAAATTTCTGAAACAACAGATTATCTAATCTTTAATATAACTACTATTTACACATATCTAATTGATAATTATTACACATTGCAGTATAATGTGACGAATTTTGAAACGATCTGTCATGCTGGCATGGCAGTGCTACCCCTTTGGATTTTGAAATTAATTTGTGATTCATTTATTGATTTGAAATGGGAACAAATAGCCAAGTTACGGAGATAAACGAGTCTTTGCCTTTGAGTCCACAACTTGAACTCTGTCTTTATACTTGTAATTAGTTCCAGGACATAATTCCTTGCTTATCAGTCTGGGCCATAGCGGAGAAAAATGGTTAAAGTAAATAAATACTTTAGAGATAATAAAGAAATAATGTGACTGGTGAGATGTCAGTCTGGTACCGCCACGCTACATCTTCTACTTAACTATAGCGTTTTAGAAGCTCACTCTTTTAAAATGTAAGGTCATTTTAGCATGAATTTATAAAACATTGAAACTTGATAATCTGCGAGTGTTCACCATTCTAGTGAATAACGAAGTGGAATTAATATAAAAAATTATCTCAACGACTAATTTAAATTTAAATAGATGTGTCAACATTTTCATTCCAAGTTAGTCCTGCTAGCCTATCTTCGGAATCTAGCCTCAGAGAGAGGGGAGTTAAATGTAAGTTTTAAGGTAACCTATTTGAAATTGAACAAGATAAAAATCATACCTATGAAAACCAGACTTCAGGATGCAAAAAAGTCTAAAGAATAACAAAATCAAACAAAAATATCTGTGTAAGCTATCTTTTTGAGTAAAGGTTTTGTTATTCTTCAGCTTTCATTTTTTGCCTTTTGAAGTCTGGTTTTCATATGATTTTTGACTCGTTCAATATCTATATGATATCTAAGATAGTATTCAGCATATTGCTTGATAACTTTTAGGTACATTTCTGGTGAATCATTACTGAACTCTGTACAGTGGTTCGACTTTTTTTTATTATATTACTTAAACGTGTTATTGTATTATTTCGTATAAGATATCATCATTACACAGCATAATCAACTTTATCACACGATAACAGAATGGATTTTGATCGGAAGAGTTTGTTGCTATAAGCCCAATTGAATTGTATACTTAATATATTAGTTCTCACTTTCCAATAATACACTGTGTATGTGCATATGGTTTACAATATTACACTGTGTTATTTATTATTATATTTTGTTACCCTCGCAGAATAGCTGACTTACTAGGGTTTTAGGGCTTACCTAGGGTTTTAACTCCTAGATTGAGGAACCATTGGTTTAGAAAGTTTTGTTATCTTCAATATAACTATTGATGCTATAAGTATGGCAACGGTAAGCAACGCCGTGTTAAACATGCTTTTAATTATAGATTTACAATGGATGGGGGTCCAAAATGGCTTTTCTGAGCTTGAAAATTTGAAGCCTTGAAGCATTTATAAATTTTTGTATTAAAATATTTTAGAACATATTTATTCATATTATTATATTTGATCAATTTTGCATTCACAATGCTATACTGAAAAATTTTATTCTTAAAGAAAAATGCTTAAAAATTGTCCCTGGTACTCTGAGATGGGACTCAAACCCATGACCTTTCGCAATCCGGGTGACTGCTCTAACCACTGAGTTACCTAGGACCTAACCAAAGAAATTACCTCACAGGACTGACGAAATTTCAAACACTTATTACTTTTTCGCTACTACAGACCGTATTTTCAAGCAATCCACCCAAACAGTCAAAATAAATATCTTCACAAATATTTAAACTTTCGATAAAGATGAAAATTTGTTCTAATTATTATATTTGATTTCATTCACAATGCTATAGTGAAAAATATTTTTAATGACAACATTTATAATGAATGTTTTGTGTCTCATCAGTGTGTTTCATCATAGTTCTAAATAAGAAAATAGTTGCGCCAATGCGCCTTTTTTGACTTCTTTCACGACCAAAAACATCCCTTATGGACTCTCATCCTTTAAAAAAACATATTTTAAAGAAACACTATATCATTTTAAGCCAGTTTTAGAACTAATAGTAAAAAGATCTATTTATCATATCTCTAAAGCCCTTTTAATAATCTTTATCGGCAGAATCATAAGAATTATATATCTTTTGAGTTGTTACAAATAGATATCTATCTAGCAGATATCTAAGTTCGATAATTTTCCTAATCATGTTGTTACGGATCGTGTTATATAATAATATTATTTTATCGTCATGCATATTCATAAATAAATCTATCTCGCTGTCTGTAAGTCAGTATCGCTATATGTTGGCATCACAAAAAACTTACGAAAGAAATTTTTATACTCGGGTAAAAATAGTCAAGATTTTTTAGATTAAATATGTAATAAGAATAGATTTTTATTTTGTGCAATACCAGTTACAGTATATGGGACCCTGACTTCTAAGCTAGTTTTATCCGAATTTTAGAAGCCAGTGTTTTCGCAATGATTAATATAATATAGTCATTACAAAAGAGAAAAAAGAATCAGTATAATTCGCAAATAAGTAGGTAGTTAGTTTCTGATTTCCATTACAAAATTAGATGAAAGTACTTTTAAACAAGTTTAAGCGCATGTCGAAAGTAGATTGATTATAAAAAATATGAGATTCCAACATATAGAAAATAATTTATTTATATTGTTATCTTGTAGGTACCTATAGTTTGTAAAGTCAAGACTAGTTTTACAAGCACACATTTATCGCATACGCGTGAAGCGGATTATAAACGAGTGCCGCATTTTCTGTTATTTGTGTGAAGTTATAAACAATGTCAGTTGCTATAAATAAAGGTACGTGGAAATATTATTTTTTAACAATTGTAATACTTATCTAATTCAATTAATGTTTGATATTAAATCGTTTTGTGTAGTTATAACAATGTTTTATATTTATGTGTTTACAAAGTTACTCGAGGTCAGTGATCTTGGGCAGATATGTCAAGGTCCAATGAATGAGTGAATGACGATTTCGAATAATTCCATGGGTACGATGATCGATTATAATGAAGCATGAAACAGCGTCGTTTATAAATATCAAAATATTGTTAAATTTTAATAATACAACAAAAAAAACGGATTTCTCCAAAAAGGAAAATAAATAGAAAAGTTGATTATTTCGGATCTGTTCGCATTAGACTTTGTAGTTATGACATAATATTTAAGTATTATTTAAAAATTCGAAATATTATTTAAAAACATTATTTTCCCTTTCTCTTAAACCTTTGTGTTAATTGCTTTTTCAATTTACAAGATATAGTTATCTATACTAATACTAGCTGTGCCCGCAACTTCGTCTGCGTGGGAAGTATTTTGGTAGATTTTTTTATTCCTATGGATGGAGTCGAATCAAATAAGATCAATGGGCCATAACTTAATGCGGATCGGTGGGTGTTAATGTTGCTGATGCAGCCAGGACTAACGGCTTAACGTACATTATGCCAGTGTTGTACACAGTGCTCAGGATAATAATGTTTTGGTCACCCATCCTGTCCTTACGAATGTAATTTTCTATCTTTTTTCTCGTTTCTCGCGCTCTGGTTGTCACTTGTGTTTGAGAATTTTATTCGTAGCTGGAAACTGTCCTTCTTTTGTTTTTGATATTTTTATTATTTATCTAGTTGTATGCACAATCGGCTATTTATTGTTCTTTTTTTCATGTAATCGGTTGCCTGGAAGATATCGCTTGCTAGCGATGAGTTTGTCGTTTGTACTTAGTTACGTAAAATAAGTTTTCATGTATATACTTATTGTACAGTATTTTACTCATTTATTTCACTGCAATTTAAATCGAATGCGCTAACCCACTACGCCATCGGACCTCTTATACCTAAGATATACTAATAATAACAAACTACCAAATCTTTCCTCTTGATAAAAAGAGGAAGGATTTGGTTGTTTGTTTGTTTGCATCGAATTTACTCCAAAACTACTGGACCGATAGTTTCAGAGCGATTCCGACCTACGGGAAGCTACATCAGATGCGGATGTCATAGGCTATAATTTTGCGGTTAAGTCGCAGGAAAACAGCTAGTTCATTACATCCTGTCAAAACTTATCTGCGATACGCCTGTGGAGTATGAAGGCAACATAGGTTGGCGATAATCGAAATTATTTTCTCGATCTCTATTGTGCAAACTGCGAGCTCTTTTAGAAACCAAGCGCATTTTTCTATCAAAGGAAGTTTCATACTCATACCGTACTGCATGTATTTGACGATCAGCAGTTAGACGCGCTATGCGATCTTCAGAAGTTTCCTGAGATCAAACGCTTGTTGTATGAGTTCTCCGAGAGTTCAAGAGATTGTCCCTGACGGTAAATGCTTCAGATTCAACTTTATAGTGCATGAGCTTGGCGTATGAACGTATGAAATACGTTTCGCGTTTTTCAGGTGTCTCCCGAGACCGAGCGCTTTCCGTCCGATCTCTTTCTTTGTCAATAAAAGTCGATCGGTACATGTATGACGGAAGATACGTGGAGTTTTATTTATTGATATAAAATATATATATACATATTTTAATTTCAAATTTCCACACTCGAAGGAAATCGTCTACTAACACATACTTCCGAGAGGTGCTCATCATCATCATCATAAGCTCTGTTACGTCAGCAACTGCTGGAGCCTTATGGATTAAGGAGGATGGGCCACGACCCTCCATGTTGGCCCAATACGAATTGGAGGATATTAACGACTGCAAATTCAACCGGGACCAATCACTTTACGTGCCTTCCAAAGCTTGGAGTTGCTTGAGATAATATTTTTTGGACAGCCATCCTGTGAACGACCTTTGCGAAAGTTGCTTAACAACTACAATCGCAAGCCTTGGCGTTTATTCACTACGCCACCAAGCTACTCTGAACCGATCCTCAGACTCGCGTAATATTATATGGGTTGTGACCAATGAATAAACCATTGTTTCCAGCGAAGACTGAAAATACCAACTTTGAAGTACGTATCTTCAGCAATTTTTATGTAAAAAAAAAGAGTATTAACATAAAAATAGTAATAAGAGAAAAAAAATATATAACTCGAGTTGTCCTTACGTTCTTAACTTCAGTTGACGTGAATCTAAGTTTTTTAACATCGTGGAAAAACTTCTGACATTGTCTCTGTTACCTGGCAAGCAACAGGGATGAGTAGGATTCTCCTCCGTGAACCCGACAGTGAGCTGCCCGGTGGGTCCTCGGAGGCCTACCCACCAAAATCCGTACTCTACACCTTCTCATGGGAAATGAAAACCGGCAAGCTATGGCCGAGTCACCAGGACACTCAAGTATTGGATCATTGCTCCCCTTGCAGATGGAAAATTGGAGAGACTCGGCTAAATCGAGTGCCTCTCCCAGACAGACGAAATCGTGCAATGCAGGAGCGGCTGCCAACCACCTCCGCTGGCCCCGACGACGACGTGAACCTAATCTGATAAAAATATGCGTTCACTGTAAACTACTCAAAGCTTAATTGCATCATCGGAAGGCTCTTTCCGCTTGTTCTCCTACTCGCGTGATCGTATACCACATTTCCATTATAAGCTGAACCCTATTTAATATGATTGGCCATATATAAATGAGGTCAACTTACTTCGGAGTTGTCAAAATTTTGGAATCTTATTTTTTTATTTGTCATCATACAAATTATCATTTAATAGACAATATTAATTCACAGCTCGTCGGCGCTACGGATATGCGCCGATGCGCACGATCGCTATTGCTAAGCAATTATCGCAAGAGTTGTTCACGGGATGGGTGATCAAAAATTATTAAACAAAGGCCTGAGGCCCTGTAGTTTGGCTGTGAAAGAGTTAATGATGATGATCAACATATCAAAGATGAAAATTTTATAAAACAGTAAATATTTCGTAGCAATTTTGGCGACCACGTCACTTCAAATTGACATAACTTTTTTATTTGTGAACCGATTGTAATAAATCTTACCCTAAATGTTAACGGAAGAATGCCGCAACACAATAGTGAAAACTGCATTTAAATAGGTTCAGCCGTTTCTTAGATTATCGTGCACAAACGCACAGACAAACAGACAAACCGACAAACAGACAAACAGACAAAAAATTTAAAAATCATTGTTTTGTATTCTATTACGCTTATAAATGTCCCCTGTAACAGTTTTTTTCATATATCTCCAATGTACAGACATCGATCGGTTACGTTTTTATTATAGTATAGATTATAAAGAGATAAAGTTTTTAATTTTGATTATTTGTAGGAGGTAACCTTTGGAATCATGATTCCGATCATGAGAATTCTTTCACCTATGGTAGTTACATTTTATATGGCTATAACTTACGCAGGCGAAGCCGCATGAAAACAGTTAGTAGTTTATATTTGGATATTATAAAAACCAAAAATAATTTTCAGGTATTTACATAGTGGCTGCTAAGCGCACACCCTTCGGCCGGTTGGGTGGTCTATTGCGGGATGTACACCCTTCAGACCTTGTCGCCACTGCTGCTAAAGAAGCTTTTAAGGCATCTGGTGTATCGCCAGCTCTTATAGATTCTGTTAACGTTGGACAAGTTTATGGAGTAAGTAAAAGCAGACCTAATAACTTGATTGCTAAGAAGATTTTATCTTGAATATCTTACAGATGAGGTATTATAGGTACACCTAACAAGTTGTGCATAACCTCTAGAACATCTCATCTTACATTTATACTTAAATTATAAAGAGGAATGATTTCATTGTTATTTAAAAAAAAAAATATTTAATCATATTTTCAGCTTAGTGGAACTTCAGATGGAGGGCTTTCGCCACGTCACGCAGCGCTGAAAGCAGGCGTGGCACAGGAAAAACCAGCTCTAGGTGTTAACAGACTCTGCGGCTCCGGGTTTCAAGCGGTTGTTAACAGCGCCCAGGTTGGTAACCGTTTGTACCTATTTATCTGAGTAAAAGTAAAATAAATAACATAATAGAATCTACTGATACAACTGAACCAAAAGGGCACATCCACAACATAAGCCGCTGCTATGTGCCTAGCGTATCTCTAAACATACAATGTGAAAATTGTAGCCATAAATGTGTCATCGTGGCGACTCCTGAATCCTCAATCAATTAGCGTCTATTGTACTGCGCTAATAATTGACGACACAACAAAGACTAGGCATAAGCTAAGAAACACATCTGATACGAAACATAATAGCCCCAGACTATATAAAAGTTTAAAAGCCAGGAATATCATAGAATTTTTAGAGGCTAAATTGAAAGAGCTACATAGTCCTGGCAGCAAGTCACAACAGATCTTTTAGGTCGTAGTGACTACAATTCTACATGCTACAGCTATGCAGTACAGTTCCTTAAAAAAACGAATAATAATACACCGGTTAGGTCGTAGTTTCCAGGCTAACAACACTCAGAACACAGTGCGATAGTACCTATCCCTTTCTTTTGTCTCCTTATCATAGGCCCACAACTATCTTCAAAGTTTACTTATATGGAATCCAACATAGTCTTAGTACTAACGTTAAAAGAGTTCAAATCAGTAAAACTAGCCAAAATCATCAGGATATCATGACTGGAGCGGCACAAATTTCACTCGCCGGTGGCACAGAGAACATGTCAGCGGTGCCGTTCGTTGTGCGAAACACCCGTTTTGGTACCACCCTCGGCAATAGTATTCAGTTCGAAGATATGCTATCCGCTGGATCACTAGACAGTTACTGTAACTTCACGATGCCACAGACTGCTGAGAATTTGGCAGAGAAATATGAACTTAAGAGAGGAGAAGTGGATGAATTCGCATTGCAATCTCAGAAGAGATGGAAAACTGGTGAGGCTTTATTTTTCTTTATTTGGTAGATATAGCTTTAATCCTTTGGTTGCAAAGTACATTCTTAATGTTACACTTCAATCCTGCTAATACGAATGTGAAAATTTGTGAGCATGTTCAGGTAAAGATTGTGAGCCTGGATTAACATATAGGCTACTGTTTATCCGACTAAACGCTTCGCTAGAAACTACACTACCGACGGAAACGTAGTAAGTTAAAGAAATATGAATTAGGATACGAGATTCACGATGAATTTAAACTTGTTTACTTTTTAAAATGTTCAATTTTCCTTCAGATGCCTTGAGTTCCCTCATCTCAATAGTTCTTTCTGACATATTGTCGTTTCCCTTTTGCAGCCTATGATGCCGGCATTTTTAAAGAAGAAATGGCACCTATCACAGTCAAGGTGAAGAAGCAAGAAGTGGTAGTTGATAAAGACGAACATCCTCGGCCTGAAACTACTAGTGAGGCTCTTTGCAAGTTACCTGTCTTGTTCAGAAAGGGGGGAGTAGTAACCGCTGGAAACTCTTCTGTAAGTTTGATTAAGTGAAACTTCTTCACTGTTACTTATAGTATTTTGGTAGATATTCCAAGATGTCGCACAAACTATTATTCGTATTTTTTTTCCTGTGCACTGTGGGTGCCAGCGTCTTTATTATTAAGCTCAAAAATGGGCATATACAGAAACATGTCAGGGTCGTTTGGTCTTTTGAAGAATGAGAATGATCTGTATTTAATTAAATTTAAAATTGTAAACCGAGATAGAAAGCAATCATAATGGAAGGTTAGGAATTAGTCTTGTTGGTATGATACCGTTTCATTTTCTTACAATGCTTTAGGTTAGGTGCAAACTCGTAGCTCTGATATTATAGTTATCATATTTGCTCAATTTCGCTTTCACAATGCTATACTGAACTTCAATGAAAAATTAGTAAAAAAAATCACCAGCCCTGGTACTATGAGGCCTGAACATTCATGAGAATACGCTCACTAGTAACGAAACGTAACGAGTGTTCGAAAACTTTGTCCTCTCTGTTAGTTTGTGAAGGTTTATGGGTTCGAATCCCATGGAAATACAACTTTAAGCCCTAAACCAGGGCTCTTCGACCCCGTATCCGCCCTGAAAAGGACAGGCTTAAGCGAAGTTAGCCTACTTGGTAAAACCCACTGCAAGTGGCATTTTTAAAAAATTAGAATAGAATAGGTTTTTATTTGGCAACACACATCACGTACACAATTTACAAAAAGTTTACAAATATGACAGAGGAAAAATAAAAATATTAATGGAAAAGAAAATACATAATGAAGACACTATCAAGAGCTACAAAACAATTATAAAAATGTGTCTGGGTGTGTATCGCCAAGCTGGGCTTAGCTCAGTATAAGCAGCTGCTTAAGATAAACATAAAAATATTTATCTATATCTTCACGCCGTATCTCTTACAAAAGGCAGTACCCTACTGCCTTTTGTAAGGGATGTTTATGTTTATTTATGTTTATGTTAAAGTTAAATTGATTTTTACAAATTAGGGAGTAAATGACGGCGCAGGAGCTTTAATACTGGCAAGCGAAGAGGCAGTTCAGCAGAATAAACTCAGCCCTCTAGCCAGACTAGTAGGATGGTCATACGTGGGCGTAGACCCTAGCGTCATGGGCATCGGTCCAGTACCCGCCATACAAAACTTGCTCAAAGTAACCAATCTAACCCTCAACGACATCGATTTGATTGAAGTGAGTATTTTATTCGAATATATTAGAACTCGTGAACATACTGTTTGACCACTTTTTGTTATTGCAAGTAACTACTGTGAACATGGACACCGCTTTAAATAGTAAATACATTTTAGAGGTTTTTTCAACAGGTTAGGACAATTATTTATGATAATAGACCCGAGAGACAGTCCTAAAAGGGGACATGACAACAGTGGCTATATTTACACTAGTTGGTCACGTTATGTCCTCGTCCATGGATATTAATAAATATATTAATGTTTCTTTTATTTTACCATTATTTGAGATTTATATTAAATTTTGGATAATGTTCAGTATCGCAAATTAAGTCTAATAAGACCCCTACGGGGTCGCGTAACCCGTTTTGAGAAACACTGGACAATATTTCTGGTTGACTGCAGATAAATGAAGCTTTCGCGGCACAAACTCTAGCGTGTGTTCGTGAATTAAACCTCGACCAGGCTAAGTTGAACGTGAACGGTGGTGCCATAGCCCTCGGTCACCCGGTGGGTGCTTCGGGCGCGAGGATCACTGCCCATCTTACTCACGAACTCAGGTGATCTATATAGTCTGTTCATAAAAATACTTTAAAAAATAACCAGTCCGAAGTACCAGTGGCTGACTAACCTCATCGAAGGCCCGAGGCGGCAATATACGATAGACAAGTATTTCGAACCAGGGCAGAAAGATATTGTGCGTTTACAACCCTTCCCCCCACGCATACATTTTAGATTTGTTATATAATTATGACTGGCGGATGGCTGGCAGCCCATTTGGAAGGGGACCGCCTTCTCCCCCCTTCTTAGTCCGCCAGGAGATTCATTTCAAAGTTAAAATACAAACGATAGCATACAACAGGACATTGTAGACTAGTTTTTTATTAATAAAGATACTAAAAGCATCGGCAATTTAAATCGGTAATAAAGATATATATAAAAATGTCTATTTATCACCGATTTAAATAGAAAATAGTGATCAAGCTCATAATTAAATTTGCTTAGGTATTTAAGTTATTCGCAGAAGTCTATTTAAGTGGATGTTAACTTTTTCTATTCATATTATATATATATTTACGAAATAAAGCTTTTTAAACTTCAAATTAAAATATTAAAATTAACAATTTAATTTTTATTATAATAAACATTTTCACGTTTGTTTTAATAGTAGTGGTATTAAATTTTGGGTATTTACTACAATTTTTTTCTGGTATGGTGCTTAGTTTATTTACTTAACTAGTTGTTTTCCCGCGATTTCGTCCGCGTATATTGAAGAAGAAAGAATTTCCATAGTCGGATCATTATTTGCAAAGATTACCTCCTACAAACAAAAATTAGAAACTAGCTCTTCCCCTTTATACGAGTAGCTCTGTACCACACTTACTGTTTGACTGGTAGTGAATGCTTCTTTGGCATTAAGGCCGCCATTTGTCAATTTTTATAAGGTAATAAAGATTGAATAATAAATAAATAATATTATTATTTTTATAGACGGCGTGGTTTGAAGAGAGCCATCGGTTCTGCTTGCATCGGAGGCGGTCAGGGCATCGCACTTCTAATCGAAAGTGTTTAGTCGTGTATCATAGCTAGATATTTTTTAATAGAAAAGCTACTAAATATATTTAACCTATTTTCGGATAAGACTTTTTCCTGTTGTTGACTGTTATTTTTAATAAATTATATTATATTTCATATTGTTTGATTTATTATCTTTCTTTACGCTAGAGAGATTTTTATTTAATCCAATTTAAGTACATAAATATATTCTAAGCACTTCAAAAATTTTTTCATTTGATATTATTTCCTCCCGTTTCTATGGACTGTCGGCAGAATGCGTAGGTATCTTTAGTGAGTATTTAAAGTGAACTTAGGTCTCTGACTCCAGCGACGCTTTGGCTAGGCGTATTATGAGCAGTGTGTTTCTAACGAGTTATTATTTAAGTTATATTTGATAAATTTTGCATTCACATTGCTATACTGGAAAATATTAATAATGAAAAACGCTTAAAAATCCTCTTTGTCCCTGGTCCCTGATCATCGTCATCATCATCATTTCAGCCGAGAGACGCCCACTGCTGGGCATAGGCCTCCCCCAAAGATCTCCAAAACGATCGGTCCTGCGCTTCCCGCATCCAGCGGCTTCCCGCGACCTTCACCAGATCGTCGGTCCACCTTGTGGGGGGCCTGCCAACACTGCGTCTCCCGGTACGCGGTCGCCACTCCAGGACCTTACCGCCCCAACGGCCATCAGTCCTGCGAGCGATGTGCCCTGCCCACTACCACTTGAGGTTTGCAATTCTTTGGGCTATGTCGGTGACTTTAGTTCTTCTGCGGATCTCATCATTTCTAATTCGATCTCGCAAAGAAACCCCGAGCATAGCCCTTTCCATTGCCCTCTGAGCGACCTTGAGCTTCCTTATGAGGCCCATCGTAAGCGGCCACGTCTCAGCACCGTATGTCATCACTGGCAACACGCACGAATTAAAGACTTTTGTCTTGAGACACTGCGGTAGATGTTCCGAGAATACACTGCGTAGCTTCCCGAACGCTGCCCAGCCGAGTTGGATCCGTTGACTTACCTCTCTCTGGAAGTTGGACTTACCTAATCGGACTATTTGTCCCAGGTAAAGGTACTCGTCGACAGCTTCCAGTGTAGAGTCTCCAACATTCACTGGAGTGGGTACGACATGGGAGTTTGACATTATTTTTGTCTTCTCCATGTTCATTTTAAGACCCACTTGCTGGGAAACTCTACAGAGGTCTTCGAGCATTGTGCCTAGATCTTCCATGGTCTCAGCCATGACTACGATATCATCAGCGAAACGAAGGTGCGTCATGTACTCGCCGTTTATATTGATGCCAAGTCCTCTCCAGTCCAAAAGCTTAAACACGTCCTCCAGTGCGGCAGTGAACAGTTTCGGCGATATAACGTCGCCCTGTCTCACTCCACGCTGAAGTTGTATTGCTTTCGAGTTTTGGTCCTGGAGCCGAACTGACATGGTGGCATTTTCGTACAGTGACTGCAGCACTTGGATGTATCGATAGTCTATTTGGCACCTCTGGAGTGACCTAAGCACGGCCCAGGTCTCGACGGAGTCGAAGGCTTTCTCATAGTCCACAAACGCCAAGCATAGTGGCAGATTATACTCTTCGGTCTTCTGTATAACCTGTCGCAGCGTATGAATGTGGTCTATGGTACTGTAACCTTTTCGGAAACCGGCTTGTTCAGGAGACTGGAAGTCGTCAAATCTACGTGCGAGACGATTCGTGATGACTCTCGAAAACAGCTTGTACACATGACTCAGAAGCGTGATGGGTCTGTAATTCTTCAATTGGGCCCTGTCGCCCTTTTTGAAGAAAAGCACCACCACGCCCCTGTGCCATACTTCTGGCGTCTTGCCCTCGAGTATGGCGGAATTAAATAGCTTCTGAAGCGCTTTCCGGACTGGTAGTCCACCCGCTTTCAGAAGTTCCGCTGTGATTCCATCATACCCCGGCGCCTTGTTGTTCTTGAGCTGTTTGAGAGCCACACTAATCTCGTATAGACTGACGTCCGGGATGATGGTCCCTGATACCATCTCAAAATTCTAAGGACAAAGTGGACTTCTTAAGCATTGTTTTTCATTAATTGTTATTAATGTAATAGTCATGTACAACTACTTATTGAGAATATAAACCGTAGAAGCTACGGGCACTATAGTGTGCATGCTTCTTACATAAGTGTATTTATGAAGCACATCTACTAATTGTATTCTATTGCTAATTGTACAGACTTCATCTGTTTACATATTTGGCAAATCTTCCCTCTCTGAATCTTTCTGCGTCACGACGGCTTAGGATTTTAGGCATCAGTCTCTCAATTTATAGTAAATTGTTACATTATTTATTTGTATTTTAAAAGACTTCCAAAAAGGAGGGCGTCGACTATTCGACGCTAGATGAAGGGACAGATATACATAAATTAAGGATAGGGTACCTATATTTTTTACTATCTTATTTCTTCAACTATGTTAGATATGAAACGATTTTAGTCGACTATTAACCACTTATAATTTAATTACCTATTTTATTGTAAATTATTTATTAAGATAATTTGTATTTTTATATGTTTAGCTTTATGTTGTTTAACTTTACATGGTGCCTAGACTGAAATGGCAACTATATAATATTAAAAGTAATCTGTATGAAAATAGTTAAAAAATAAGAATTAGAAATAGTTAGAAAAAATAGTAATACCTACATTATAGATAAGTTAATACTCCCTATAACTTAGCAACTCGGTTTACAATCATCTCTCAAGAAACGTTATCATTTTATTAAAATATTAGCTCCTTGATAGGCGCTACGCGTTCAAAATTCAACTGATATCAAACTACTCATACTCAGCTATTTGCAAATATCACAAATGTTCACACAAACAACTGACGTCAGTTGTGTTGAGGTGTTGGGCGATGTCGCTGAAGTGCAAAGGTTAGTTCTTTATTTATTTATTTTTTTGTTTAATAAAAAGAACTGATTTGTATTTTTTAATAGAACGGTACGTCAAGGTATAGATTGGTAAAAAAAACCTAAGTGAGGCTTATTTATGCATATTGAAGGTTAGTTAGTAAGATTATAAGTTTATTAGAGTTGGATTATGTTTTTATAAAACTGAATCTAACAAAAATATTTAAGCATAAAACGGAGTAACTAAAAATCCCTGAAATACATGAAATTATTTTTATTAGGTTATTCTGTACAGATCAATAACAATGATCTACAACGACAAATAATTAAGACGATAACCATAAAAAGTGTACATTCAAAAGTGTCATTAAAAAAATTGGCTATTTTACTGTCAAAGGCGCTTCATTTTTAATAAAGTATATATACCTATAGTTTTCCAAGGTCTATTTAACATTTAATCAAACCAAATATAGATTTCAAATGCTTTTCTTCTTCCTCATTTTTCAGGAGTATTCATAATTGGCGCTAAAAGGACGCCATTTTGTAAATTTGGTGGTGTACTTCGAGATACACCGGCTTGTGATGCATTTGCTGTAACTGCTAAAGATGCGATCCAAACAGCCAAAGTGGACCCTAATATTATAAACAACACTGTCGTCGGCAACGTTCATTACGTAAATATATTTTAAAATGTTAAATTATACCGCTCGAAGGACCAAATCAAAAATAATAGATTAAAAATATTTAGTTGCGTTACAGAATAAGTTTGCATTTTTTTAGAAAATATACTTAACACATTACACAGTTTTCTTTCTTTTTCCAGCTAAGTCAATGCGATGGTGGAAAAACACCTAGATATTGTGGCATTTACTCCGGTGTGCCGATAGATCGGCCGGCTTTGGGAGTGAACAAATCCTGTGGGTCAGGACTACAAGCTCTTATTACAGGAGCGTTGGTAAGCAGAGGTACTTATTTTGGCGGTACTTATTTATGGCCACAATCTTGGCTTCTTATGAACCTCACAGATGGATTTGAAACTGCTCTCTCAGTTTTATTATGTTCTGCTCTCACATGTCGACAGAATAAAAACATTAAAATACTTTCCTCAGGACATTTTGACGGGAGTTGGGAAAGTGTCACTCACAGGTGGCACAGAAATAATGTCAGCTCTTCCCTTCTTAGTAAAGAACGCACGATTCGGCACCACTTTAGGCAAGAGTTACCTTCTTGAAGATTATATACAGAAACAGTTTCTAGATGGCTACTCTGGAATGACTTTGGAGATGATGTCAGAAAAATTAGCAACAAAATATGGAGTATATAGAAAGGACGTTGATGAATATGCTGTGCAGAGTCACATGAAATGGAAAGCAGGTAATTAAAGAATATTATTTTAAATTCCTTTATTCGCTCCACTGGAAAGCACTTAAGATCCACGATGCTGTTTGTAAGCTTTTTCATTTAAAAGAACTTCAAAGCTGAGCATTACATTAAAATGATTTTACGACCGCTTATTGTAATTCTAGCTCAAGAATCAAACGTCTTTGACGATGAAATAACAAAGCTAACATTAAACATAAAAAACAAGCAAACCATTGTTATCAAAGACGAACTACCTCAACCAGATGTAGAAGTGAGCGCACTGGCTACCCTGCCGACAACAGTAGACGGGGCATCGATTGTCACCGCTGGCAATTCTTCGGTATTTGTACTACCTTTTAAAATCTCTATATCTATATTGTTAGAGTATAAACTCGGTTGTATAAATTTACCGTGCTACTAATAAACAAGGTTTAGCGACAGGGTAAATTTACGCTATAATAGGGTATTTGCAATTTTCTGAAAACTATTTAAAATCGTTGTTTGCTACATTATAAACACACTGTCATAATATTTCATTGGAATCTTTTCTATTTTTAGTGAAAATAATTGTTAAAATTTAAATAGCCAAAAGCGCGCGATAAACGCTGCTCTATGTTATGGCGCTGATCGTGACGTCACAGGCCAGTAAATATGTCAAATCGATAAGTAACAACTGTCTTTAGAGTAAATTAGGGATGATCGATATTGGAAAAACATCGATATTGATATCGAAGTCAACATTCGATGAAAACCATCGATGTTCCCTAAACATCGATTGCGTTGTTGTTAAAGGAATTGACCAGCTTAAGAAAAAAGCCTCTTTGAAGCTGTGGAAGTCGCTGTGCAACATAAATATTTTAATACAATCTTTTTTAATGTGGGATAGGTGGATTCTACCCCTTTACATAAAAGTAATGGAATAAGACAAGTGTCATAAAAAATCACGCGGTAGTTTCACGGAGAGAGAAAGAGCCCAACGAGCATAAAGTAACTTTATTTTATATACATAAATGACCTTTTTCTGTTTTACACAGAAATTTTGCGGGATAGTGAGAAACGGTTTTTAATAGTTTTCTTCCTCCCTTGTTCTAAAAGTACAACAAAAAGCAAACGTCACAAATTGTACTAATAAATTAAATAAAAAATATATGATACTGCCATGTAGATTATAGTGTATTGTTATATTTTTTAATATGCTTACAAGACGCAAAAAGATAGGTATGTTAGAAATAGACAAGATAGTATTAAGGTTAATGGGACGGGGGTTTTAGATGGAAGTTGCTCATATGAAGTAGGTTGTTTCGGACAGTTGAAGAGGATGGGATCGAAAAAGGTACCTACACCTTTTTCGATTCCGCACTCGCACGTGGAACTATCTAATGTACGGATCTTTGAAACTAAGACCGGTGAATAAAGAAACTTATAAGATACTAACGAGCGCTGAAGTTGACAGATTTATTTCTAATTTCCTAGGAAAATGCAAGTAAAGAAAAAGCTATTTGTTTGCGTACTCCAGTTACGAGTGCAACCGGTAACATCTAGTATAAAATAGTTGAACTTGATATACGAGATCATCTAGCTAGTATCTGGAGCACGTTAGATGGCCCAAAGGGTATCTTGACATTTTATTCATAAACATCGATGTTTATTCAACATCGATCATCCCTAGAGTAAATTGAAATAATAATTTAAAAGAGAAATTGAAGTCGTAGTGCGTATTTTTTACGTTTTTTATTTTCCTCTGCTCTGGTTTTCTTTAAAAAGTGAGCTACAAGTGGTGCGTAGTGCCACAATGTACGAATACTTCTATAAATAACAAACAAACTTCGAGTCTAGAAGGAAATAGATTCACAATCACAATAGTATAGTAGCTATATAGAGTAGAGATGAGTGATAAAATTAGGTAAGGATTCGTTAAAAGTACTGAAACTTTTTTATTTCATATATTTGATTTATTATCATATATTTGAAGGTTTTTTTTGTTTTTTTTCTTTGTCATTAAAATTTTACGACTCATTTATATTTGTTGATAGGGCTCGCACTTTACAATCTGTCGACCTACAGATGGATGAGACATTAGTACGAAAAAGAATATTCTATTTTTTTTATACATGCATGTAGTATGTCTGTCCACTAAATGCATGGCATTTGATAATTAGATATCAGATACCGATGATTTTTTTAAATTAGTTTTTAACTTGGAGAACACTATTTATCATCAAAATCGACTTTGTAATTTTGAATTATTATAGTAAAGTTCAAGAAATGAGAAAAACATGTAAGTTGTTATTTTTTTTAAATTGATGGCGTTTTCCCTATTTCTTGGATTTTTTAAAAAGATTAGTAAATGATTCTTTTTTCTGTATTTCTTTTTGGCAGTTCTTATCAGTAGAAGCAGCAAAGTATTCTGTTACTAGTAAATTACTATAAAGTACTCGATACCTACAGGCATCGATATTTTATGTACATATCTCACTAACACTACTTTGACATGACAGCTGATGACGTCACAGGCCAGTAAACAGAATCGTGATTGGTTGTGACGACGACCAATTATAAGACTTTTCGTCGTTATATAAATTCCTAAAAATATTGCATTTTGTTTACGTTATTTTACTAAATCTAAACATGTTTTTTCTGCAGATGTTAAGAAATAAGCTTTATTAGATTATTATCTATCAGGATGACCACAAAATGCAACATATTTTCGATAGTGTCAAATACCCTATTGCATATTAAGTTTTAAACCAAATACATATTATACAGAGAATAACCAAATCTACTACCTTCTAGGAATAAATATTACTCCCGCAGAACCTCGTGCTAGGTTAACCTTTGCCAAGTCTCTAAGTGCAATCTTAGCGTAAATTTACTCCAACGCTAAAACTTGTTTATTAGTAACACTGTTAAGGTTTAACCCTTCTAAGTTTGTTAGGTGATCAGATGGTCCAGAGTAAAATACAAAGATGCGTCATTTGATCCATTCTTTGAATTTGATTTGTAATCTAATTATTTATCTCGACCACATATACTATGACTACATAGGTATATCAATCGCAAAAATTTATAAAAAATATATCAGTCCTTTCTTAAGGCTTCTAAACACTCCCAAATTTATAACATGCTTTTTTAGTATTAATCAATGAAATACTTTCATTGTTTTATTTCAACCCTCACTCAGTTGAAGAAATATTATACGATTGTTTGTTTATTAGGCTATAATTAACATTCCGAAGTAACAAGCAACAATAAATTATACAATAACAAGTGTACTTACCCAAGATGCATGCTGATGGCGCAGCAGCTGTACTCATCTCTGACGAGGAAACTGTTCTCCAACATTACTTGAATCCACTAGCGCGTATAGTTGCGTGGGCACGTGTAGGATCCGACCCACTGCAACTTGATCTTGGAGCAGTGCTGGCAGTAAGAAAGTTACTGGACATCACTGGATTTAACGTTGATGATGTGGATTTGTTTGAGGTGCATATTCTATACATAAATACTGTTTTTAGGGCCTTTTATCTTGACCAATGATTTGCAAGATGTGTAACCCTGATTTTTTAACAGAGTTTAAAGTAATGCAATGCAACAAGTAATTCTAACGATAAACTTTTCTGTCTCAAGTTATAATATCGAACACGAGCCCTTGGTATACAGGCCCGGACCTACGATTTTCTTTAACCGGGGCAGAAACTTCGTATAGCGCCCTTTCTCTACCCCATGCTCTGTGAAGCCGGATTTTATATTATCATATTTTTGCAGTTTATGATATTTTTTGAGATTTTAAAACCTGTCCGTCCCATCGTAGCCTATAATTTGTATGAAGAGATTTGAAAAGCTATTTTATAACTGTACATATGTATTATATAATGATGATTTTCGCGCCGGGCTTGGCCCTAGATCCGGACCTGGTCCTTTAGGGGTCTAGTCATTTGTCACGACATTTTTCAATCTCAAGTTGTAATATTGAACGTGAGCCTTTTAGGGATTAGCCACGATTCAAAGTTTGAGTACGATGGATTTGTAATTAGCTAAACAAAAGCACATGCCTTCTCTGCGTCTCGTTCACTGCCCAATTAGCCCTATGACAAGAGTGACAATTAATATCTACTGGCTTTTTTCTGATATGCAGTAAAAAATAATAATAAGAAAAACAATGTTCCTGCAGGAGAATCGATGAAAGGTTTCTTTAATTCATTACGTTTATATGTATAAAGTCTAACACCACAGAACATAGAGAGAGAATAGAAGTAGTAAGTGGGCGGGGCACGCGTGGCTGGCATATGCGCTTTTACTCATATGACGCCCTTTCCTCGGTTTTATGTTTGCCAGTCGTTCGTCAATCGTCGAGTGGTGATTTTACAGATTTTTTCTATAAAAAATGCCGTTTTGTGCTATTATCACTTGCAAAAAGCAAAGCAAAGTATTCAATCAAACTAATGCAAACATTTACTTTCACTGGTAAGTACAATTTTAGTGCTAAAATATAAAAAACGTAATAATTTGACACAATGTTAAACAAAATATACATTGATTGCTCAAACCAACATCAATGTTTCTGACCCCATTACTAAACAGCAATGTAAATCATTTTGTGCACTTTTGCAAAAAATAGTGCTGTGCCTCCATTTGTCTGAAATGTACCGATAGGCTGCTGCTGCTCGGAATCGTATTGTTAATTATATGGATCGTAATCGATAACTAAAACATATTTATTTAGAGCTTTTCTTTCATCATTTCATAACAACGTTATCGCTAAATATATGCCATAATTATATAAAACTAAAAAATACTGTTTACAAGGGAAAATTATAGATGAACTGATACTGAACAAATGAAATAATGAACTGTCCAGGCACTTTTTTTACGAAGATTCGGTTAATTATTTACACGCAGATAAATATTAAAAATTACTGATGTGCTATAAATATCTAAGTTACGAAGTATATCACCGTTTTATGAACAATACATAAATTAAACGAAACTTCGTGAAAAGCTAAGAGTTGGCCTAATAGGTCTTGTTAGAAACTGGTGAAACTGGATTTCACTTATTTTGCATTACTTATATTTCAGTTTCCCTAATAATTTTACAACGGATTGCCTTGTTTACATAATTAATTTTGCCCTATCTGTTTTAGACCTAAACCTATCAAATGAATTTCAAAACAACATAATATGTATACAAACAAAAAATTATATTTTCAACTAACGTAATATTGTTGGTGGTGTGAATTTAATTTACAAAATTAATTTTTAGGCGTCAATTTAATTTACCTTATTATGCTGATTCATAATCGGAAACTATTATTATAGAAATCGAGTTAAGAAAGCCACTTTAAAGAACCGCCCACAGAACAGCTTTTATCAGTTTTTTTGTTGCTCCATATTTGCACATAAGTTTATAGACGCATGTCTCAAACGGATGTGACTTTATATGTAGATTGACGTTTGTACGTACTTATCGCTTTTGTGTCTATCTTCAAACTTTTTTTGTCACGGCTTTGAAACTCATACTTGACCAGCAATTCCTTATTGTCCAGTCGTTGCAATTAATAATGTAGCTACTACTATTATTACAGATATAAAATTTAGAATAATAAAGTAAAACAAACATGGCTATGATCAATTTATTAGTGTAATGATCATATTAGTTATTATGAAATGAAATGAAAATATCTTTATTCAAGAAGGCTATTACAAGCACTTGGAATGGCAAGTTTATTTTTATTTCTACTTTTTTTGTGAAGGAATCGTAATGTTTTCTTGCGTACATAATATTTTCATTGATGTATTGAGAGGCAACAGTCAAAATATTTATTTCTTTAAATATTTCTCTGAGAGATTCTCTAGACTGTAAATTATATATAGCGTGGACAGCTCTCTTTTGTAGAATAAAAATATCTTGAATGCTAGCCGCAGAACCCCATAACAATAGATTATACGTCATTCATTACACTATGAAAATAACTAAAATATACCAATCTTGCCGTTTCAACATTTGTTAAGAGTCTAATTTTCTTAACAGCAAATGCTGCAGAACTCAGTCTACTTGACAAATTATCAATATACCAAAATACCAAGGAACTTTGTCGATTCCACCATCTCAACTTTTTCACTATTTACATTTATAAGTATATTAACATGCCTCACATTAGGTAATGCAAACTTTATGTATTTCGTTTTATTTGAATAAAGCTTTAAATAATTACTATCAAACCACTGTAGAAAATTGTCGAACTGAATTACATTGAACTGTTTCATGACAAAATTTAAAGCTCTTATTTTATCAACTAATATGTCACATCACTAATATGCACAATCGGAATGATACCAGTAAGAAAAAAATACAAATTAGGCTTAATGTAATTAATACAAACATTCTGTTGTTTTCTTAATTTTTGTTTTTTTTACACTTTCCCTCGCTTAATTATATTACTCCACAGACATACGATAGAGTGTATCATTAAGTTTTCTTAGTTTTTGTACTGCGTTTTTTAAAAGATATTTTAATAAATTATGTAGGGAAAAGCCTTAATTTTTCAGTATTCACTTGGTTACAGCAAAATCTAATATTAATAGTTCGCACATAAAATGATGACCCCAATTTTTTTAAATGTGCATAATCTTAAAATATTTTTTTTCTTCTGGTATCCCCATATACAGCCACATGACAGTTCAACATTCATGTTAAAGTAAATTATTTATTATCACGTTGAATTAGAGTTTGTTTTTAATCGTGTGATTTCTTAGCTTAGTATCTTTTTGGGATTTGATTTATGTTATCGCGAACCTATCGCGTGGCGGTTTTTCATGTAGTGAACAAAATGATCATTTCATCTAATCTGTATTTGTGTGCGGAGAGGCGACACTCGGTTCCCATACTAAATCAATATCATTATACTTCTATTCTCTCTCTATGTTCTGTGTCTAACACATATTTACGTTGGCTAAATCCGTTTCTCCTTTCTAGCTATTAGAATACACCGAAGTTAAGTTGTCCAACCAATTTTTAATATGGTAACAGATCAATGAGACCTTCGCAGCACAAGCAATAGTGAGCGCTCGTGAGCTGAAAGTTGGCACTGAAATATTGAACGTGAGTGGCGGCGCTATCGCAGTGGGTAACCCTGTAGGAGCCACGGGCGCCAGGATGGTAGTCCATCTCGTCCATCAGCTACGGTCAGTTGACAGCTAATCCAACATACCGATTTACTTATAACTTATAGCACTAATATTGTATTTCTATCACTAGCAAAAAAATCTTTCTGATTACCACAATTGAAGATTTTTATGACCTCGTTCCGTTGCTTTAATGAGGAATTTGATGGTGCAGGTTAGTATGTTCGGTATCTACGTATGGGAGTAAAGCAACGTTCGCAATGGTTAAAGTTATAATGACGAGCTCTCTCCATGATGCTGGAGACACTTTAAGGTCCAGCAGGCCTATTCGCTAACTCAAGTGACAGCTTAAACTTGTAATCACCGTGAAAAGTGAACAATTCATTTCGGTTATCCATAGAGTTACAGAATAAGGTTCCTGGCCACGTTACAATATACACGTTGGTCCAGTCCCCTTACTCTCGAATGCAATTGCGACCGATCGACATTGCAATTGTGCCGTTTCGTACTCTTGGGTTCACCAGCGCCAGAGTACTCTAGTGAACCAATCAAGCGTGCGGCCCGGCACAATTGCGATTTCGATCGGTCGCGATTGCGTTCGGGAGAAAGGGGGCTGGTCACATTATATGCTTAGTTCAGACTAAATAGTCTAAAGCATGAATAGGGTTATCTTTTCAATAATCTTTCCTTGATATTTCGCAATTACTACTTCAAATATTGGATGGAATTATTCGTTTCAGTCGCCGTAAGAACAAGAGAGGCATCGCCGCATCCAGCTGTGGCGGTGGACAAGGATTAGCTTTACTGATCGAAACGATATGATCAAGTAAAGAAGTTTCTTCGAATTTTAATCAAAGATATGTAGGTGCACAGAAATAAATCTAGTTTCTGTGTGTAGGTGTATTATATTATTTATCGAAAACAAGATTTACCTTCATTTCATTAATGTTTCATTTTTAGAATGTCACATTTTTTATGTCATCAAAACCAGTCAGATACAAATAGAACAACGACACATATTTCATTTGTTCTTTCAAATTTTGTTTAAATTGTATTAAAGTTATAAATAATTCTGTATACATAGTATATGAAAAAACACTTTCTCTGACCTATTACGTCTTTTATACATATTATATACCTAATATGATGTTTTATAAAAATATATGATATAATACAATAATTATTATTATAACGTTGTTAAGATTATAAAATGTCTAATGATTAGCTATCCGTAGGTGAAGAATTTTCATGATCTGATCAATATTTCCAAATATTATCCCATAAAAAAAAAACAAATTTAAAAATTTAAACTTTTTAATATGTCTGGACCAAGTGATAATTGGGCATTATACATACTGCCCGGTCATTATGAAAAATGCGCAACATGAAAGAGCAGTTTGATAATAATTATTCAAATAATCAAATTGACCGGGCATTATAAATACTATTCCTTACCTTTAGGCAGAGTAATAAAAAAAAATTAGTAATTTTTCATTTTTGTTTACATTTTTTTTTATTTTGGGCTCACATAACTTACCTATATTTAGATGATGTTTTATTACTACTTTGTTCAGATTATTAGAATAATATATAAGAAGTAGTGCCGTAATTATCATCATACTCATTGATTTAATATAAATAATTATTAGCATGTTGCATTAATGCAAACTAATGTTATAAGAATTAATAATCATTTCATTTAATAACAACATCATAAAATGATTATTCATTCAACCAAATGTAAGGATGCAGTGAAAATAAACAATAGGTTATTTATGATTTCAAATAAAATTATAATGAATATCCTTAATAATATAATTTATTTAAAAGGTTGAATTTAATAAACTGTATTAGATTATAACTAAAGAATTATTTATTCAAGTCTTCACTGACACATTGTAATTTAATAAACATGGGAATGGTATACACAGCAACAACATAACTACTAAGGGTCAAATTTTTTAACTTATTTATCAACAGATTAGAGCTCTAAATCGAAAGGAAAAATGGAACTTTTATAATTCAAAATCAATACTTACAATTCAAAATCAATTGTAAAACTAAGGCAAATGATTTTATAGAAACACTATGTTCTGTGAATATGGAATCTGTTTCCTTGTATATTAATGGTTGTGTGAATTTTCAGTATATAGTAAATTTTATACTATGTAGTGACTAAAAAGTTATTCATAACAGTAATAAAGATCAAACATCTCGTTTCCTTTGCCTGTTCTGCAATTACCTATTTTTTTAATTTGATTACTTAATTGTTTCCTTTGCCTGTTCAGCAATTACCTATTTTTTTTATTTGATTACCTAATCCTGTTACTAGGATATTTTTGTGACTCATAGTGCATTTCCAATATAGTCAGACTTGAAGTATGTGTTTTTTAAACAAAAGCTGAAAACAGCAGAATAATTACTGTTAAACATTTGTATATCAGATATACATTATGAGGATACAAAAGGATAAGCTGTAAGTGATAACATTTACTGTAGATATTTAGTATCATAGGCCAGAATGCTCAATGTTTTAAAAATACTGATGTTGAATAATGCTTACAGTATTTATCACTTTGCATACCACAAACATATTTCATTAAAATATTCATATACTGGCCTTAAAAAATAAAGGCCTGAAATCATTTCAGCTTTTGTGCATAGAAAAACATTGTATTTCATTATTATAGTATCAATCTTTTACAATACTTGATAAAGACATTGCACAAATGTACATTAAATTTTTATTAGTTTAATTCTACATTACCCATACAAATTTTCAAATATAGAAAATTAATTAGTGTTTAAAGTCATCATTGAACCTTAATGGACATTTGTGCAATTCACTGAAAGACTTACAACTATGTAATGATAATTTAATAATAAAACTATTTATGTTAATGTTTCCCCCTTTGTTACCTGCAATAAATTGAAAAAAAGAGTTACTAATAATAAACACAATTATAAGTATAACTTATGTGTTTGTCAATATTAATGTTACAAAAATATCTTTAATAAGTACATCACCACTTATTTATAAATGCAAATAAAGCAAATAAAGGTTAATACCTAGAATGTTAGATAAAGGTTGCACTGTGCAAGATATTAATGAAGAAAAGGGATTATTAGTTCAAAAACATCTTCTAGAAAGCATGATATATTATTCAGCACTCTCTTGTTAGCCAATTAATGCAAATAACCACCAGTAAATTTTAGAGAAATATAAATAATTAAAACAATATTAAATTACATCTATATGCAATGCAATACATGCACATTGTGGATATATTTACCAGATTATATAACAAAAGTCGAAGTAGAACAGAAATTGTATTATTATAAATGAATAATATTCATACTTACACAAGCTTCCAAATAATCAATTTTCCTCTCGAGGGATGTTAACTTCTCATTTAATGTGGCAAGACGTGATCTACAGGACATATCTAAAACATTACAATAGAATTTACTTATTTTCTATAGGTTAAACAAATATTTTTGTAAAGTTACATTTATATGCACTAATCTTCAGTTCACAACTTTATCTCTATATACCCTATAGCACCCATAAGTTCAGTTGTTGCGAATATTAAGCTATTTTATAGTATTTTTTGCTATCTAAACAACACTGTTCAGATAGCAAAAAAATACTTAAAATATTCCAGCAAATTTTTATACATATGTATTTGACACAAAGTAAATCGATTGTTACATGTTCATTCAAGTCAAATGTTTTCTATTTTACAAACTTTAAAAATACAACATTATTTATTTTAAGGAATTCGCTATGACGAGAAAAACTGATACATAGTTATTACAAACTAATTCGACTCAATTTGTAAGGCGTGATGTGATGACATCCGAAAATTGTTCACAATATTAATTACTTTTCGTGAAATGAAAAAGATAAGAAATAATGAATAAAATTTAGTTACCTATTTAACTGCAATTGAAAGACATAATTTGTGTCTACACTCACCAAAAGAGTTGAGGAAATCTGTGATCTTTTTGATACTTCCAGTGATGACTTCTATATATTCTCGATTAGCCCAATCTTGCTGTATTTGTTTTTGAATAGTTTCTCGAGGTGGCGTAGACATTTTATGCCAGTAAAAATAATATATTTGGATTCAAATAACTTTAATATTATAAAAACCTCCGCCCAAGTGATCACTTTCACAACATTAGGGATGCCCGATACGATACGATATATCGAAATATCGATACAGGACCATACGATATATCGATATATGATACGATATTTTAGCCATACGATTCGTTGCGATATATCGCATTCTCACTACAATATCGTATCGACGTATCCTATTAGACTGAGATATTTTGTTTACAATAAAGTTAATGAGGATTCCATTACTCAACGGCACCGTCTCATATCATTTTAATGTGATGAATACATTGTTATAGCTTATAAGTCATTATTTAACATGTAACAGAATACTAGGAGATGATATGAGCCGACTTTTATTTATATTTTGTAGGTAGATTAGGATTACTTGAGATCTTTGTAGTTAGATACCGACAAATTTGTTTGAATATAAAGTTTATTGCTTGTGTCATGCTTGTGCTAAGGCTTTAAATGATATATCTGAATTGTTAAAATCAAATTCATCTGCTGATTCAACTTCATTCACTGCTTCTACTAGCCAGAGTCAGGAAACTACGTCAGCTAAAGAGAAAAATAATATCTGGAAGTTTCATAAGGAGTTGGTATCTCAGTCGTCTCAATGTGGATCTAGAGAAGGCATGGAAGATATTTTGAAACGGGAGGAAAAAAGAGAGGAACGAAAACCCTGTACTGGGCAGCAAGAAATAATATTTGGCCTGATCTCAGTGATTTGGCGCTGCGTTATTTATCTGTTGTGGCTACTTCTGTTCCCTCCGAACGTTTATTTTCTTTATATAGCTGGATCCACACTTTCAGAAACCCGTAATCGATTAGATCCAAAACGCCTTTCTAGACTGCTATTTTTACGCAGCTTAAGTGCAGAGCAATGGCAACTCTGAATAATAAAAAGTTTGTTTTTATTTAGAGTTCTGCAATAATTTGCAAAGTTTGTTTTTGTTATGCTAATAATTATGGTTAGAGTTTGACTTTGTCACTAAAAAGCGAAATACTTACCTCATTTTATATAAAATATCGAAAATATCGTATGTATCGTTACAAAAGGATACGATAATATCGTGTATCGATACAAACACATGCGATACATTACGATATGATATATCGATACATATTTTATTTTTGGGCATCCCTACACAACATACGATCACAGATTATCATACGATAACAGAGTGCTACACTACTCTTTGGTGTAGGGTAGGGATGTCAACAAATAACTTAAACGGATATCATTGATTATATTATCGATATAATTTTGTGTCCGGCCGAAACTTGTTTAACGATCGAATCCGATTTCGGAAACACTCTCAATTTCGACCGAAACCGAAATTTTCTTAACAGGTTCATTATCAATCATGCTTTAAAAAAAATATTTTAATCAGTCGTCTATAGTTTTTATCAGACTGCAAATTAAGAGTTATATTTTTCACGTGTGTCTTTTATGTGTGCATGTATGTAATATTCTTTATAACATCATATCTCCAGAATTTCTAAACGGGTTTACGTTAAAGAAAATTGCCCCATCGGTCAAAGCGCGAGAACTTCCGAATGTAGTTTCGGTTTCGGTCGTAGTTTCAGCAGGTTTGCCACCGAAACCGAAACTAAACCGAAACCAGTTTTTTGCCAAAACCGAACTTTCAGTTGGACACTGTTGTTTATACATTAGTTTTAATATCAATGTTGTGATATAAAGCACGGTTGTTAGAAGATAAAATGTCACTAATATTTCTATGAAAATTATTCTTTATACAAAATGCTTAAAAAATCCACTTGGTTCCTGGCACCCTGAGATGGGAATCGAACCTACGACCTTTCGCCATCCGGCGACTGCTCTAACCGCTGAGCTACCCAGGACCTAACAGGACTGATGAATCTTTCAAGCACTTGTTACTTTTCGCTACTACACAGCGTATTCTCATCAATGTTCAGGCAGGAAAGGTATTTAAATAAAATGTCATTCATTGATGATCTTGGCAATTTTTCCTATTCTTACAAAATGCTGATTTATTATTTATATTTTTAAAGTTTTAAAATAATGTATATGTAATTGTAAAATAATTAGTATTACAGCTATAGAAGAGCAATGTTTCTTGATACAGATACTTATTATCTAAAAAGAGACATTGTTAACGGTATTGTTAAAACAACATTTTATGTGAAATAAAGCCATTATTATTATTAATGGGCATTGTTAATCTGGCGAAATAATTAAATGCTACAATTAGCCGTTTTTGGTAAAAAACGCTACCGTGTTTTGAAACTGGTGTGATTGTTTGTTTGACTTGGAATGAGGAAATATTAAAAAAAAAACGAAAGTACTAAAAAAGCACCTCCACTAGATGGCGACTCTAGCAAAAAATGATTTTTGCAGGAAACGAATGGACCAAAGACAGTCATTACCGTTCCTTTTAACTAACATATTAAAAAACAGAAATTTGCAAAGTTCGAACCTAAAATATCAATACGAATACAAAAAAGTATAAATAGAATGTGAGTTGTTTATTGAGTTTTAAAAATTAATACTTTTAATTTTCAAAACTCAATAAGCGGAAAGAAAACCGGAAAAGTTGTCATGGAGAAATCAAGAAAGTACCGTAACGTCATTTCGTTTGATTTCGGGAACTAATGTTTTTTTAAAATACTTCCTCATCGAATGACACACTTATAACTGTTTAGTTATTGCATGCTGTTTAACAGTAGAATATATATATTGTTTTCTTTAATTTAGTACTTGATTGGAGTATCTATATATTTCAATAATCTTTGCTTTATGTTTAAAAAATAATATGTTTTTTTTTTCGCTTTCCAAAGTATTTTTAAATTTTTCTTTGATTTTCCCAAAAGCCAAATAATTATAAAAAATACAGAGGATTACTGTTTTTTTTCTTAGTATTTGTTGTTATAGCGGCAACAGGCTACATCATCCGTGAAAATCTAAAACTATCTAACTATCATGGTTCGTGAAATATGGTGGTAACAGCAAAAAATCACGTTTGTTGTATAATAATAATAATTGTTATTAAAGCATTGTTATTAAACAGAAGTACATCTTCTATGAAAAATTCAACTGTCTAATTTTCACGGTTCATGCGATACAGACAGACAGGCAAGATTTAGTAATAGGTAGGGTTTTACCCTTTGGGTACGGAATTAAAACAATTAAAGATACTGTCGAAATTTACTATTCCAAGCGGATGAAGTCATGTTACTAGCTGTACTTATAACATGGCATTTTTTAAAGAAAAAAATATTATGATCAATTAGTTAATTCTGAAAGAGATTGTCGGAACGCTATAATAACATTTTGAGCCTCAATACGTAGAGATAATTTGAAAAGGTCAATAGTAACGTAAAATGTTACAAAACTAACATTCTGATAACGCATGCTGAATAAACGTTGGTAAACAAAGCGAAGCTAACGCTACGTTGGCAAAGAAAGGAAAATTTTAAAAGAACGATTTAGCGGCTTTTAAATTATAAAATTTATTTTTATTAATTTATTTACATAAAAACAATAATCACAGCTAGAATGTAAATAAATACTTAGATTTAGTGAATACCTATATAGGTATATCCTAGTTTTTATGCGTAAGACATAAAAAAAGGTTGTTCCGTACCGCAAAGAAAAAATCAATCTGTTTGGTTACATTAGAATTATATATAACTAAAAACAGTTTTTATTAAGTACTATTTTTAACCAAAGAAAACCCGTTCCAACTGAACTAACTATTTATAGTAATATACATATATTGTTATTACACTAAATAGAACTGTGATCGCCACACAGTACATACCCTTATTGAACTTTATGTTGTCGTATTGGTTTGAAAACACCATATAGAGATGTTTTCCGGCCTATAACATTAATTTGGGAAATATTACGAGCCTATTATATTCATTTGAGGACCGTCACCCTTATGGTCAATTTCACAAACGTCTATTAAGGTATAATGACGCCTTTAAGCTCTAATGAATGTCAAAATTGTTTGGATAATGTTGCTTTAAACTAATAGAGTAGAGAATACTGATATAGTCTCTATAAATAATAATTTTAATGGACATTTGTGCAACTAGCTGTTAGGCAGTAAAATATTTATCAATAAATTCTTTATAATACTTGTTTTCTAAGGTATTAAATAAGTATTTATACTTTTCCCTGTTTTTAAATATATTCCCGTTCATCATCAGAAATAAAACATATTCTTACTGTTATCGTTAATTTTATACAAATATTCTTTTATCACAATTTTAAACTATTACCATCTTAGGGGCTCTCATAATGTTAATCATATTAATTTTGATACACAGAACAGTAAATTTCTGTAATTTATTTTCAATGCTACACGCAATGCATTAGGTTTTAAAATGAAGTGGAATAGATGTATAAGAACCTACTTTATCATATTCAACAGCTATGTCTTATCACTTCGAGATAATTTAGAATATAAACAAACGGACAAATATTAATATAGATGTAACTTACGTAATTGTATACATAATTGGCGTTATTATCAAATTGTTAGTTGATGTTATTACACTAGTAACTGGAGACTTAATTATTTAATAAAAAAATGAAGATTGTTGTGACTGGAGCAGCTGGATTTCTTGGTTCAAAAGTAGCAGATTTACTTCTTAGTGACAAGTCACCACTTTTAGTTAAAGAGTTAGTGTTAGCAGATACTATCAAACCTGCCATTAGGAGTGACCCTCGAGTAACAGTCCTCGCCATAGATCTTACAAGTCCAGATGCCGCGACGATTCTCATTGACAATAATTGTGACGTTTTTTTTCATCTGGCTGCTATCGTTAGTGGCCATGCTGAAGTAGACTTTGATCTTGGATTCAGAGTAAATTTTGATGCTACAAGAGCTCTGCTAGAGGCTGCCCGTAGAATAAAGCCTACTTTGAAATTCGTCTTTAGTAGTACACTGGGAGTCTACGGAGGTAAACTTCCAAACGTAGTCAACGATTTTACTGCTGCAACTCCAGAGAACACTTATGGAGCGACAAAAGCTATGAGTGAGTTGATGATAAATGATTATTCAAGAAAAGGTTTTGTCGATGGTCGTATTCTAAGGTTGCCTACTGTAGTTGTAAGGGCTGGGGCTCCAAATAAAGCGGTTACTTCATTCGCTAGTGGTATTATCAGAGAACCGCTTAACGGCTTAGAAGCACTATGTCCTGTTGATAAAAACCTGAAATTGTGGCTCACAAGTCCTCAAGTGGTTGTGTGGAATATAATATATGCGGCTACAATTCCAGCCGCATCGTTCGGTTCCTGGCGTGGAGTTAACTTGCCTGGATTTGTAACCACGGTAGATCAGATGATTCAAGCATTAAAAGAGGTAGCTGGTGAGAAAGTTGCTGCATTGGTACGTTTCGTCGAAGATGAAACAGTTAACCGTATTGTATCCACTCTTCCAACTAACATTGATAACAGTCGTGCTTTAAGTTTGGGATTTTCAGTGGATGTAAATTTTGTGGAGGTTGTTAAAAATTATATAAAATATGATTTACCTAAAAAAGAGATTTGAATACTACATTTGTACAAATAAAATTATAAAAATAAACTTAGAATTATTATTAAAATTCCTAGAAAAATGAAACGCAATAAAATTATATACGTGTATCGATCGTATTGTATACGGTATGGTGTATTAAAACAATAAAATTGGTTGCAAGCGTGGCTACGATAACATCTAATAGATAAATGACAATTAAAACTTATTAGATTTGGTTAAATCGCATGTATTGTCAATCACATAAAAACCATTAAACTTGTGGTTTTATAAAGCACTTTAAGGAGGAAGTTATACGTAAAAAATATTATCTCGAGCTACTCCGTGCATCGGAAGCACAGTTCGGAAGCCACGTGAAGTCCTTGGTCCCGGCTGCATTTGTTCCTGGCAGTCGCCCGGATTGTGAAAGGTCATAGGTTCGAATTCCATCTCAGAGTGCCAGGGACAAAGAGGATTTTTAAGCAGTAAATAGATCCAAATTTACAGTTTGACAATGAACTTGTGACAACCTTAATAAATAATAAACAAATGTGGATTCGTTATCGTATTTACTCTTATAGGCAAGTTATTATGAGATAAAAAGCTATTTTCAACTCTTATTTACATCGTGAATTCTATACGTTAGTTATTATTCTAAGACCAAAGTGAACGAACATTTGACAAATGTTGGCTAACAATGAGACATGAATGAAATGATAAATAAAATAAGGTTTCCAATCTAAAGCAAAACAATCAATATTGCGTATTGATTTGAAACGAAGCCTTTAAGCAGGCACGGGCAACCTTGGACATGTTGTGGGCCAAACTTTAGTGTGCAACTACGTTCGCGGGCTGTGTTTAAAAGTAGCACATTTTAAAGTAGTGTTGTAGTGCTCATATTTTCTTTTAAAATAGATATCAGACATGAAATAATACGACAATGTTATTATAAATGAGGTTTTTCAAAATGTCTCGCGGGCCGTATCCAGCCCGCGGCCCGGCTGTTGCCCACCGTAGCTTTAATGTATGAAATGCGTAGATTTATAATTACATTCGGTTTATTTAAATGAAATCAGTCTATGTTTGTAATATAAAGGATAATTTATTTCATCGTCATTTCGTTTCGGGGATCGGCTTTGATCAATTGTTTTCTGCAACTTTCGACGGCAATATTATTCCTTACTCTGAAACTGTCAGAAACCTTGGAGTTGTGTTTGATAAATAGTTCTCTCGGAAACTCTAGGTGGAATCAGTCAGAAAGAAGGTTTTCGCTGCGTATGGTCTTTCAAACGCCTGCGTTATTTCCTACTGACTATTACTAATATTATCTTTTATTATTATTGACTACGCTGACTTATGTTTTACATATCTATAGGAGGAGTTTCTTAATACCAATGAGCATCTGCACAGAATGTTTGCATTAGATTCCCACACTTCCCCTATAATAGTTCCCTATTCGCTGGCGTAGTGACTTGAATGCTCTTATGACTGTATTTTATTCTCTTTCCTTCCTCTTTTCCACTTTATCTTAAAAGAAAGCTTTTCATTCCAATCTCTTATATAAATATACGACTTATATAAATTAAATTTACAAGATGCTCACTTTTTTTCTTATGCTGATGATACAGCTGTAATCTTCACTGGGACGTCATGGATTGATGTGTACTCTAAGACAAAAATGGGGCTCTCCCAAATAGCCAATTGGTTGGACTGGAACCTACTAACATTAAATGCGACTAAAACAAATTACATCTGTTTTACTATGACGGACAATATGCAACCAGAAAGCAGACTTAAAATCAAAATACATAAGTGTGGTGACCTAAACAATGACACCTGTAACTGCGATATAATTGATAGGGTGACTTCTCATAAATACTTGGGAATAATGTTAGACCAACATTTAAACTGGAACGTACATCTGGATCTGGTAACAGCCAGAGTAAGAAAACTCATATGGATTTTTAAAAAACTAAGATATGTTGGAGACAAACTTCTTCTCAACAAAATTTACCTGGCTCTTGTACAATCTGTATTGGGTTACTGTATCCCTGTATGGGGAGGTAGTGCTAAAACTAAACTATTAGAAGTGGAAAGGGCTCAGAGATCGCTGCTTAAGGTTATGTACTATAAAAATTTCAGATTTCCTACTACGCAATTATACCAAATAGGTAACCTATTAACTGTTAGAAAATTGTATATCTATCATACAATTTTGAGAATGCACATGGCTCTAGAATATGACCCGAATATTCGGACAAAGAGAAGACAAGGAAATGTTGCTCAAATTCCTAAAACCAGGACAGCTTTTGCTAAATCTCAATTTCAACGTAGAGCGATTACCCTTTACAATAAAGTAAACAATAAACTTACCATTTATCCGATGAATAAACATGACTGTAAAGTAATAATAAAAAACTGGCTCGTAACGCTTGACTACGACGAAACTGAATTTTTGTTACAGACTATCACTTAATATATATTTTATTTTATATAAAATGCATACCTCATTATAAACTTATACACAATTTATTAAACAAAGAAACACACACACACACACACACACACACACACACACACACACACACATATACACACACACACACACACATACACACACGAACACACACACACATACACACACACACACGCACATAGAGAGAAAACTATACACGTACTAATTAAAATTAAAAAGTTGTAACTATTTCATATTTTAAGTCTTTTGTTAATACTTTCTGATAAGGAGGAGCGAGATCTCCTGGAACAAGCGCCTGCTTTGGCACTTAAAAGGAGGTCTCAACCTATGTACTGAAAATGTAAATGTTTTGGACAATAAATATATTATTATTATTATTATTCCTATATTTATAATTTACTCTTCCCGACCCCTCGACGATTCGAGGGGTGGGAGGATTCCCCCTGGCAGAGGAGGCCAGACGGCCGGGGGTCAGGGCGACAAAGAGAGAAAACGGCGGACGATCCTTGCGTTATCGAGCAAGATCGCCCGCTGGAGCCTCGCAATCATTGGTCCGTCACGGAGTCCCAACCTCTTCAGATGGTCGTGAAGAGAAGTTGGGACTAGGCCATTCGTTGACACTACGACTGGGATGATCTCAGTGGATGACACTCGCCACATATCGGTAACCTCGTGCGCCACCCTAGTAGCATTTTTGGTACGGCAATTCGTTGGGCCTTTGTTTGCTGTTCGGTTGGTCAACTGTGGGTAATGGCACCCCTGATTGCACTGCTGCCCACAAAGCTAAAGTACCGAGGCCCACCGTTACAATTGGAGAAAGGGCCAACTGAAGCTTTTCCTTCGTTGGTCCTAGTCACCTTTTACAACGTAAAGCCAACTGCGAATTTTCCCACAATTTTCTCACATAGGGCCAACAAACATTCTATAACGTTGGGCTGACCGTTCATGGTAGGGCAACTGTGGTATTTAATTGTAGGCCTAACTCAACTTTTACTATATAAGGCCAACTGCAGTGCTCCTCATAAAGGGCCAAGGACACAGGGCCAACTAAGATTTACTCATAATAGGGCCAACATATTTTGCAAAGTAAGGCCTACATACACCATCTTTGTAGGGCTTACAAACTGACTGCACAGTATATCATCGAATTCATGAAAACATATGAATATCAGCACTATTAAAAAGTATCAAATGGCCAACCAAAATATCGTATAAAAAAACAAATAATTAAAAAATTTATTTATCAAATGTTTTTACCAATGTTGATAAATACTCATGAACCCGATGACATGCCTACTATTCAGTCAGTTTGTAAATCCCACAATAATGTGTCTGAAGGTCTTACTTTGTAAAACAATGTTGGCGCTATAACGAGTAAATCCTCAGTTTGGCCCAGTGTCCTTGCCTTTTATGAGGAACACTGCAGTATGTCTCGTAGTCTTGGTGGGCATCTTGGTGAGGCTGTAAAAATAAAATACAATTGTAAATTTAACCATATTTTATTTGGCTGAAAAACCATGAATTGGCGTGAAACAAAAAAAACAAAACTTGAAAAAATTACAATCAGTAGGTTTTTAAAACATATTATAGCTGTGTAAGAGCACCGCAAATTGTATGGAATTGACTCACTCCCCACACTCTTAAAATTGAAACTAGCATTTCTCATTGAGTAAATCAAGCTTAATAGTGCAAATTCATACTCACATAAGGTACACAGATAAATGAATGGTCATTACTATCAAAATTAGGCAACAATAAACATTTCTTGCTTAAATCGTTTGAATTGACAATAACATTTTTTTCACCACTGACCATGTATATATTCTCAATTTGCTACTTTCAATTTTACACATGAATTTTTCAAAAGGAAATGTTGAAAAGGAATCTAGTTCTCCAAAGTTATATACATCATACATTATTTTGATCAATATTATTACAACACAATATGTATATAGCACAATGAAACATCAAAAAATGTTTATACAAACTACTCGATAATATATTTTTTAAAACAATGGGACCCAAATATAAAAGAAAAGCTCTAAATTCCGTTGCTTTCCAATACTTGAATAAACTTAAAGACCTAGGCTGTCTCGAAAATTCGGTGGGATAATGTACGTATAATTTTTAACCATTCTGATACTACGGATATTTTAGAAGCATTTAATTTAAATTTTTTTGGTCCATTACATATCCAACTTTGTATAATTTTTTTCATAACGTCTAAACAAACAAAACGCATAAAGTCTAATGGGACTTGCGTCACTAAACCTAAATCAAGTTCTGTAATTCAGTTTTAGATATGTGATGATCCTCATATTCTTGACTAAAAAATTTTGTGTCAGTTTGAAGGCAAATGTAGTTCTTCTCTTTTCTCTTCCTCCATCGCGATCTTTAGTAAATCTGAACCAACCACTTATTATATTCTGAATTACATCATCAGTTGCGAACTCTGCAATCTTATGATGACATACAGCATCTGTGATAATTTCCAACAGGTGAGTTGCATATCACATACTACAAGTACCAACTAATGTTATTATTAATGTATAGCAATAATGAATTGTAATTTTACAATCAACACAAATAATTAATTAGTAAAAATGTTGTTAATTTAATTACCTTTTATTATCTTTACTATACGAAGATCCTTTAGGGAAGTCTTTTAATTTTTTCCCTGTCCAGTTACAATTGACAGCAAGGTTGTTTGTGAACACTTTTTCAAGTATCCTTTTAACTATGGCTGGAGGTTTATTGCCGCCAATATAACTCAAATGATTTACCTGCAAATGTTAACAGATTACTAAATTATCGCATCTGCTAGGTTTTGTTTTTCTTCTACGTCATATGATTTACTATCTGCCATATTGCTATAGGTACTTTTAACTAACAAGCTCAATTTAGTAAAAAATTAAACAGACCTCCTATACCAATCACTACCCCTATATTGAAAACTACTCAACAGAATTTGAAGAAACCTGGACTGTTCCCCAAGTTGAACAATACCTAACTTATATCAAAAAGAATCATCTCAATACAACATAGTTTCCAAGAAATCCGTGGACAAATATTCATACACTTATGAAATTAAGCACACATGCTTAGAGCCTAAATGGATC